TCTTTTTGTACGCGTTAGAAACAACAAAAATACCCTAGCCTTACTTCCTACCTGACAGAAATCTAATGTGTTACAGTACTCCCGGGAGGACCCCGCAATTTGCCCCTGTGCTGCAGCCGCCCCTTTGCGGGGTCGGCGGCAGCGGCGGCAGCCCTTAAATTAACCCCGCGACGATCAGACACAAGGAGCTGACGGCTCAATGCAGCAATGCATGCAGTGACGTTTCCTGCTCCTCGCCACCTGCCACAAAAAAATCAGCATTACGATCAACTGCCACATGTGTACAAGTGATAGCCAACTGCAAGCTTGCTGCAGCACATCGACCTGCAACAGCATGCTTCCGCCCACTCTTCAAGATATCCCCTCAAATTCGTCTGGCATGACTTTCAGAGTCGGAGGAGCCCACCAGAGCCTCTCGCTCCTGCGCAAGAGAACGGGCTGTGCAAGCAAAGTAATTTCCTGCAGCTGCTGCTGCCGCCGCCACCGTTTCTGTAGAAGCTGTGAAGTCATGGCGGGAAGTCGTGCCGTCCAGTTCCATCAATTAAGTATTGTTCCCGGACCTGTTAGTCTTCACGTAACTAGTCTCAGCAAGACGTGTTCAGCTGTCATTGGCATGCAGCGTCACGAATCTCCAGAAATGACACCCCTTCACGAAACCCGTTCTGCTATGCTGCTTTGCCTCCATTTTTTATGCTGGCCTGGCCTTTTCGCTCAACGTTTTAAGCACGGCACGTAGGGCCCGGCGTTGCTCAGCAGCTTCCAAACCCCGGATGCGTCGCAGCTCTCGCAGCCGCTCTTTGTCGCCTCCAATGGGACAGGGATCGTATGCAAGATGATGCAGAGATTCAGCACGAGCCCCCAATTTGTCGGGATCCCAACATTCTGCACAGGAGAATTTATTCCAAAGTCAGCCGCTCACAATGATCACCAAGATGTGCCCCGGCTCCGAATGATTTCCTCACCCCACCGTTCCGAAGGCCACGGTGAAAACTGGGGGGTCCTTCTTTGTTCTACACTGTAAGATTGGCCTTGCTTTGCTTTGACCATCCTCTGTAAGCTTTCTATACCCGGGTGCCATCCCACCCTTTGAATACATCGCCAACGCACGCCATGCTTTCAGCCGCATGTATCGCATGCTTCAGCCAATGGCCCTCTGCTTGTGCTGCTCGAGCGCATTGACATGGACTGTTTTGCCACCAGTTCATGTGTAGTGAATGTGTCACGTGTGCTCATGGCAATCGGAGAGAAGTGCATTGGTGGCGGGCCTGCCAGGACTTCCTCCAAAGCTTCTATGAGCTCATCATCGAGGTCTGAGGAATCCACATCCAAATCATCTACTGCACAACTCTCCTGAAGCTTCAAGCAGCTCGAGGTGGCATCTAACATGCGCAGCCAACAATGCAACTCAAATCCGTTTAACAACAACCGCGGAACTTGTAGCTTCGCAGCTTCCGGCTCTTCTTCCACTTCAGGGGCAAAGCGGCAATGCTCTCGCAGCCAATCACGGACTGCCTTCCACCATCATTTCAGGACTTATAATGACTTGCTACTGTACTTGCCCCAACTGCCTGCTATCAAATCCTGCATTGCTGCAGTGCCTCGGCCACAGTGAACAGGGCGACTCCGCCCTTGCTGTCTTCTAGCGCAGCCTCGATCACAGTCTTCAAGAGGTTCTCCGCGCCTTCAAGGCCAGCTCCTGAACATGTGGCAGTTCCCTGTCACTTGACCAAGGTCATGTCTGAGCAGGACGCTCCCAGCTCCAAGGCTCAAAAAGGACCAAGAAAATGATTTTCAAAGGCATGAGTAATACGAGCCCCGCCTTCACCTACAGATAACGTTGATGTCACGAGGGGCAGAGCTGTGGCCGGATACTCATCAGGCAGCTCAACAGCCAAAATGGCCTCTCCAAAGTGGTAGCCTGGCAGATCAAATGCCAATTTGTCGTAGGCAATGACTCCAGACAAGCTATTGTACCTGCGAAAGATATCACCTACGTCATGCCATGCGCTGTTACACGGATGTCATCGCGAGCCATGTCATTTAGAGGAGGTGAACTCATCAAAGAGTCAGGCCATCTCCGAAGTTCCTTTGTACGGGGCGGCCCAAGTTAGCAGGCGTCCGCACTTGGTGCAGCCAGTTTTCATGGCTTTGCCGCTGGAACGTGGCATAGCCTCCAACAAATGGCGACATGTAACTCTTCCATAAGCTGGGTGGGTTTTCTTCGCTATCTTTCAGCCGTAATGGAAGAGGAAGATTTGCGTCTGCACGGAGTGGCAGCTCGTCAGGCTCGCCAAAGACAACATGCCACATGAATTCCAGGAAAAAGCAGTGTGATAACCGTTGACCAGCATACTTTTCATAGGATGGGCCTATTCGTTCGCAGGCGTCGGCAACAGAACCATCGACCAGCCGTAGCATCTGCGCGTACTCTTCAAGTGTTCGTTGCCGGATTCGTCCTTTGGAAACGGCAAACTGCGAACAGCAGTACGTGTAAAGCTTACCTGTCAGCGGGCGATTGACAGCACGTTCATAGATGTCGTGCTGGCAAGGGTTGTAGGTTGCAACAAGACGAGGCGAGCCCAAGTGAACAAAGTCCAGATCGTTGAAAGTACCTAGGGAAATGCCTCGCAGCAAGACATTGATGAGGCCAAAGGGGGTATGATCTGATGGATCCCCGTGCAGAAAAAGTGTCATGTCTGCTAAGTTATCATACTCGCGAACAACATGACTCAAGTAAGCCGTGCATTCATCGCGCCGGGCTGCCAGCCCTGTCGCTGGATCAGCAGCATCATCAAGCTGAGTATAGATCAACTGAATATGGGACTCCAGAAGTGCGGATAGGTGGTGGATTACACTTTCATCACCTCCACACTTTTGATAAACAAAGATTCGTGTTCGGGCTGGCAAGGCTTGTAGCAGAGAGCCGTTTGCCAGCCATGTCAGATCTTCCCGGCAGTGCGGGAGAACAATGTCAGCGGTCATTGGCCTGCGGCTGACTTCTATCCAGTGTGACGTGTTTGAAATCCGCTCCATCGCTTGCTGCAGCGGCCAGGCATGCTTGATGTTTTCCAGGTGCACGGAGGTAATCTCTGGCAGGTCCAGCATGGCTTGTGCCCTAGCACTTAGGGCATATGCCTCACTGGGGTCGTGCGTATACAGGCGGAGCTCAGCGATGAGCAGGTGAGCCAAGATCATCATGCCAGGGCATCCCAGGAGCAGCTCACGCTGGTACACGGGAGGCAGCGTTGTCAAAAAGAAGGCCTCTCTGAGTGGGGGCCGATGCCCTTTAGCATAGTAGCCATCCAATCGCAACTGGAAGTGGGCGCAGCTGATGGAATGGTCAAAGCAATGGCTGCCAACGCACCAGTCCATCCGAAACTCGGAAGGATATGTGGCCTGGGCCGCCACTTTCTGGACAGCGAGAAATCCAAAAACTATTGCTGCAGCCATGACAGGCCAGCAGTCAAGACTGAAAAATGGACAGCATGCGTTCTAGTTACAATGTTCCTCCCTTGGTTCTTCAAAGCACACCTTCCAAAAATTACAAAACTGCGCAACCCTTCGCGTGGTAACCCTCAAGAACTCCGAGCTGTCACAGATCCTTTGCCCAGCCCTCTCCGCATATATCCCCTCATCTGAGGTAACGTAACGTTCTAAGAGTCTCTTGAGCACAGACAGCGACAGCTTATGCAGAATAGGCTCAGTTTCCGTGGTTGCTGCTTCCCGTAAGCGATGCTCGGATCGCGCACTGACAAAGCTCCATTCCGGTCCCCCCTCTTTGCAGTCAATTAAGAGAATAGCTTCTGCCCTCGTTGCAACGACCATATATGCGCCCGTCCGTGATCTAGTACCACTACACCAGCTGCTCTCTGCGCTGCTCTCTGCGGCAGCATCAACCAAATGCGGATGAACGCCACTGACACATTGAAACTTGCGCCTTCGTCGTCTGGCTCGGGGGCTATGCGGAGGCGTATACGTTGTGAATCCAAACGCTCCACAGCCTCCGGGAAAATCCCGTCCAGCGCCTGACATAGCTTTCCACTAGGCTGAGAAAATGTATCGCTCAAGGGTTTAGGGATCTGGCACCTCCAGCTCCACCTCTGCATCCTCAGACAATGGCATGCTCGCAGTGGCACGGTCTTATTACTGATTTTCAAGGATTGGGTGCGCATGTGGCAAAGAGAGTAGTTGACGTTCTCTTGCAGCAGTTGGCCTACATGGGCCCCCCAAACGTGTTCCAAAGCTATTTGGAGCAAAGAGCCACGGCGATTTTGGATCCTCAAAGCTAGATGATTGGGCTGACTGCTTTGTGACAGTCAATGCTCTTCCACCCTGCGCGCTTGGAGCCAAGTTGTCTGCAATTATGCTCAGCAGCTTGCAGACAAAGGCAGGAACGACAGTTGAAGCTCATCGCATTGGCTTGTACAAGTTTTGTCTGCGGCAGTCTCACCGAGCATACCCACGTTAGGCAGCTTGCGTCGCTTGGGAAGAGGCCTGCAAATCAGATGGTCAGCGTTCATGGATCCTTGTTCCACTTGATTGCATGGCGCCACATGCAACATGTCACAATATCTCTTGTGCTGGCTTTGCAGTTCGTGCTGAGCATGTCTATGATCGCGCTCTTACAGGAGCTATGCAGATAGACTGACTGATTCTCGCTGCAGAAAGGGGGCCTGGGGCGGCGGCCATGTACCTAGGCAGTTTCAACACCCGCTGAGCTCGGTGTCAAACGGATCGCTGGACATTGTATGAGGCTATGCCGGCCCATGCTCTGCAGTCACGCCCTCAGGTCCGTCCACATCTTACCAAGGTGCCACACTTCGTTCTCTGAGGCCCCGGCCTTGGGGACACCTTGCATTGCCTGTCAGCGTGGTGTCCCACAACTAGTTAATCTAGTTTGCATAGAGATTCGCGCACAACTGTGGAAATGTGTCCTGGCAAGACTGCTGCCATCGAGAAGAGAAGGGAAAGCCAAGAGGCGATTACTCAACAAGCGCCTCAAGAAGTGCATCTGCTTCTGCCCAATGGCCGCGGACGCGGCCTTGCTCGCAGCAAGCACTGACACCCAGCCCGAGAGGATTTGCATGGCATTGTTTCGTGTGGGCACGGTTTGGGCTGCCTTGTGGCTTCGTTGCGGTTTCCTGTTAGCACTGAGCTTTTCTACGCTGTGGGCCCAGGCCAGCATCCTCCTTCGATTCGGGGATTGCAAGGGAGAGGTTACTGAGTTTGGAGGTTCGTCAGGATACACATGGTACAAGCGGCACTGTGAATCCGAGCACCTCTGAACTATATCCCGTGGAAAAACAAGCAAGCTTCAGACATTGACAGAGCCAACCACCAGCACAATACACCTGGAGAGCCTGGACATCGTCCGCACATCACCCCTCTCCAAGGAGGTGTGCCATTATGGATGCAACCCTTGTGAAGCATGAGCCATGGACACTCACGCTGAACATGCTAAAAACTCAAACGAACCCGAGCCAAGAAAAGTCAATGGCCGTAAGTAAGCCAGTTGCTATGGAATGCCCGCTTGCGACTTCAACATCAACACATGCGGATTTACCAGCCAGAGGGTCCTACACGACAAATACACAGTCGCCAACGAAAAGGCTAGGGCTGCTGCAAGAAATTAGAGCTGCGCCTTGAGTAGGGAACTGGCAGACTGTGAGACACATGGAGGAGAACATATCGAATGAAGATGCGTCACAGATCAGACCCTGGCTGTGTGCAGAGACGTCGGCCTCACCTCAGGCCAGAGCGAAGGCAAGTTCTCAATGCTAACTCTGCATATCTCTGCTGGCCTCCGAATGTGAAGCTGCCCCCTTTGCAAACAATTTTCATGCAACCCCCAGGCATCCCGACCTCCGTCAACGCACATGCAGCCGTACGTGCCGCAGTATAACACACTCACAGCTCTGGCTGAACCAGACCGCTCACACAAGCAACTTGACACGTTCGAATTACATACGCTTGCTCTGAGACCTCAAGTTGATGCCAGTCAGGGTGAAGGGCTCAAAGAATTTCCATGGTGGGAATGTCTCCGGCCTCCAAGCTCTTCCTGACTCGGCTGATTCGGGGAGCACCCGAGCACTTTTCAATTTCTGATGCTTCTGGGCGTGTTCGCTTCGAGCGTCCCCGGCTCTCGGCAGGCAACTTCTCTGGAGGGTCAGGCTCCTCAGGCTCCTCAGGCTCCGGCTCAGTGGGCTCAGTGATCGTCTGCGACAAGGACGTGGAATGGATGTGGATATCCGAGACGGAACTCTGCAGCTGGAGCTGCAACTTTTTCATGTTACATGTTTTATCCGTCGCCAGCTTTTGCAGGTGCAGCTCAACAGCACGGGCCTCATCTGCATCTTTCTTGAATTTTGATGTAGACTGCCGGATTGACTGGCGAGCGCCCAGCAACAGCTGCAAATCGCGCTGCAGCCTTTGATGTCGCTCCTCCTGTTCCTGGACCATCTCATGGTTTGCACTGCGCACACCCTCAGCCGCAGCAGCGTCTTCTAGGGCCGCCCCTACTTGCCGCTCAAGCGACTGTTTCTCTTCCTCTGTGTTGTTTTTGGTGAATATTGCAGCATCTCTGTCATCCTGCAGCCTTTGCAAAGCATCCTGCTTTAGTTGCAGATTGTCCCGTGTCACGACATCTTTCGTCTCAGCATCACAAGACACGCCCTGCGCCAGCTGCTGCTGCAAAGCTGCAAGCTCACGTGTCAAGGAGGCAGCTCGATCCTGCACCTCCCTGAGTGACTGCTGAAGCCGAGCAACCGAATCATCGGCTACACACGGCTTGGCTTTGGCATCTCCCTCTGCGGCGCTCAAAGCTGGTTCTGGCAGCCCAGACTTGGGGAGCACGAATCTGTATTGCAAACCTGTACTTTGCGGCCATCGCTTCGTGAATTGCACCACATCACCATCATTCAGCTTTGATACCTGTTCCTTCTCCATCAACTTGCCATTGATGAAAGTGCCGTTCGAGCTTTTGTCAATGACTTGGTATGCTCCAAGCTGTGCCTCCCATTGCACTTCGCATTGAACTGCGCTGACTGTTTGCCCACTGATTCGAATCTGGCATGTCTCCCGGCGGCCTATTGTTAGGCCCGTCCCGATCTCAACCCCTCCGCCATCAGGGCTGGAAAGAGGAACGAGCCTTGCCATTGCAGGCGTGCAGGGAACATCTTAACCGGGGGCAGCTGAGTTTTCTTACTTTCTGCCTGGACCTCTGTTAAGATGAGATTCGCACAGCCACAGGGTTCCATCATCGTGCAGAAGAACCATAGGTTCTATAGATAGTGCCTTTTCATGTCTCTGTACTTTGTCAGCGTTTTCCGGCTGACAAGCGGCCAGCGTGTTGCACGCGGTACCGCTGCCAGGTTTGGCCCACCCTGCCTTGAGCAGGATTATGTGCACACATGAACATATAGGGGCGCAAGTAAGATCAGATGAATCACATGCATTTCAACAGTTCCCATTGATGTAGATGCATCAAACAGAGATTGGCAAGGCATCACCTCTCGAAGAAGAAAGTAGCAGCCAAACCTGAGCACTGGTCACTGGTCTAAAGGGGCAATAGTGAAGAGTGTCATGGGTCCCCCTGCTGTCCCGACCTATGTTGCCCCTCTAGGTTCCCTCTTATTTAAAGATGTTTAAGGATAGTTAGGTTAGGGCAAATTAAGCCTGATTAAAGGGAACCTTTTGGGGGGGGCAATAGGGGGATAGGTAGTAGGACCCATGGAAGTCAGATGTTGAAATCTACCCCCCCCACCTAAGCCAACCAAACGCGCATGCGATGCTGATTCTGATGGGGCCACCACTGCAACTTCCCACTGCGTTGCCTGCAAACACGAATGCAAGGTACATAACGTGACGGCAGCAAGGCGACATCAAGAACACTTAGTCGGTTCTACTCAGTCTTATAGACGTGATCACAGTCAGTCTGCAGTCATGCTGATTACATTTCCCGAATCGGTCCCGGCCTTTGCGCAGTTTCGGACAACGGAGCTGCAGATGGAGCCATACTTGTGAGAAGGCCTTGCTTGCCAGTGCATTCTGCAACGAAGTCACATAAGCCAAAGAAGCCAATGTGACCAGCTACTGACCGTGATTCCATAGTCCATCTGCTCAACAATCCAAAGCTGCATGGGCCATTTCTTCTCCTCTGCGAGCTTTTTGTCGGATTGCTGGCTCACTTCGCTTTGAGCAGTTGGACTCGGTGAGGCCTGCAAACTTGCGAGTGAACACAGGCATTGAGGAAGTTGCGCTTTAGGTCATCTACGGTCTGCAGGACAGCGCCCGCCCCCTTTTGGAAAGCTGAAACCCAAGTGCCTCTGTACATCGGCTCCAGTCTGCGAGTGGTTCATCATCGCTTCCCCCCCATGAAGCTCGCGATGCCTGACGCAACCAGCAAACACCAATGAAGAAGCGCGCGACGAGCTGCCACTCGCTCTTCTAGTGCTTGCCGCAGCGGCAACAATTGCTCAAGAATTCCGCCTGGGAGTCCTGTGACCGCGCAGCGTTTTCTGCGCATCTGCTCGAACGACCGCTTCCTGGCGAAGGCGTTGTGGGCAACACCCTGCTGCTACATGCGAAACATGTGCATCTTTATTTGGAGTTAAACCCCGAGCAGTCCATGCTGGCTGTTCGCTTCTGGGGCAGGTGACTCAGGAACCGTGGGCGCTGCCGCCTCATGCTTCGCACACATAAGGACAGCAAATGGAAAAGCTCATTCAAATACACAAAGGAAAGCGTCAAGGAACTGGATTTGGAAGACGGCCTACTTCTGAAAACTTCCAAACCCAGTGGCTTGCGCTAGAGGTCACATTGATGTCAACTGCATGCATGCAGGCATACATCTGCCGAGACGTCAAAAACAAGCACGAGACACGAGACAAGCAACGGACTGCTGGCAGGCAACCGTGGCAACCTTGCTTGGGCTGTGCTCCTCTTCCTTCGTTTCACTGCGCGGAGCTTCCTTGGCGAAAGCTAAGAAGCTGTTGGCATCAAGCGGCATCGAGCAACAAAGGTTGAGCAAACTTTGAGCGGCTAGCAGGTGCATGTGGGAGCCTCGCTCCCGCATCAAGATCTGACTTGGGCTGCTCCAGTGGCGTCTCTGCTTCAGAATATTCTTCAAACACCTGTAGCACTGTGGGCTTGACACTATCTCAAGCGAACATTGGATTAAAAGCTGCATACTCTCGGCCCTACCAATACGGCAGATATCCAAAGAAGCATCAGCACCTGGGTGTCGGCGTAGCAGAACGCAGCGTCAACTTAGCATCAGGCTAAGTTCGAAGCATTGGCAGCAAGGGTTCGCTTCCTTCGCTTCCTTCAAGCCTGGTGGCGTGGCGGAGCCGACTGGGGCAGAGTCGGCCGGACAAGGCCTGCGATAAATCGCCAAGCTGCATTTACTCTTGACATGATTTCAGAGCTCCTGCTTCCTCGCTTACTTGTGTTGATTGCATCGCTTCCGTGTTCGTGCACGCTGCTTTCCGCACTACGCAACATGTACTACCGTGCACAAAGAAACCAGAAACGCAGGTCTTTTTTGGCTGTATGTGCACTTCATTCTTCGCCGTTGGAACGAGGCCCGCAGAAATGTTTTTGATTTTTAACCAAGCAACTCTGAAGTGGTCAAGGCATGGGACATCCTCTTCGACTGCTGAACAGAACTGTCCGAACGAGTTGAGAGATTTCAAGGTTCTTGTTCCCTTACCTTCAAGCGAGACTGGCTGCAAAACGACTTCCTTCTCTCCATTGCAGTCTCAGCCGATATCGCTTAACTAATCTCACTTAATGAGCCAGGCGTGCAGATACATCATGGTCACTACACAGGAGGGATAAACAAGCGAAACACTGGTCCTGAGGTGGAGCGGCCTGCAATTCGTACGGTAGAAGGCCGAGCATCATCAAAGCCCTTCGCATGTCATTTGGGACGTCTGTGCCAAACATGGACGGACAGCACCGGTGGCCATCGAATAAGACATGCAAGAACGTCACTGCAATGCTCTACCACCTGCAGCTGTTGCGATCTGCTTCGGCACGGCATGCAATCTCAAAATCAATTACTGCCAAAATCGCATATTCCGAATCTAGCATGGAAGCGCTGGTGTTCGGCAGCCTGCATGCCATCAATCTGTGTGTCTCCCAGAGCGCCGATGTGCTCCTGTTTGAATTGTTTGGATGTTCGCAAGAACCCCTTAACTAGCATTAGCAGCCTTGGCATGTACTTGTTAGTCTTAGTCTTCTTCCCTTCAGGCTATGCACCTCTTTCGGCACCTCTTTATGGAGGCACAGCAGCACAGCTGCGAACCCGACAGTCCGTCCAGACGGTTGTGGTCAATGCGAGTTGGAAAACGAAAAGGTAGCAAGGAAGACCCCCCCTCTCCCGTCTTCTCCCCGAGCCCCCTTCCTAAGCCCAGAAAGCCCAGAAAGCCAACGAAGTGGCCATGGGACTGGCACAAAGCCACACGACCGGCGAAACCTGCCACATCGCCCAGGCTGGCAGAGGACGACAAAGGTGTTGGAAACGGCCAATGCGAAAAGACAACACCGGCAGAAGTGGCACGCAGGTATGGTGAGGGCACAAGCCTTGAAGATAGACCACATCCGACACTGGGTCTTGTGGATGATCATAAAGCTGGAAAGGGACTGAAATTACGATCGATTATCAAGTGGAGTTGGGAAGGAACAACTCTGTCTCTGGTTAGTGTTTCCTGCAGGAGCATCTATGTCGAGAGCGAGCCAAAGGTGAGCTCTCATTGCTCGTGGGAGAAAGAATACTGTATACAGCACATGGGAGCAAAGGAAGAGAATGACCGCAGTTTTTAGTTAGCCAGTTAGCCCTGATATGGGCTGCGCGGTAAGGGACACAGGAACAAACACAGAAAGCAAACAAAACGTTGATACACCGCCGAGGATAAAACAGTATACAAGTCAAGTGGGCAACTTCGGCACGCAACCAATGGACACTATGCAAAAGATGTGGTGAAGCCTTGGAACTTTTTGTAGTGTCCACAGAGGCACATGGAACACCTTACGCCTGGGATCCTTATAGACCTACTACACATTATGTGTGATCTTAAGGGTGCCTACAATCCCCCTAAAAGACCCTTCTGGCCTTAGAGTTCCACCATTGGCGTATACTAGGTCATCGCATTTTGCTATTCATCCCATGTCCTCGAACGAAAGAGAAAAAAGTTATTTGAAGGATGTGGCCTCGAACCAAGAAATTTGGCTGGAGCTTTCTCGAATACAGCCGCTCAGAATTGAGGCCCTGCAATTCTCGAACCCCTTGATGATGCGCACCCTTAACTTTGAGTTTTAGAGCCTCAAATGACGAGCTCGAATGAGTGGCCCCGCCTCAAGAAGCTCGCCATCCAATTGGGAGTCGCGCAAGGTGTCGCTCGTCTCAGCATCAGCCTGGCCTCGAGCCCACACAAATTTCAAATTTTGACTTCTTCTTATCACTCTTTGTGGCCTCTCAATGATTCTCAGTGCGCCGCTTCCTCCTGAATCCACTCGTCGCGGTGACGATCGTCGCGGGGAGCGGCTGCGGTTGTGGCCTTCAAGGGTGCGGTGCCGGAACCCAAATGATGCCATTGCTGCAAAAGCTGCAAAAGAACATCAAGGACATCTATTTGCCGTTGGCGTCCGAATGTCGTAAGCGTTGCTCAAGTTCGAATGCATCACCCGAAAGCCCAAGGCCTGCTCGGTCTGCAGGTTCATGGCTTCTTCGAGGCTCCTAGCTTCATGCAGTAGCACCAAAACAGACCCTCCGGCTGCTGCAGTACTTGCAAGTGCGTCACCGGCTGCATGCTTTTCACACCATGTCTGGACTCCAAACATTGCTACCAAGCTAATGGGATTTGATGGCCAGAAAGATGTTCACCCAAACTTCAAGGTTCAGGTCCACACAAGCATGGTATGTCGCAAAGCGATGCCCGCGCAAGGCCCGGGTTGGCAAGAATCCCGTGTAGTTGCTACAGGACATGTCCACTGGCAGCCGGTTCGCTTTTGAATCTCAAGGCTGGTTCCTTTCAAGGGCTTGATTCTAGTGATTCTAGCGTTCAGTTATCTAGGAGGTTGTCCCTTTGTTGCGTATATAGCTGCAAGACAGAAACAGTGTGTTCTTAACCAGGCAGCAGTGCACAACCTTCAGCTTAGGACTTCTTCGGCCTTTTTCAGATTGGTTGTGCCAGATGGAGACAGGGCAAGAGTTTGGTGCTCTGTTGGGGGCTTCCGTCGAGCTGTGTGGGAAAAACTTTCTTGCAAAACCATGGCTTACTGGCGGATGAAACTTATCACCGCCTCTCCTGCGAACTTTTTGCACAGCTCCGTAGGCCAGGCATGACCAGCTCGCCGTCCACAAACATGTAGCTCAACTGGCCTGAGACAATTCCAATCCACCCTCAAACGCTTGTCTGTCTCATGCTCGCGTGCTCTGCATGCTCAGAAAAGGACGCAGTTTTGGTTGCAGTTCTTGGCAGCCCTCCACCACCTCTGCGCTGTTTGACACGACAGTCCTTAGTCCCGTCGTTCAACGGTATAGAACTGAAGAGCGACGATGACGTTTGGCTGCGCCTGTGCCAATTCCCTGAAACAGAAGCAGTGAACCCTTGGCCCCTTACTGTTACCAGTAGGTAGGGCTGGAAAACCTTCAATCCTCAGAGTCGCTGTACCCCGATTAAGATTGTGCACTTCTAAGACTTCATCAGAGCAGCACATCACCACCGTGTTCAGCACGTTTGCGTCCAAACTCCAGGAGAAACTCCAGAACGCAGCCCCCAACAGGTACACATTGCACCTCAAACATTTCTATGCACTGGCAGTGTGAATTCGTCGACGCATGTGAAACATTGCTTGCGCGTAAAGCAGGCGAATGCAAATCAGTTCTCTGCACAATAAACACTTCTTAATGGCTAGATTTGTCCGTTGCGGCGGTCAGCAACTAAGAGCATGCACACAGGGCTGTGGCAGCCCCGAGTTGTCACAGCGGCTTGTCCGCAGCTGGTCAAGGCCTCAGACGGGTGGCCACATGTAACCCTGTCCGCAGCCTGTATTATCTGCAAATGGGAAGACGTATGCGCTGCAAGTCGCGTGCTACTTTATGGGCCTCCAAACATACTTGGACTAACAGCAGGGGCACAGATTGCGGCAGCCCAAAAAGAAAATAGGCGGATTGCCAAAGGCCACACTCAAATCCCACCAAACTGAGGCTACAGCCTTTTGTGTCCAGAAATACTAGAATATGGCTTGCCTGAGTTTGACATACTGTTCACGGCATTCACGAAATCACATGACTTGCTTGTCTCCTCCCATTAGTATAGGAAAAGCAAGATCTCACTAAGCTGCTGGGACAAGCTCACGGATGTGGCAGTAGCAAGAGATCAGGCGGTCCTTGTAGCAAGCCAGCTTTCCCCAGCTGACTGCAAGAAAGATCACTCCAGGACCCAGGCCACCGTATCCAAATGATGCGCCGGAAGGGTCCTCACAAGCTGCACAGCCTGCTTTTGCCTGTGGAAGCTACCTGAAGCTACTACAACGGTAGCCATGCAGCTGAAGCTCCAAGGTACCATGCTGTTGCCATCGTCCCGTTCGAGACTGGACTTGTGGCCTAGAGCGCTTCCGTCAAGAAGGAATAGAGCCTGCACAAATTTGGCATTGGTTTGTGATTCATGGAGGCGAAGAAGCGCAAATGCCATACGAAGCTACATAACTATGACACGTTGGCAGGGGAGCTACTTCTGGCCTCGAGGGCATCAGATCGTTGCGATGCAGGGCGAGACATGTTCGTGCACCGATGCCATGTGCGCAGATTCGCCGCGCCATTGCTCGGGCCACTAACGCTGCCAGCTTCAAGAATCCACCGAGGTAGAAACCGCCCGTGCACCCTTGTCCGATTGCACAGGAATCCAAATTCTGTCTGTATCAGGCTCGGCTAATCTAGATTCATTACTCCATAACCGATGTTCGTCATCACTGTCTTGGATCGGGACGCCAGCTCCAGCAAGGACAAAGATCTACTCCAGAGCAGTCCATCCTGGCAAACTGGCACAAGAGGCATCCAAACCCCAATCATGGCAGAGCGCACGGCCAAAGCACTCGCTTTGTTGCAGTAAACATGTTGCCGCTCTAACAAGCAATTACTAACCACACCCTTGGTCACCGGTACACTGACAGCGGCATGGTATCTGTTGCAGCATCGACCAGCCACCACATCTCAAACTGCCATGCAGGCATCTTGGCAAATTAAGTCCGTGATGCAGCGGCCTCACACGCTTCAGCTGCCTCGATGAGCAGGCGAAATCCTCGCCAGTTGCGTGGGCTGAGCTGAGCAGTACCAGGCCATGACAAAAGTGCTTCCTACAAGAAATCTAGAATAGGCCCTGCCGGGACTCTAGGTGCAGATCACCTGTCATGCTGCTGCCCGGCTCCTGCTTCTGCACCAGGCTGGGACATGAAATCATCGTACCTTCATATGCCCCTACATCACTAAAACGACTGAACAGTGCTGAGCACTTTCATGTGCAAATGCTCAGGAAGAAGTTATCTTGTCAAACGATTCGTTGAAAGCAAGCGGCAGCTTCATGGCGTCTGCCGCCGCAGCTGACCTCTGGCGTGGAGGCCAGCGGCACCTCGAAAATTGCTCATGCCCTACTGCGGACAACTTCTGCAAAAAGCAAGCTGCTCGCGATCCGTAGGGACGATCTACCTTTGGGATAGGTGGGAAATAGTTCAGGCACCATAAATTTGATTTAAAAAGTACACTTCCTCATCCATCCTCTACACTGACTAGTACAAGTGCCATTCAGTACTTGAGAAAAGGTGGTTTTTGACCTGGTGGTCTTTTCAGTCAAATGATTTAGAAATCACTTGCATCTCTTGAAGTTGTACTACATTCTGCCTGTCCCAGACCCACGCACCCGTGTCTGCGCTCACTGTTACCTGCTTGGGAGGGACATGGTGGGACCTTACTGATACGGTACATGAAGTTGCAGCCATTCAAAAATGGCGTTGGGCTTCTTCAAATCTGACCTATGTCCTTGCAGAGCGATGCGTTTCCTTCACTGGCGTGTGCAAGACACTTGCCATCAATGCGCGAAGTCGACACGCATACGCGCCACCGCCTGACAAACACTTTGCACAAAATTCGCGTTGATTCAGCGGATGAGATGCAAACAAAGCAAGAGGCGGCACGAATGCTTTAAAAAAAGTAGTGCTGGTGTTGTTGCTACGTTGCGCAATCCCAGCACACTGGAGCGTTTCAGCACCCACGTGGCTTCTCCAGCCTTCGGTGGTGCTCCGGCAGCAACAGCGGAGGCAAGTCTGTTACATGGATTTTCAACAAGTGTGGGCTCTTCTAAGCAAAGGCTAGTGCTAGATTCAGACCTGCATGGCTAATAGTCTGAAATCGGGAAGACCTGATTCCAATGTGGTCACCACCGGCGGCAGCACACGAGCACTCATGTGCGCCGTTTGTTGGAGGAAGCGGCTGCAAATGGATGGTGAATTCACCATCCTTGCTGCGACACACATAAGAAGATCGGGCGGAAGTCAAAGCTTTCCAGCATGCACAGCGGCACCTTCTTGATGCATGTCAGCCCGAGCTAATTGCTGGGCTGCAGCAAGCTTTTTACAAATACGCCCGACCAAGTAACTTCAAAGCTGCGAGATCGCTGTCTCTGATCACATTGTGACATTGATTAAGCTGGGACCTCAGTGAGACATCACTGCAGCACGGCTACTCCGGATTTCTGCTCCAACCTCTCTATCGCACTCTCATCGAATAAGTTGCTGAATCGTCAGGCGGTTGCAACTTATAGCTTGGACTACCAACTCAAACATGAAATGCCAGTGCCAATCCCTGCCTTGTCCTCCTCTACCTGGTTGACCTTGGTGAAGAAGGAGGGCCCGGTGCTGCCCGTTGATTCCCCGCGTCTCTTCGCTGCGAACGCAGCCTGCCAACTGCTTGGGCAACCCATTTTTGAACGCTATTAAGAATATGATATGGGCCAAAGATGACCGCAGCAAACCGTACCAGACCGTCATGAACACCAATCCCGACAATAACGACAAAGTTGGAATCCATCATGACAATGCGCCTTCCTATAGAACCCATCATACCCATAGCATAGCCTGACCTAGCATCCGCCAGACTACAAGGACGAAGAAGTACGAAGAATCCAGGTCTGTAGCAACAGCAACACCCTAACCCCCCCAAAAAAAAGGGAGAATTAGAGAAACGCAAGGTATTGTAAGAACCCAGTGCCTCCGCAGCTTCGCGGTGGCGTTTCTCCCAGTCGTCCACCAACTGCTTAGGCAACTGCCCCATGCCGCCGCTGGGATGGTTGGAATAAAGGAACAAGAACCTGGTTCGCAACAGGAAGGTTCATTGAGGCCTGTCCGCCTTGCTCGGTTTGAGCTGGTCCTTTGTCGAATTTCATGGTGTGTTCTTTATTGCCGCTCGATGTTCTGTGTCCTCTTGCCATTAGTACTAGACTAATGCTAGGGCCTGTGGGCACTACATCTACCCTTCACTCATGTTTTTGTCCTCCATCCATCTTCCGCTTCCATTCTTCGCTTGTTCATGTCTTGTCTGTCCCTCTCATACTCACACCTTGCCTTCCATGCTGCGTTTTTGGGGCTAGCCTTTGCATTTTGCAAAGGTGCTGGGTTGTTCCTTCTCTTTCTTGTCATTCGTTTTCTGTCGGCAGTTCCCCTCATGTTATTCAGCATTCATTCCACCTTGCATTCATCTTCCACATCAATTGTCATTGCTCTTCATTGGTCGATGATGTTGTCTTCTTATTCTTTCCAGGCTGTGTGCCGTCATGAGACGACACTACGTCCATGTCCTTGTCACCTGTTCTCTATTGCCGTGCTCTTTTCAGTGTTGCATGCTAGTCGCTGAAGTTTGAGCTTCTGTCCCCTGGTGTTGCATTCGTGCCGTGCCGTACTTTCATCATGTCACGTGGAAATCCAATATCGAGGCTGTCAATGCCTCATGCAATCTGCCGGCGCGTGCTGAAGCAGATCTTTAACTGCTGCAGCGCCTAGCCCACACCGATTCGCAGTGAAAGTATTCATGTTCTGCTTCCGAAGCCATTGGGCTCACTTATGTAACTTGTGGTGTCGCTCTTGCTTTCTGCATGTGGTCACCCTGGTCTTACTGTTCCAGATTGATGATGCAAAGAAGCACGTGCACATCATGTGGCTAGCCCGTTCTACATGGCAGCATGTGATCAGACAAGAGGCTGGATGGGGAAAAACAAAAACTGCAAAAATGGCTTCCAGGCCAAAGTCAAATAGGATCTCCAATCGGTGCCTTTGTCCTCATCTTCCACACTGGCAAAAAGGCACATCACACTCTCCAGATATAAAGCTATGAAACGCACAGACATGCAACAAAGGGGCGTCGTGTGGAGACCAAGGAGTGCCAAATGCCTAGGTACCACATGTCTGCTTGACATGACCCAGCCAAAGTTTATGTGCAGGTGGTAGCAGCCAAGTCTTGGGGCTTGCTGAGGCAAAGGCATTGATGATGAGATCAGATGCTAACCCCGAAAGTAGAGAGATTCCCGCTACACGCGGCATCCGGTTTTGGTAGAATCGCTGCAGGGCATCGGCCGTCACCTCAAACAGCATCTGCACTACAGTGCTCTTCGCACACTATGAGTTCCGCTTTTTTTGCAACCAAACCTTCGGGTCGAAGTCCTGGGAATAGGTCTTCGAGGAATCCAAGATTCGCACCAGCTCATATGCATCCTGCTCACTGCAGCCCCCTTGAAGCGTGCTGCACTGGCACCGAATTCGCGCGCACGTCTTCGTTAGCAAAACCCCGCCTCAATTGCCTGGCAGCCGCCCTGGCCCAAGTTCCTGCGCTGGCACTCTCGTCAACTCTCTCTCAATGGCTCTCAGGCAAGGGCGTACGGACCACTACTGTACTGTGCTTGGGCCCAGCTGCGGCATCATGGGATGAACCGCGTCGCCCATGAGAACCACGTTGCCTGAGAGTTCAAAAAGCGAATGTGCGGAGTCCAGCAATCAGAAATACCAAAGTTTCAGCTGAAGGAACGCCTGAATCATCCAAGATGCCATCTGCCCATGACCGAAAGAATTCGGGCCAGCGGTCATACAAATCTCGCCTCAAAGCTCTCACAGACATCTCAGAGGCTAGACCCCAACAAGCGCAACTGAGAGTTGTAAATCCTGACGAGTAAAACTTGTCCTGATTATGGTTGCACGCACCCTTAAAGGGGGCCTTCAACTGCTTGCAAGTCACTGCTCCACTGATTCTGCAGGTGTGTTGTCCAAGACATGGAAGACTTCTTCGCTCCAGCCTTGCGAACAGCGTTTCGTGCACCCGTGCTTGCAGCACTTAGAGATGCTGAGAGCAACCCCAGAAATGCAATCACACAAAGCCTTTGAACTGGCTTCATACGAAGAACTTTCTGTTAACTCGGTATTCATGTTTGAGGACAGCTTCAGGTTGGGATCCGTGCCGTGCAAGCACTGCTCACTATCAGGAGAAGCGGCCAGCGCAGCCAAAAATATAACTTATAACCATTCTGGACGCTACGTAATTCGGACTCAGCAGAATTCAGCTGAAACGAACGACCTGTTTGTTTGAGGGTTGCAGGATTGTCGAGGATTGCCCCACAGGGCAGTGCCGCATTCTGATGCCAGCTTCAATCAGAAAGACAGAGACATGGAGCTGAAGCCCGAATGGACTTCCACAGTCTTGCGTGGGTGCTTCGACTGCTGCTCGGAAAAAAAAAAGTCGCTTTGAGACATAGCAGTACGACCACGCATCGGTAGTGGGCATGTGCTGCTGCACTAGGTGACACACAAGAGCAGCTGCAGCTTGAGCAGAACCATTCCACAAATCTGACAAATATTTCGTTCATCCTGGCCTTCATGCAAGGACTTGAGGTAAGAAATGACATCGGCACCCTCCTTGGCATCTCCACCCTCGCCAGCCCATGTGTCACCGGCCTGGCAGAGAGTTCTCGAGCTTGAGCAGTGATCACTTATTCTCCGTGGTTTCATTGTCCCTCCTAGAGGTATCAGCAACAATGGCTCGCACATAGCTTGCAGCTCTACAACGCCGGCCTTTCGCGTTCCAGGCGGCAGCGCCAAGAACGCGTACCATTGAATGCGGCCCTCGCCCACGTCAGACGTCACAAAATACCTGGCGCATGAGAGCTCTGAAGTGCCATTAAGAAGGGTCGAAGCGGGAAATCAGAGTGAATGAAGCAGAAAGCCTCTGCGGACCGATGTAGACCTTGTAGCCGCACTCGTAGTAGTCCGGCACCTCCGTGGGCAGGTTTTGGTTCCCTCGTCCATTAATCAGCGCGCCTAGGAAGCAAGCACTTAACATTTCTACCATCTCAGGCATAGCGCATCCAGCACGGTCTCACCGGCAAAAACGGTGTATCCTGAGTACCGGCAGCCTTGGATGGACTTCCCGTCCTGGATCCAACAGGTTCATGCAGAGCACAGAGTATGGTGCAGTAAAGTGCTGCTCCAGGCATGTTAGGACAGCTGACAATTTGAAGGGAGCAAAAGCTTGCCATGTCCTCTGACCGAGCTTTGACAGCGCCTTCGTTGTACATTTCTGCGCGAACCGCAGACCAGATTCCATCGGAGCCAACCAAGATGTCGGCTTCTTCTGTCGTGCCGTCAGACATGTGGACGGTGACTCCTTTGTCATGATTCTCCTTAAAGCATTGCTGGGCAGAGCGAGCGGAAAGTTTGCCCAGCTTGCAGAACATCTGGCCAGGTCTGACAATGCAGCTGAGAAACATACTTCTGTACGGACACTCCGTTGACAATGAAGTCTTCCTTCAAGTCCTTGCACTCATCGAGGAGAATGTCTTGCAAGTCTGGCCTGTTAATCACGCCTGTGTAGGGCAAGTTAAAGAAGTCTGCACACTCTTTGAGCGGGAACGAAATGAACCAATCTGCAGGCACGTCTTTGTCAACGAAGTATGATGGATTCAGAACATCCGTCATGCGGAACTCTCCATTGGAGCGCAGTCCATCTTTGATGCCACATCGACGAGTTGCTGTGAAGGTGAACTTCTGCATGACTCTATCAAAAAGTCGCTCATCAATTGCCTTCAGCGTCGACGTCGCATTGCTTGCAAACTGGATCGGGCCGCCAAAGCGAGCAAACTTTCCGGTCTTCTCGTATACGCGAACATCCCATCCTTTCTTGAGCATGGCCAGGGCACAGGTAAGACCACCAACTCCACCGCCAGCAATGATGACCTTCAACTTCTTACCTTCCTTTGGCTTCTCCCCTGCTTGAGTCCCAACTTCTGCTACCACGGACGCCGTTCTGGCAGTCTTCACTCCCCGTGCCCGCCGGCCTGAGCGTCCAGAGGCCGCCAAGGCACCGAGCAGTGCTCCGGCCGCGCATTTCAGCGGGACTGGACTGGAGCTTGAAAGCCTGGTGACCCTGTTGACCTCTGACGACTGCACAGGTGAAGGTGCTGGCCGATACGCTGGCCTTTGCGAAGCGACCGCTGGCGACAACGCGGCCATGGCAAAATCTGAGACGCGGAAAGGCTAAGCTGAAATGGCTGCCTTGCAAATCATGCAATGGCGAATCATGCAATGGCAACACTTCAAGGTACTCGGCGAACTCTATGCCACCCGAAGTTGCCTCTGCATGAGAGACAAGCAGCGAAGCACACAATGCCCAGTGCTCGAGAGCTGCAAGCTTGGCAAATTAGTGGCCCTAGCAAGAACTGAAAACTTCTCTCTCAAAAATCTCAGCTGGCTGCAAATCCTGCAAGTACGATTATTCGCCGAGGCTATCCAACCCCAGGGTGTTTGGAACCCTCAAAAACCCCCGTCTACTCCTCCTTGCAGACCACCCCTCGTGGGTGGCCTAGTCCAGCCTGACCATCCTCGAGGCTTTGGCAACAAGAAGCATTTTCGTCCAAGACTCCCTCTTCCCTTTTCCCCCCTCCCCCCCCCCTCCCCCCCATCCCCCCTTCCCTTTCTTCTATACGGGTGGGACATTTAAATTCCGACCTGGAACGCACTCCTGCTCCTTGAGGCCAGCTCTACGGCTCTCAAAGCTTGCGAACTCCCTCACTAAATTAAAGGCTGATGGACTAAGCCCAGCCAACCCCCTCCATGAATGCTGGAACAGGCATGCAACAAACACGTCTAAAGTGAGGTTTGCCTACGTTACTCCCTCGACCCTAAACCCCACGTGTCAACTACGTGCCATGACATGTTCGTGTGCTCCGCGCCCCGCCAGTTGAGGCGGACGCGCGATAGCGTTTATAATTAACAGGCGACTTCTCGCAGTAAAAGTTGAAGACTTCTCCGGTGCCTGAGGACCTGGCGCTCTCATTGCCGACGCATATGTCCACGAGTCAGAGGCAAGTCCCAACTCGCCTCGGAAGCTACGCATGACGTTGCTGCTGCGCAGGCGCGGACATGGAAGACCGCTCAAGACAACACGCTTTGTATGAGACTACCACACTGAAAAGGCCATTCGCTGGACGAAGGACTTCTTCATTTCCCCGCTGATCTGGCCAAACCACGGTTCTGGAAGGCCACACTTGGAGCTGCGACTACTTGAGGCCCTCAATTCACACAACTCGGAATCCACCGACTTGCTCGTTTGTGAAACCTATCAGCCTAAGGCCTACCTTTCAGAAGCGTCGGCCCTGCTCGACAGTGCGGAGCTCACGATTTTGCCCGCGCCTGTGGAACTTGTTTTTCGATAACAAGGCGCATCTGTCTTTCATTGCTGGGTTTGATCGTGTCCCCTGCCAGCCTACCCGGCTGATTGCGCGGTGGAGGGTAGTCGTGCAGCCCACCTAGACTAGCACCAGGGTGTCTCAGCAGGCGGACCGGACATGTGCGTGCTAGCTGTGAAGGCAAGCTGCTCGTCAAACGGGCCTGGATGCCCCACGCCAGTTGCCATGTTTTCCCCAACAGAATTGAGGCCAGAAGAAGCAGAACCAGCCCACGCCAGGCATGCCTGGAGAGACCAGTTTCCATGGAACTGTGAGATAAGAACGCCTGCGACACCTCTCAACGCCCCAACGGCCTTGCAAGCAATGTGGGCGCGACGCCCGCTGCCAGGACCAAGATACACCGGCAGAATCTGACGACCCTTCTGGAGTTCCGCACGGCCGCGGTGCAGCTCTTGCAGTGCGCGGTGTGCTGTGCTTGCCCTCATGAGACAGATGTGAATGCAACAACCCCGTCAGTCCTAAAGATGTCCTATGACATCCTGAAACAAACGGTGAGAACCTTCCCGCTTGCACACCGGGCCACTGTCAAGCAGCTCGGCTGAGGAGGGCCAGCGGTAGCGATACTCATCGACAGCTGACTCTGCATGCGGGGGCGGCCCTACGCTATCAAACCACCTTCGGAACGCCGTAACGAACGTGTCCGCACTGGTTGGCATGATGTATTTCTTCCTTAGATTATCTTTTTTGCACCCTGAACAAAGTCCAGGCACCTCGGCATGCTGCTTATACGAGAGCAAATCAAGCGACCATCCGCCTGCATCTTGCACCTGCCAGGGCTGCTAGGGACAAGCGAAGCCAAGTGCCTCATTTTGAGCACCACACAGGTGCTGAGAGCCTGTCGCTCCTGGATGGGCAAAAAAATGTTGTCATCGTCTAGCACTCGGAGCTGTCCCAGGTGATTCAGCCAGTCCGGCAAATGCCTGGAAACGGAGCTTGTGTGGCAAATGTCCTTTCACCCGTGTCTTGCAAAGACACTGCAGCATTTTGTACGCTGTAAGCCCCCGGCTTGATGATAAGACGCGGCAGATTCGGCCCAAACTTGGGAGCCGGGAAGCGAAACGGAAACCGTGCGAATAAGCGACTTCTTCCAGGTCCTCAAGCAAGCATCTCTGTGTAATTACAGAAGCCCCTCTCCAACCACGGCAAAGCTGTGGCTACCTGCAGTGCGCTCTGAGTTGTATTAATGACTTGGCCAGGTTTGCCCACGTGAGTTGATGCATTCGTAGGGTTGATGTCCGCATTGCCCTCGCTTTGCACTTTCAGTTCACCTTAGTCAGACCTGCTGACTGCACTCCTCTGTGGTCTGGTGCGTGCCTTCGCGCTTCAAACCCGACATGAGCGTTGGGCCTGTCGGTCCTGTGGGCGTTGCATAAGCCACTGTCCAGGTTTCGAACCTAAAGGCACGTGTCGACAAGCTAGAAGGTTCCAAACAAACAAGCATGTTGGCCAAGACACCCTTTTGTCAGGTCGCCATGGGAATCGGAGGTTTGGATGCGATGGTGCATGTAGGTCGGCGCATGAAATATTGTTGAGCGTTCTGTCACCTTGCCATTCTTGATGGCATCTGTTCCCTGCTTGCCGACAGGCGTGTCTCTCTTGAATGCTCCGCGAAAGCCCGCAGCAGAAATGCGCTCAGTGATTTGCAGCGGCAATGGCTGTGCATTCTCCCTTTTCGAAACAGTCTTGTGATGGGTGAACGGCACGTGGCTGGAATCCAATAAATTCTCAAGTAGAATATCCGCAGAGTACGGCATGTCTCTGGAAACATCTATCCAAACAAACTCGCTGTCTTCCAGTGCATCACAGAGAGGGATCAAGGACTCGTCCACATCTTGAATGCTGGCCCCTGGTTGACCCCATACCCAAACCAGACCCTGTCGCTCCGCTGTGTGCAGAACTGTCGCGGAGCAACGGCTCCGAAGAACCTCGTTACCCATCTTCGCGGCCTGTGCCAGCGCCAGGCGCTGAATGCAACTACTGCAACTGTGCTTTGTCACAGTTGTCATGGCCGGGCCTGCGGAACCTTGTGACAAGCGCCGTCTCGCCCGTCGAAAGTCCAGCCATGATACGGGCATTCCTTGGTGAGAACTCTGTGGTGAGGAGCTTATCAGCTCACATACGTCTTCCCATCACCTGTCCAAACTTCATTGGATTACATGAGTAATTCGCATCTGAGCTGAGGATAGACCATGGCACAGCGGCACGGCGCGCGTTCTAGAAGTCAACATCACTATCATAGCTTGCAACGCCACCTCAAAGCTGGGCCTTGCAAGTTTGTGCTCAGCCTGCTGGCCCCAACTGAAATGGGGCGCCCCTTACAATTAAGATTCGAAACGGCACCTTTGGGTGCGGGCAGGGGAAAGGCCTGCTCTCTGGATGCCTCCCAGCTTACAGATTTGACAGTCCAAGTATCCAAGAGCCCGCTCTCATCCACGCGTCCCTCAGAAAGTGGTGCCATGCGGTGCGGGCACCTGTCCACAACCACACGCCAAGCCTGGCTGCCTGTGTCCCACCTCGGCTGAGAATAGAGGTTGAGCCACTTGCCAAATCATTTCGAAAATAAGAAACAAACACAAAGCCCCACTCACAGCAGGCATCAACACTCAGATCAAAGATGCATAAAGCAGATGGCTACAGACAAATATCCTTCGGAATCTGCCACCACAAGAGCGACATTCATGTAACTTCACTGCTGTAACTGTCACACTAAGCGCGCCCTGCTAATCGAGCCTTACCGAACCGTGTCTGAAGCATTCTCTGGATTGATATGCAGGGAGGGCTGGTTTGGTTGCCAGAAGGGAAAGCAAGGAACAACAAACAACAAACAAAGAACCTTGGGTACAATGCGGGGGTCTGCTCATGAGAGATTTGGCAACTTCATTGCTGAAGCAATGCTGAGATGACTGAAAGCGCACGGCAAGACAGAAACAAATGCCCTGCATGTTTTCATTGGCGTTGCATCCGCTAAGAAACAAACACCAGGTTGCTCTTGTGTGCCGGCAGGCAACCACAACACCAAACCGTCTCCAAAGAGCTCAATGCGATGTGGTCTGGCTTTGTCCTAGCGCCAGTCAAGCTGAGCTACTCAAGGCACTCTGCCATTGAACCGGAAAGTACATTGAGGTCTTTCAACAGCAGTGCCAGCTCAGGTGCAGGCAGTCACTTTCGAGAAAGCGACTGGGTACCAGTTGTCACCTTCTCGTGTTTACAACCAAGGTCTTGCAGCATATTAGGGCATGCAGAATGCCATCCAAGCGGCGCCATGAGAAGTGCTCCCAATCCTTCGCCATCAGCACGCCATCCGCTGCAGCTTTGCGGGCAGTCTTACCTGCTTGTGGCTTCGATCTGCCCATGAGCTTCTCACAGGAGACCAGCGTCACCTCAAATCTGACGGGTTGGAATGAGGCCACAGCAAGAACAATCCGACTAACTGGCAAACATTAGCTAACTGCTAACTTCCCTCCACTTCGCTGCGCCGGCATACGTCGCGGTGCCTACACAACCCCAGGTGCCAGGTGCAGCACATCCAGTCACGGCCGCTGCCAGGACCACAGCATCTGCACAAAGGATGGTGCGAGCGACCTCAAGGCTCAGCAACTGCATGCGAGCGGTCTGTGTTTTTGTTGCCCCAGGAAAGAAAGATTTCTTGTCCGAAGCCAAAAGTCGGGTGCTGGAACTGGAGCAGGGTTCCCAGACGCATCTTTTCGCTCTGAAGCTGCACCGCAAAGCCAAAAGAGCACGTGCGACAGGATGGCGATCGACGCGCCAAAGCATGCAGGCCACCTGACAGCATCGTTTGTTTGCCGTCTCATGCCCAAAATAAAAGTTCTTCTGGCCTGCCGTTACACACGAGAAGTAAGCCGCACAGCTCCCCCAGGACCTTCCAGGCGATCAATGTTAATCATTCTGTCATCGGGCTGCGACTTGGACCGGCTCTCGCGCAATTTGTGTAGGCTTCCTCTCTAGTATTGCTGCAACTCGGCTCTAGTTCGACTCGCCTTTTCTGAGTCAGAGTTGCTTTCCATCTTTCTTTCCGACAGCCTTTGATGTAGGCTCGTTAGCCTACCCCTGGGGCTCGCCCACGCCCGTGTCGGGCCTCGTTTACGATTTAACTCCAGGAATGGACCTCACCTTACATCCACAATGAACTGTAAGACTATGCTTTACATACATGATCATTGGGTCTGCACGTACACCCGTGGTCCTGTGCGTTTGAGTGGGGTAGGCCTTTCGGGCATGGATCCCTTCAGCGGCTAGATAGAGGGCCTACAATGGCCTACAAGCCTTGCAATTTTCAGCGCACTTTTCATACTCCCTCTACTGAGCTAGATCTGAAGCTGGATAGGACTTCAGTCGCAAGACTTGAAGTAGTTGCTCTTGTTGGCGCGGACGCTTCTACCTCTTCTTTGCACTCCGCCTGCGGACTTCTTGTTTTTCTTCTCGCTTTCATCACTTCATTAACGCGGCAAAAGCCCGGCACTGAGGAGAGGCGCAGATTCACGCACGTATGCCCCTTTCTTCATGCTAGCTTTGACATGCTTTGATCTTCGATGTCGACGCATCTCTACGCACATGTCAAGTAACACGCCACCTCTTGGATAGCTGGCTAACAGCCACATTAGCCACTTACCCTTGCAGAACTGCCCACTGCGCGCGGTGTGCCATGGTGTACCCTTTCCTGCCCTCAACCTGGCTACACAAATCTGATGCTTCTGTCCTGGCATGTCGTTCTTCAATTTTTGTCTTTCTGTCCTCCTCATCCTCTGCCTTCTCCTGATCCTCTTCTCCCGGCCCCTTTCGATTCGCCTTCAAATTGGAACGGGCCGCTGCTGAAAAAGCCCATTTCCTCATAGGGTGCCTCTCCTTCCCATGATCCCTTGCGCACAATGCCGTCGACTTCACTTGGCCTTCAGGCGCACGAGCAAAGCCCAGCGTCGAGAGAGCGGATTTGACTGCCAGGCAGCCGCAGACTCCTTGAAGCAAGGCCGCATTTGGGTGCTGCTGACTGGTGCCATTGCAAGCCATCTGCATATCACAATATATCCAACCTACTTCAGGGCATGGCTCCGCCAGCTGGCTGGCCGCCGTAGGAGCGAAATCAACTAGAGCTACCAGGACCGTCGCAGAGCGTGCAAAGGCATCCAGCCAGGATCGCCTAGACGACCAAAGTGCTGCCACAGAGGTGGCGACATAGACGGGCTTGACCTCAAAGTTCAGTTCTGTCTTCCGGTCTCTTTCCGATATGCTTCCATCCTTCCCCTGTCTGCACGGCATTGTTACCCTGATCCACGTGGCCCCACTATCCAGAAATCTGTCTTGTGACTGATGAATTTCTCAGGCAAGATCTGACTTTAGCCAGTTGCAGGGGCGGGGCATTCTAGCGGGCTCAGTGCGCACAGGCCTGGCGCAAGCTCCTTAACCTTTCGGCTGCTATCTCCACATCCGCGATACTACCGGATTCGGCATTAGAACTGGAAGTACGTGCTCGTATCAAGGAAGTGCAGGTGACATATGGCCCACTAGGGATGCAGACTAGCGAGCATTCAAAAACGAAGTTGTGGTTCGAATCCTCCCTAGGAGTTATTCCAACAATTCCAAAGCCTTAAAAACACATCTTGATACTCAGACGTCGACCCAGCTGGCTTCGAACGAACGGCTTGCTTCAGATGCCTCAGTCGCCTGTGCCCGCTGTGCCCGCAGTGGACGTCCCTGTTGCCTTGGCAAAGCCGAAGGCAAAGCGAAGGTGTCTGCGCCTCGGATGCTCACGCGTAGGAACTCTCAAGAGGATGCGTCGAACCAGGCTGTTTTAAGAGTGCGCGTCAATTGAAAGGCCTTCGCCAATGACTTCCACCAAAGTGACTGCAGCTTTGGAGCACCGCCCATGCAACTGCTAAGGCGCAGAACGCAAACGACGGCCTGCAAACGCAAGCATCTTCAGCCAACAGATGTTGACAGCATCGCAGTAACGAGGCAACGCTGGGCCCTAATCTGTCCAAGAACCCTTGACTTAAATTTGTGCATGCACTACACCCTAAACGTCACTACCCCTGCTCAGGCAGCGGCGCCTCCTCTGTTTCTGCTGGCAGCGAGGGAGTTCAAAGTGGTTCCAAGAAGCCATCTCAGACTCTGAGTAGATCGTAACCAAACAACATTTAGCTGCTCAGTGCTGGATTCTAGGTGGCTGTCTGACCAAAGCACTGCTGATACGCACCTTTGCCGACAACCAGGAGGAGTTCGGGACATCTTGAGCCACCTGTATGTCAAGCTTGTGCCACATGAAGCGAAACGCCAACTGCTTGCGAACCCGTACACAACAGGACCCGACAGCGGGCTGCCTTATAGACATCGCACGCTGGCGTTCGCAAAGCTGCCCGTTTATGCACATGGATATACAGATATAGATTCCTATTCATATATATATATATGTATATATACATTATACACGTACTTTTGTCTCTGATCCCAATCTGGGAGCGTTGTCGTCTCGAGCCACGGAGCGAAGCACCTCGCTCGAAGTTGAAAAAGTTTGAAATGCACCAAGTGGAGCTTTTGGGTCTTCCGGTTCCTCGGACCCATTTTTGGGTCCTCCCCGCAAGGCTCGCAGGTCACCGACTTTATACTATTCCTGCCATCAGGCAGCAACTCTTCCACCCTATCGGGGGAGTGAAACTTGAAACGCTCTGCCACGTCAGTTTGCATTGGCAGGTGCAACGTTGCGTTGCAAATCCTCCCTGACGAAGCGAAGACGTGCATGCGGGTCGAGACTCATTGTGAAACGAAGCCGTCTTTCGGTGCTGAACTTTCACTGGAGATGGCTCAGCACACCCTGCGCCACATTTGACGCAAGATCTCAACGACTTTCTGACTTGGCTCCATCGATACAAAATGCTGCGCCTGAAAAGCCTGCCACACGGCATCTGGCAATCCGTTGGCGATCACCCGCCTTCCGCGACTGCCATAATGCATCATCAGGGCCGAGGCATCCTGCGAAACCAGATCACATGCAAGCCGATTGTGGGGGCCCGCTCAGCATGTAATGTAGGGTCAAATATCGTCCTCCTGGTATCTTACGAGACTTTGCTGGAACTCGGTGTGTATCAGCAGCTCCGGAGCAGTCAGCGGCTCTCCTGAAGACGCAGATTTGCAACCCACTGCCGCGCACGTTCTGTGCAAGAGGATCAAAAATCTCCTGTCAGGTCGTCCTTCATGTTGTCGCTGCATGGAACTTCACCTACATAATTACATAACCTAGACATCAGAAATGCTGGTATGCTTCTGGTGTAACCCTGGCCCACCTGATCCAAGGCTTTTGGGCTGCACCCAAGTGATGTGGTAGGCACGCCCAGAAGCTTTGTGGCTCCACCGCCTTTGCTTGCATAGACTGTGGAATTGATGCATACAATTCTTCCAAATGGCGGCGCATGTGCTTTTTTATCGAAATTAAATCTTGTACAACTTGTGCAGCTTTTACCGATAAAAACCAAATCGTATTGCATGTGCAGTTCCTTTATCGAAAAAACAAACGGCATTGCGTGTGCAGTTTTTCCAGGATAAAAAAAAAGGCTATCTCTTGTGAAGTTTGTTCTCGATAAAAAAACTGCGCATGCAATACCATTTGGCAGACTTGACTGTTTTTTTTTACCGCGCTACACCTATCCTTGGGCCGACTTGAGCACATCACACTCACAGCAGGTTTGGGCAGCTTGCTTGAGCACATGTGGACAGAACGGACTGTTGGCAACCAGGGCCCCAACTAAACCCCTCCTGAGCTTCCTGAGCCTCTCACCCTTCCCTTCGGGCTTGAAGCTTCTCGGAACAAACGTCCAAGAAAAGCGCGGCCTAAGCTTCTCAACAAAACAAGATGGGAATCACTTTGTGGAACCATCTCAACTGCAAAGGAGCTGTCACTCCATCGCCAGATTCCGCCAGCAAGGCATCTAGCAGCTCTGCCTGATTCACGGTCTCCGGGAAGCCATCGAGAACAAAGCCTGGACTGCCTGCACCAAGCAAAGGCCCCCGCCCCAATCCAAATGAATGGCGGTTTGGCTTTCACCATGCTGTCGAGCTGCAGTCCCGGAATCGGATCCGTGCTTGGATCAGCTGCCTGATACACATCTCCCAAGGCGCTCCGAAGCTGGCTGCCGAGGAGCGTCACAACCAAATCTGCTGTTCCGGACCAGCTGCATCAGCAAGGGATCTGGAACTGTTCCATCCCTTCTGAGGATGCCTGGCCATGGTTGCGTTACACGTGTGCCGGAATAAGGCGCCCGGTGCGCGGAAAACAGCAAAGAAAGAACCAGACTGCCAGTGCACATGCTGCCCGCCTTCGATCTGCCTTCCAAGGGCTGAACCCATAGCCACAGCTGCGCGCCTCGGAGGCTGAGAGAGAGGAATTCCGGAGAAAGAACCTCGAGCACTCGATGCTCGAGCCGCGTGAGGTCAAAAATTCTGAGCTTCGGGATGGCCAGGCTCCCCGCCTCATGTCTGCCGTCAGCTGCACATGGTTCATCGATTCATTCGAGCATGCTTGTTTTTTTGCTCGCAACCTTACCAGGTTCTGAGGCAGCTGACCACTTTTGGTGACACGGTGCTTTTGCCACTTGCAGGCGGCCCCAGAAGCAGGACAACCTGGCCGCAATCGAACGCAAGGAAATTTGAGCTGTTCTTGAAAGACAAGCACCTTGCGACCCTCTGTAGTAAGAGGTTTGGATGGACGCATCACCCAATCCAAGAAATCTGCATAGCACACCTCGGCAGGTCCTCCCGTTACTGCGCAACATCAGCTCAGGGCGACGCAAGCAGCTGCAATATAATCCAGTTGCGACTCCATGTTTGTGGAATCTGTCATGCAACTGCCGCTGAGATGCCTTACCACTTTGGAGTTCTCTTGAATGTACAGCTCTCTGCGCGCTGCCATAACTCATGTCCATCAACTCCAAGACCTCCAGTAGTGCTCCAGGTCAAAGCTCTTCTGTACTGATTGGATATGATCAGGGAGCACCCTGGCAGCACCGCACCTTCAAAAGCTGCTCCTTGTCCATTTCACCAGTTCCATCCACATCATATTGACGGAAGAGCCTGGTTAAATAACTTCCGTGGGCCATTTTGTCTCACGAGCAGCTAGTGCCTCCAAGTTGCTCAATGATTTGGTTTGCCACTTGCAATGACGCCATCAAGCACTCTGAACTTGAACTGGACAAGCACTCGCGTGGAATACCAAAATATACCGATATTGCGCGCAACCTGCAATGGTCAGTTGCTTGTGTGGACCTGTGCGAGTAAATGTCTGCGCATGACCGCTCACAATAATGGATGCCAAGACCCCCGTGCAGATGCCAAAAGCTTGTCACTTCACAGCTGCGGACAATTGGATACAGCAACTACATCTTCAAGGCAGTTGCTGCAAAGACATGGCCCTTCGATGAGCATGTCTGACTGGAATGAGCCAGCGGTCTACTCCGCGGCCAGGAGGATGATTTTAACAAGGTGCTTTCAGACTGCTGGCAGCAAGCCCACATACGGATATTTCTTGTTTCTTAGCTTCTGGCACAGCAATGCAGAATGCCGGGGCGTCGACTTGCCATGTCCAGCAATTGAAGCGCTGTCTGCCAGGCCTCATGCAAAATTGAAACAGAAGCAGCCCAAAACTGACAGTTTTCCAACAACATTGTTGCCAGTGCTGCGGTCTCGGTCGAGAGCTCCACGTGCACAGGCAGAAATGGAGAGTGAGAACGCCTCTCAAAGTCGGAGTGTTTGCTGCTATGTTGTGAACCATGTGCACAGAGACTATCTCCAAAATGCGCAAATCCTACTTAATCTTTGCAAGAAGCCCTAAATGCCACCAGCCCATGCTGGTCCTTCCAGTTGTGTAGAAGAGTTGCAGCATTCGCTTGGTGCTGTGGGCTTGTACTAGTCACACAGAAGCAAACTGGGAAATGGAAACATGCCCATTTGCAAAAGGTCAACGTGCATTTTGAGCTTCTCTGCACACATGCCGCTGGCGGTCACAAGTGCTCCGGACCACGGGGTACCAGAGGCATACAGCAGTTAATGAAGCTTCCATCTGTGCTCTTCTCAAAGAAATCCAGATTCTTCCAACCAACCCAACCCTTGGATAGGATCTGCTTGAGGTCGTCCTGCCCGGTGTAATGAGGATCGACAATGAGATAAGCCACATCCCCGATGTCAGAGTCAAAACAAAGTCCAACAAGCGTATATGCGTACATCCCCGCGCCCATCATGATTGGCGTCCCCTCCGTCTCCAGGTGCTGCAGCATTTGGGGGGCTTGACTTGCCATGTCAGTGGCATCCTGGCAATACATCATTTTGCAGTCGACTTTCAAGTATTCCTGCAAAAGGTACATGCCTTCGACGGTGCCAATCCACTTCCTGCTGCCAATTTCTATCTCTCGATGCGCTTCATCGATTCGTTTTAAGAGCCTCTGGATGTCCAGGATGCTCGGGACCGAAGCGCAAGTGTAGTGCTGCATACGATACCAACTTACGCAAGTCTGCAAGGAACGGTAGGCGCAGCCCCAGCCATTGTCATCAAAGTTGTCCTTCGGGCATGGAAGATAAGCAAAATGCTTGGTCACTACCTCAAAAAGCATACACGGCACCTGTCAGTCTACAGCTTGCTTTGGTCCTGCATGTAGTGATTGTACTCATACAGACCTTTGACAAAGGCGCTACGAGTTTGCTCTGCAGAGCCTTTCCACCAGTTCGGTTTCAGACCGCAGGTTTCGTGCGGATTGGTGGGCTTGCCGGTGGCCATTGCATGAGCCTTGACAGATAGTGGCTTTCAAAGATGCACAACACAAAGCTATTCTCAACTTTGCGACAGTTCGCCTGGCCCGCGAGAGGCAGTGCCGCATGTGGAACGAGCAGTGGCTCTTCAGGAAGGCGCAGCAGCTGGTGGAGCTCTTGCCTCCTTCTCTGCTCTTCTGTTCGCTGAAGACAAACCACATGCTCGAGCAAAAAACATCGAACGGCAAAGGGGCTTGAATCTTCTCGCTGGGCCGCAACCTCATCGGTCAGACATGCAATCTGCGAGCTTGCGGCATGGAGTAGTGCCTCTGCAGCTTCGAGCACTGATGAATTTGAAGGCACATAAGCCGCAAAGTCTATCCTGTGCTTCCTCGGCGCATGGCACTGGAACTCAAGAAAGTTGGAGCATCTGTCACTTCCAAGAGCTTCTGCCAACACTTCCACCGCTACAGGGCCATGGGCAGGGAGCTTCCAGGGAACATTGACCTTGCCCTCCCGCAAGTCGGCCACAGACGGCAACAGCTGCGTACCAGGGAAGCGGAAGCGGACTTCTTCGAGGCTGTAGGCTATGGATGTCAATTGGGCCTGAGCACGGGCCTTGGGCAATCCAATGTCCAGTGAAGAGTAGATGCAGATCTCAGAGGGCTCAGCAACCTTCCACGGTCCTCGCTCCTGGCCTTCCCTCATATCCCAAGCCTTTAGCTGACCATCCTCTGCACGCGTCGCCAGAAGCAAGCCATGGGCTTCCGCCGGCACCTCTTTGGGCCACTCAGGCTTCGGAGTCTTCGAAACGCAGAGCACCCCAAGAACTTGAAGCCCGTACGGCAGTATGGACATGGCCTGCTTGTAGGAGGCAGCTGCATCCTTCCTCACTCTCGTCCATGCCAAAATATCAAAAGACAGCACACCACTAGCTAAAATTTCTAAACTACTGCCAGCGTCTTGTCAGACCAAGGTTCGAGAAACTCATGACACTCCATACAAATATCTCAGATGCTGAAAGGCGCCCCACAAGCCACATCGGCTGCGGGACCTCCGGCGAAACCATGGCATGTCCATCGCTTCCTCGAACAACAAAGCTGCACCCGGCCCCTCCCTGTGCACTCTCCAAGGAAACTTGGAGATTTATCAGCCTCTCTAGTTCTCTTTGCGGCGTGCCTAGAATGCCTTGAAGTTTGACAAACCCTTTGCTGCCCATCAGTCCTTCTAAAAGCACGCCCGTCACTGGCTTGACGAGACACGACATGGCCCCAGCGCCGGGCTTGGCAGTTGCAGTCATTCCAGGGCGGTCGTTTAGTTCTTGCAGTCGATCAGGTTTGACTACTACTGCGTCATACAGAGGCATGTATTAGAAGAGTCACTAGGGGCTCAAGATTCTCCAGATGAGACACCACTGGCTGAGAACAAAGCTTACGCTTGAGCAGTTGGCTGACAAGACTTTGAGATCCTTGAGTCAGCATCAGACAGGAACCAACCAAAAGCATGCTGACGTCCCAGCCTTCTCACTCAGCTCAAGGCCTTGTTGCTGAAGATGCTGCAGGAAGGAGAGAGCCTGGAGGAAGCAGGAAAGCATTGGATCTGGCCGGGCGAAGAGATTCCAGCAGGACTCATTGACTTTTCGTCTTCGGTCTGGCCTGCTCCCACCGCCCTGACCGGACACCTTGGACAAGAGATTCTGCCATGTCACACTTGAATGGGCAGCCCTCCTGCTATCACCCATTGCCACCACTCGTTGTGTGGGCCCAGGCAGGCTGCAATGCCGCGTTCGACATCTTCAACTGCAAAATGCAGAATCAGGACGCATCCTCACCCATCATATTTCGTGGCTCGGATGAAATATCAATCTAAGTGTTTCTTTTGGTCTGTGTCTTGGTGCTTGTGATTTGCAGGAGTTGCTAGGAATTCTCTAGGCCCAAAAAGCGACACTCAACACGGGCACTTAATTTTCAGCCGGAACGAAAGGATGCTCCACGCAAGAGCTGGATGTCGAGTTCATGGAGCCAAACTGAAAGGATGCCTTACGCAACTGCGCAAACGAATTCGTCCCAAAATGCGAGGACACTAAGCCGAGAAGCCAGGAAGCCCAAAAAAGCCAAGAAACAAGGTAGTTGGAACCAGGCAGGCCTTGAAGCCATGGAGATAAGGACACCATCAAAACAAGAGTCCAAAACTTCTCAAACTGAAACTGTGAAAACGTACAGTTCCAGTGGGATGAGTTGTATTCCTCCTGATGAGGTGCATCGCACGGTTTAAGGTCTGCATGATGGTGTCCTCGAAAGACCCTGGAACCTTCCAGTAGCAACTTGGCAGCCGCAGTCAAACCAAACGGCATCCCGACGGCCTTTGCCCATCTTCGAGGCTAAGACCTACCGCCACTTGCACAGGGGCGCACTCCAGCTCCATTTCCCAATGACAGCAAGGAGCGCGCAAGCGCCTCGTTAACAAGTCCTTCCCGAGCACACTGCTGAAGCCTCAGCAGCATGTAATTCCAGGAAGGACACACGGATCAGGCAGCGGCGCTCCCTTCATGCTTTGTCCGGGTGACAGATTCTCATCTGGCACGCGACCTTCTCGCAGGGCATCGTCCACACGACGCCGCAGCTGCTTCTGTTCCTGCGAAGACAGACTGCTGCGTCAGAGGGGTTATCTGCAAGGAGTTCACACTAAATGAATACCGGACGCAAGTATATGATGCAAACCTCAAGCTCCCAGGCATGACTTCCAAGTTTTCTGCCTAGTCTGCGTCACTTGAAACGTGTTTGGCGTTTCAGGGTTGGCGTGTGCTCCGGGCCATCTAGCACGACGAGCGCAGTGATTTGCTTTGTGACATGTGTTTGGCTAGTGCTGCTTGAGAACTTGTCCATGAGGACAGAAGACGTGAAAGTGGAATGCATCTTCCCGAGCTGTGAGACCAGTTTCCGAGCGATTCATTCGATGGCCCGTTCGAGCCAACCACCCTGGACCGCGTGCTCCTGGCTGTAGGGGCGGCCATCGAGCGACTCTATCACTTCGCTCGGCAGTGGCTTGGTTCTGGATGCATCCAGCCACTCCAGCATGCGAGAGCTCTGTGACCCTCAGTACAACAGCGTTCCACCAGCAGGGCAAGAAGGATGCTGCAACAACTTGCATCTACTGGTTCTTAGCTTGGTTGCCAGGGCGCCTCTTGGCTCGGTGGCACCATGTCCCTGCGACCTTGTGACATTGACACTTGGTGAGAGAAGTAGAAGGCTTCGCCTTGCATTCAGAAAAAAGGGAGCACTTTTCTGAAACCATCCGCAATCCGCAGCCACGCGGATGGCACAGTGGAGCTCCGCCGCAACTGAGATCAACTGAGCAAGGGGCCTTTCACGCGTGGCCTGCTGCTTGCAGGGATTCCACAAGAAGAGAAACAGAAGCATCAGAAGCATATTAATGCAATAGTTTGTTCATGCAGTTTCTGTCAGAGCCTCCAACGCCAGCCACCTTCCTGCTCGTGTTTTGGAAAGCCTGAGCCCATCGGTTGCCCGCAGAGTGTATAGTAAGGACGGCAAAAAAAGGCCAGCATGCTTGTGCGTGACAGGCAGTTTCTTCGGGCAACATGTGTTCTTGGCTGAGGAGTGCCAGGAACCAGCCCTTGCAAACTGTTTTTTCTCCTCCGCACTGAACCACTATCTCTTGTGGCAGTAACATACTTCACTTTGCGCAGCCTTTGGCCGACGAAGCCACACGTTGGGTCACCAGTCTTCCACTGCGAGGATGCTCTCAAGCATGTTGGCGTCCTGAATGAGCGTAGCATTTCGACTCTAGGATTTGCTGAAGTTGGACACGCCCCGAAATCCAATAGAGTTGACTTCGCGGAAATAAAAAGCAGTTCGCGCGACAACGGCAAAAAGTGATGATGTTCACGTTCCCCTCGTGTTTGCAGGGGGCTTGATCTTCATCGCAATGGATGTCGTTTGCAGATGCGCCCCTGCTCTGACCAGACCACGGTTTTGGCATACTGCACTAGCTAGATGTAGCTAGCAGCTAGACATGATAGGCAACAGTAAGCTGATTTAACTGTTGCTCTTGGGCCAAGTCTCACGACTCCGGTCTCCCATGCTGCTCCACCAAGACTTTCTGGCCTCGATGGCACGGCAATTCTTTCTAAGCAGCTTGTCAAACAGGTTGAGGCTTGAACGTTTTGCTTGCAGACGTTCACGATAAAGAGTAGATCGGGAGCTGAAGAAGCCGTTCCCATCGTCATCTTCATCTTTTATAAGCCTGCGGGTGTCCTGACAAAATATCCACTCCGACTGGCTCTACCTGCTCCTATGCTGCCCATCGAGAATCACGTTCTCATCCCGGCATGTCCTCCTCTGTCTTGAGGAGGCGCAAACTATCGTACCGGAAAGTATCGAGCTCCTTCACCTTGCTACAACTGTTTACGCATTAGCACTGCCATGCGGAGCCCTATCAGCAGGCTGCCATGTCAGAACTTTGTACCAGCATTATCTGTCAAAGCAAGGCAGCTGGAACTGGAGGAATCGACACTGTCTGCAGGACTGTGAGCAAGTAGTCCACATCGGGCTTTGCTCCCTTCAGCGGCCTCTGCTGAGGCCGTTGACATGCCATGCACACTTGGCCTCAATAATTTACTTGCCATGTTATCTTTCATGGGATCAAAGCGGCCTCGAAGGAAGGACCGCCAGCAAGTCTTGAAGGCATTTCGGAATCATGACTGGCAGGTGAGCTTTGTCTTCGCGATCCGTGTCTAAGTGCCTCTTTCGGACGCTGGCGACATCCAGTGCAGGTCTGAAGGTCAGCATCTTGGAAGTGTCAGGCCGCGCAATGTGTGAAGACAGCCCAATGGCGGGGGTGGCGTTCCCCAAGCGACGGTGATCGCCTTCTGCATCTGCGACAGATTGGTCCTCTCAAAATCAAAAGGCTCCGATTACACGGTCGCTCATTTGTTTACATGCTTTCTGGCCTCAAGTTGCACAGCCTCTACATGCTCAGCAGAAGCCGTGGGCTGGGGGCGGGTTGACCTGCAAAAGTTTGCATTGTACAGACTGCGGCGGCTGCAGAAAGCCCCGCCTTGGAATCAAGTGGAGGAAACGGAAGCCCTCTTCCACTTCCTGAATTGATGTCGACCTTTGTGTGTCGTCTGGGATATGTTGCATAGGGCATGGGGGCAAGAAAACAATAGCGCTCTGGTGAGGATGCCACAAGCCCAAAGAGATGGGTGTCTGCAGGATGTTTTCTGCATCTACTTCCAAGTCTCTTTGAAGGTTCCGATACTCCTGGGCAAAGAGCAGCTGCAACTGCTTGATCCTGCTGAACAACTGACCGCCTCTAGTGCTTGCAAAGTGTCGGAATCTCGGAATGACGTGGCACGTCGAACGGCCTCTGCGTCACCGAAGTAGCACTCTAGCCTGCGCGCGTCACTGAAGGGGTCGACCAATCTGATTGTAGGTGTCTCTGATCCTCTGGTGCTTGTGGTCTGAGCTTGTGTCCTGTTTGACTCGCCGGCTGTCTCTCTGGGGATGGCCGCACAAGTTTCGATTTCAGTCGTTGGGCATTCCAACAAAGCTTGAGGCACTCCCAACACTCTGAGACTGTGGGCCTATCTCATGCTTGATCTTCCTCCTCTCCACAGCACTAGAGATGCGTTGTGTCTAGCCTTGCCCACTTCTGCCATAAGAACGCCAGGCTTTCTCGAAGTCCAAGGCTCTCCTGGGCGTCTGAGCATGCTGCACAGAATTGATCTTGACACACTGACACAAACCCATCTGCCTCGCGGTTTGCAAGACGATCACGAACGGCCTGCCACAAATGGGGGTTCTTCCGCTCCAAGGTAAAGTGTTCCAGGCTACATGGCTCGCTCTTGTCACTCCCAAAGCATTTGCACCTGTTGCAGTCGATCCAGGACACCCTGAGCAAGCTCTGCCCGAGCGCTGCGCAGATCGTTGCAACCTGACACGAAAGCGAAGCTGCCGACCAGATGTGATGGCTGATGTTTACCTGTTGTTTATCTTGTTTACTTTCGTTTCTTTGCTCGCAGAGTGTGAGAGCCATTGGAGAAGCCCCTGAGCCACACTAACAACATGCCTACATGGCATTACATGGCGTTGGAGCCTCTGGCAAAGCATGGACTAGGTTCAAACAGGCTGCCAAGCAGAAAGTTCACGTAGGCTGCCAGCAGCGCCGGCTCACGGTCACCATAGCGCTCCAAGCCCCAGCGGAACACGGCAGCGGCCGCCTCGAGCGCATTGCAAGGCTGCCCTCTGCGTGGAAAGATTGGTTTTCAATCGTCCTCCATGGATCCGTAGACGTGATACTCTGTCATCGCCGCAAACACATACACCTGACGAGTTCCGGAGAGAAACCGCGCTATTGAGCGTTTCTACGTATACCTGGAGCTTAGCATTGCAGCATGAATCCGACGAAGTACGCATGATCCGCGCCTCCCAGCTGCAGTGTGGCGACGCCTCTGTCACCTCCACAAACGTGTCCCGAAAATCGTTTGCTCCTCGTTGTCTTCTGACCTCCGCACCGGCTCACAACAGCAGCAGTCTAGCTTTGCCCCGCAGCTTCGAAAGCCAAAGTGCATTTCTGCACTTTCTCTTGCGTGCCATGGAGCATAGGCCAGGTAATTGATGAGGGCCAATGGGCACGGCTTCGGCATGTCCTCCATCAGCTTCCTTGTGACATGCGGGTGGCATCAAGTCACCGGACCAGGGCCCAGCTACTTCACATTCAGCTCCGAGAGGCTTGTACTCATCATCTGCTGCTTCCAGCTTGCTTGCAGTAAGCGGTGATTCTCCCAGCTCGAAGCGCTGGGCAAGCAACAATCGCAGGGTCAGATCCTGCAGCTTGCACGCGAACACTCCAGTCTTGACATGATCCACATATCTTTACCTCGCCTTCGGCAAGAAGCGGTCGACCGCGTTCCGCAAGACGTCTGTGGCCTGATCCTGCTTGCCACCTGGAGGCTTTGGTGCTTGGTATGTCAGGGAGCACAGCGTGATTCAAAGAGCGCTTCGTGCCATGCAGGCAAGACACCTAAGTCCAGCCAAGCAGAGAAGTCAAACCACAAGTCTGGGAAGAAGCCGCATGCCAATGACGCCTGGCCAAGGGTGTGCAACTGCACCATGCGCGAACAAAATCAACAAAGACCAGATTGGGCGAAGCATGCAAGTTAAAATCATCGTTCATCCAGAGAACCCCACATCAGCCCCATCTTCCACAAAAGGTCTTTGCAAGCCTAAGCCTCTCCGGTGACCCTTTGTCATTAGATGTCATTAGGGCCTGTTGGTAGACCAGCGCGACACGCACCGTCCATTCCTCAGCACCCAGCTGGAGCGGATTCGTCCGTTCAAAGCGTAGCACGGTGCGCCACTTTTCGAACCTTGGAATACAGGCATCTGGTGGTTGCATGGCAATCTTGTTGAAAGCCCAACTTGTAGGGTCACCAAGCAACAGCTTGCTCTGCTCCGCCACATTCTGCGGTGTCAGTGGCACCGCGACAGCATAGTGATCTATGCCGGCAGCTAGCTGAGAAAGCTCCTGTCGCAGCATGCATCTGTCCACCAAACCTCAGCCACCTCAACGTAGTGCTGAATCTTGAAAGATCAGGGAAGTGCTGCCTTGTACGCTGCCTTGCCCTTCACATATCGCGGCATATGCTCAGCCATCAGCTTCGCCGCCAAAGCTGGGTTGCCCTGCGAGGGCATAGAACCAGAATCGTGCTCAGCTGCTTGAAAAGTGCCTAAAAGGCCTGAGACTTCTCAAACTGCTCGTAGCCCACCCAGAGCTTGTCCATCGTGCTATGAGAAGCTCCCGCACAGCGCTGGAAGACATTGCGGAGAAAGTCCGTGTCAATCCTCAGTCCCGCCGTACCGTTACCATTTGTTAATCTGCCTAGCAGGCTTCAGAACAAGCTGCCTCAGAATCTCCGACACCCGGAGAAATTCGGCATCGGATATGTCAGCGGACGCTCGCCCAGCTTCCTCCTTTTTGAGAACAACGTGCACCAGTGGCCATGTCAAGCCAAACACAAGAACAAAGTGACCGCGAAGCTTGTCAACGACCCGTGAGTGAAGCACGACCCTTCTCCTTCCACTCTCATGCAGACTTGGTTTTTAAGCCGGTCCGAAGCCAGAGGCTTTTACTTGTAGCTCCGACTCGCGGGGAACACAGGCTTGTCCATCCGCAAATCTTGCTGAACTTGATTTCAACTCCCCAGCACCTGTCAAACCTCAAGAAACGAACTCTGAAAAGCGCACCGCGCCCCCAGCAACAGTGGATTTGAAAGATACAAAAATGCTGCAACTCATCCACGCCAAGGCAAAACAACTTGTTGACTTGAAGCCGCTCACGGTTCTCCTGCTTTTGCTTCAGGGCAGGCTTGAGGTTTCGACGAGCGTTGTCAATTGGATTTGGGTCTTCAGCCAGGAGCTTTCCTTGCAGCTCGGCGTCCGGGTTCTCCTGCAACTACTCAGCTGCAAGTTCGCAGTTGTGAAAGGCCTACTGCTAAAGATACGCATGCTGCCGCAACGTTGCGCGCAGGTCCCGCTTCTGCTGGACGTTGTAAGCATGCTTCAGCAAAGCGAGGTAGTCAGACCATATAGGTGCTGCCTTGAGCAAGCAAGGGCGCAACATGTCCCAGTCAGCTTCAACATACTTGTTCAATGGAAACTTAGTTCCCAACCCGCCAGTCGCTGCCAAGCACGTCCAATGCTCTCCCGTAAGAGCGAAGCACTTCCTCCAAGGTCTGATGCCGCTTGGAGAAGTTGAGATAGGACAGCCAAAGGTCCAAATTGGGCCTTAGCTCCGGCAAGCTGTGCTGGGCGCGGCATTTCGGGGCGAAGGCCGAGTTAAGCTCAGCTTCACGCACTTGTTGCAGACAGCGATTGTAAACTCCCAAAGCCGCTGCCGAGTCCTTCAAAACGCCACTCAGGATTCGTTTCTGGTGGCATGCAGTCTACATTTTCTGCATGGAGTTCGTAGCACGATGTTCAACTCTACCCGGGGCTTCAACATGCGCAGTGAGAGTTAGTGCAAAACTCCATTAACGAATGCTCCTGCATCTCGAACCACTCAGCGTACGCTGCCCAGATGCGTGCAGCATAAGGCAGCTGCGCTACGGCCCTCTCGAAGACAGGTTCTGCCTTGCCCTCCTGAGAGAAGACTGCAACAGCTACTGACTGCCAGAATCCTGCCCAAGGACCCCTCACCACTGCTGGTTCCACTGGCTGCGACTGACTTTTACATGTCGCTGCAGGAAGCTGTCCTGAATGGCCTCGCGCAACCGCGCGTCCCAGCTGTTGAGGTCAAACGGGTCTGCCTCAATCGCAGCGTCGAGCCTGAGATTTGATCAAACCTTTGGCTTCACTACTTGTCTGTGCATCGTTTGCGGTCAGCAGGACCAAGGGCGGGATGCAGGGAACTGAGCCGCTGCCATGCCTCCCAGCAACGCCTTAATGCGCGCGGCTGCAGGCTGCACTGCCATTTGTGCTTTCGGAGCCACCTTAATTGTAGGACTTCTTGCACATGCCAACAACATGTTTCAACGCTGCCCAGCCTGAACGGGACCTTTGTTGATAGGACCTGCAGGCTGTGCTGGCGCCGCCTTTGCCTTGGTGCTTGCCGACAGCATAGCAGAGCCTTAGTGCCACAGGCTTGCAGCGTAGCACCAAACATCAAAGTCCGCATGTGGCACTCCCAATAAACTACGCAGAGTGACTTTTTGGCACTGCGAAAGCCATGGCGGCTAAATGGCAATCCAAGTAGGGGTTTGCAAGCACAGGCCTTGAAAGAGCTTCTTTTTAGACTGACTGCAATGCTGCAAGGGTGTGGGGTGGGGCGCCTGTGGGCTGGACAAGGGCTCCTACTGTATGATGCTTTGACTATTGGTGCAAGATGGCAGCTCTTCCTGAGAGGCTAAGCAGACAGCAAGCCCTTGCTGAATTTCTTGGCTGTTGTTTCTTATGGGCATTCTATCCTTGAGCCTCATGAGCTCTTCACGTGGGCATGGGTGAGATCTTGACGACATGGACACATCAGACGCTGAGACGGGAAGTTCGGAAGTGACCCATGCTACAACTGCAGCAGATCGAGCTCCAGACTGCAAACAGGGCAAGCAAAGTCGGCGACTTGCTTGCGCCTCTTCGCGACCACGAACGCGCTAAAAGAAATTGTGGAGCCTATAAATCAGAGAACTATAGTCCAATGACTCCTCAAAGTCGAATTCTATAGGGGGGTGCTATAGGGGTTATTCAGGGCGATTGGGAATAAAATACACTGCTGGCCTGGTCAGCTTTCCGCGCACAAGGCGGACGCGCGGGCAGCCCATGGCTCCTTCCACAATCATAGAATCATAGTCTAAGCTCCTTAAAGGGGGTTTATATAAGGGAGGATAGGGGGTCTTAAGGGGGATACTAGGAGTTTAGACTATGGCACTATGGCTCACATGCTGCGACAGCAAACTTGAAGGGCCAGTCCACCTAGCACAATCTTCCACAGACAGAACGGAAACGGTCCGAGCCCTCGGCCATGCCAAGCCATGTGGCTCCGAAACCCATCCAACCCTCTGCATGGAATTGATCCAGCAAATGCTGAAAGGCAGGTAACCGGTAACAGCTACATTCTCGCAGGGCTGGGCAGTGCTGGCAAAGCAAACATCCAAGCAAACAATCTGCAACACGCGTCCGGCATCTTTTTGCTAAATTTTCTCTGCAGAAGATGCCGGACAGGCAGCGACAACGCCTCCTGTGGAGAGGCCGGCGGGAAGGATCTATGTTCCTTCAACTTTAAATACGGTTCTATGCGCGCACAAGAAGTACCAAAGTTCCCAGTAAGTCACGCATCTTAGGGTTTAGGGCTTATCCCCAATGTCGTAGTATGCCTGCTGAATCCTTCCCCGAACAAAAAAGTCAATAAAGCCCAACATCTCTTAGCAATGACCATTCCATAGCATTCTCACTACGGCTGACTCCTTGGATTCAGACAAGCGGGCTCAACGCTGGAGAATGCAAATACACTCAAGCCGGCAAGGACACATGGCGCCTGACAACCGAGCTCCGTAGACAAACGCATAAGTTTGGCCACAAGATCCTCTGTCACGCCATTCAGCCCAGTGGCAGCGGCAGAAACTCCGGCCTCCAAATCCACCTGCAAGGCCTTAGAGGAACATGTAGGTGAACGCTGAAAACCCCTTCGAACACGGCACGCCGACTACATGGCTGCATGCTTCTCATGGAGAAGAGGAATGACTTCCTCGACCTGCTCCGACATCTCCGACAAGGAGCATCTAGACGAAAAAACACGTCTCGAACACCATCAGCCAAAAGCGGTTCACAGCGCCTGCTTGAAGGTGCAAATTACAAAATACGAAGTCAAGAATTCCCCTACATAGCAGACCTAGCAAGTGGCCTGACTGGGCCGAAGTATGCTCTGACATAATGAAAACGGACTCATTCCAGCAGCATTTTTTAAAGCTTGCAACACAAACAGGATCTGAATGAAGATGAAGAGAAGCATCATGTCCAGAATGTGCAGAAGCTGACATCTCGCGCACATCACCTTCGGAGGTTGAAGGGCATTTGAATCTGTCAGAGCCCGGCCAGGGCCATACCTGCCCTAGAAATAGCTTCATAGCACTCGTGGGCGGAACGCTGGCGGAACATTGTGTCTGCACGCCGATCAGCTGCTGAATTACTTGCATACAAGAGAGCACATCCGTGCAACAGCGCAACTCCGCAAAGGTCCTAGCATGCCAGATCTGCAAATGCGGCAAGGCTACGAACTCGCAGATAAACGCCGCAGGGAAGGCTGCTAGGGCAGGATGTACTGCCCACACTATGGAAAAGCCACGGCTGCACAATGCGGCTTCCCCAGAGCTTCTACATGGTGCGTTCGCTATACTGTGCTCTTGGCTCCAGGCTTGTAAGGGGCCTTAGGGCATCCGTGCTGGCTGTTCTTCTGGGGCAGACAGCAGCTCTAGCCAATCAGACCTGGTCTTGCACTGGGCGTGCCTCTGAACATGGTCCACAATAGAGGACTCATACAAGCCGCTGTCATCATAGAACGCCAGCGCCAGCGTGCCTCAGATAGTTGGGCCACTCTTTCTTAACAGAACAGAACGGAACACAACATGCAGCGTTTTCGTCAGGCGGCTGTCCAGGGGATCGTCAACATCTGGCGACAGCAGCAACCCATAAATGCTCTCCAGAACACTCCTCGTTCGAGTCTCTCGTGTCCAGTTGCGGCCAAGGATGGAATGGCATACGCGACCATGCTGATTTATGTTGCAATGTTTGATCGGCGTGATGAATCGAACCTCCGGTGGCTCCACGGGAAACTGTTGTGGGAATATTATGTAAAGAAGCCACACGCCATCAGCATAGGGCGTCCCCTCTGGGCCAGACACCGTAGCTTTCCAGCAAGAAATGTCATCGCAACTGGGGAAAATGTCAAAGGCGGGGTGAGGCTCTGTGTGCAGGATGCGCATCTCCGCCATGATCCGTCGGGTCCTTGCCTCAGCGGCACCTGGGCTGTGCTTTGGCCCCTTTTACACTATTTTTCCTCAGAGTCAGAAACCGTTGTTCATTTCCACTAGACTCCAGAGTCTAGAGACTACAATTCAAAGCCAAGCGCACCTGCATTGGTCTCTTGGGTCTGGTGAAGCGCGTCTTGCAGGCCGTGCACGTGGTTTCCCAGCTGCGTGGGCTGCCTGCGAGGTGGTACTTGGTCCTCACTGCATGGGTCCACAGAGTAGTGGGCGGGGCCATAGGCCTCCAGGCATTCCTTGGTGGCCCAGGCCATCGGCGACACGTTCGCAGGTGGTCTGTCGAGGCTGAACAGGAATGTCTCCAACTCATTCAAGCGCACCGCATCCTTCAGGCTTGCCGGCCTGAATACGTATCCGCCGGTTGCCTTGCAAATCGCGTGCAGGTCGGGTTCCGTCTCGTTGCCGATCATCACAGCATCAACAATCACGCCCATCTTCTGCAAGGAAGAGGCTACCTTTGGTGCAGAGTGCTGAGACTTTGTGTCGCAACCATCGGAAAGGACCACGAGCCTGAGCTTCGGGGCCCTGCCGTCCCGGCCAAGTTTTGTGAGTTCCCGCACCTTCCAAGCCTCGAGTTGCTCTGCAGCTGTCTGCACGGCATCAAAGAGCCGAGTGCTCCCGTTGGGCTTGACTTCAGCGATGCTATCCCGGAAGCTCTCATAAGCAGGAGTCAACTCACAGCGCACCTGCACCGAATCACCAAAGCATACCAAGCCAATGGCGCAGGGGTTGTCGTAGGCAAGGGACCTGTCGATGAAAGCGTTGAAGAGCTGCTTGACAACCTGAAGCAATCCAAATGCGAGGACGCTGTGGCTGCAACAAGCAGAATTCGGATCCTCTATATTGGCGCAAGCCATCTGCATATACATGCACCCACACCAGTCACCAGCCCCAACCCCTCTCAGCACGCTGAGATTCCAGTGTGGAAAAAATCTCTTGAATCAAGCCTAGGTGCAGTCATCCTGTCGAGATAGCTGCCGCGCACCTTTGAGAGCCTGACCTTCTCTCTCTGCTGTCGGTTCAAATCAAACTCCAAAACGACATGGTCTGCTTCGCCTGCATAGTGTCCAACGCAGTGATCGTCGGACAAGAGCGTTCCGGCAAGGAAGCCATCTCCGACCTCAAGAGCCAAAGACTGAGACTATGAAGGGAAGTCAGCAACCAGAACACCTGCGTAATGCCTTCAAGATGCTTCATGCAAGTTGTGCCAGAGGTCCAGTTTACTTGCTCCACACCCAGTCTGTTCGTATCTTGGCAGACTTGCCCAGATTCGGCACTTCAGAGAGATGACAAGCTCCCATGCAGCAACCTCCAGCTCAACAACTCGTGACGAATGCTGGGACCGTACAAGAACCCTGACCTGCTGACGGTGGACAATGCGCACGAGCTCCGTCCAGGAGGTGAAGAGATTTGATGTCAAGACTTCCAGTGGAGATCCATCACAGACGCCAGCAGTTCTGAGCGGCACGAGCTCCGGCAGCAGATTCCCTGAGTGGTAGACCAGATGGCGAGCCGGATGCATGCCTGTGAAAGCCCTCAGTTCTTGCTTCAAAGAGGCGGCGGTGGCCGTACCTGGCAACTCCAACTCAACCATCTCTCTGGGGCCTTGCCGCATATAGCAGACCACATGCAGCTTTTCTTCTTCTGACGCTGCAGGTCTTGTGGACTTCGGCTCAGCATGACACTCACGCCAGTCTTGAGTCTGGGAGCGTAGCACGTGATTGGGAATAAGCGTAGTATCTGTCAATTGTTGGCCGGTCATAGGCGAGGTTTTGGCCCTGCAGAACCATTCCGCGATAGCATCGGCTTCGTATGTGAACCCATCTGGGGCACAAACCGCATTCTTCATCAAGCCTCTGGTAATGGGACAGCAAAACTCTGGCGGTGGATCGTCATCGCCCTGCTCCAGCAACGTCTTTGCAAACTCTTCCTTGTACTTAACCAGTCGTCGAGCATCCTCAGGGGAGCCTCTGCCGGTAACTTGCGCCAGTACAGCAAAATCTCGCAACACCGCGCTTGCGAAGACTGCCCGCTCTCGCAAACCGGAGCGTTGTTGAATCATTTGCCGAACGTGAGCCATTCCTGGTTGCAAGGCAAAGCGCTTCAAATGGCACTGTCGGGCCTCTTCAGAGTCATTGCTGGGTTCCTCCTCTTCATCAGAACTCCCCTCTCCGAGCCCAGTTTCCTGATCCTCTTCGAAAGACGAATGCAACCCCATGGAATCAGAAACATCCAGACAAACAATGATGCCTTCGCGCACTTCCTTGTTCTGAGCTTCTGCATCAAAGCTGCCACCAACTTCGGACAGGTTCTTCGCTGCTAAGTCAAGATCCATGTGTTCCTCACCGCCTAAACTGGGTGAGAAGATCACGGCGCTACCTGCAGCCGCTTTTCTATGCCCCGTAAAGACTACAACAACACCCTCCTTGGTCTTTGTGAGCTTGGGCGGGCATCTGCAGCTCTTCAACGACAGGGCACTAAGCAACCGCATGCACTGGGCTGCTTCCGTCCCACAATAAGTGCGCAAGGCCGTCCACGATGGGAACTGGTCTCTTGACAAGGGCACAATCTGCTTGTCAACAAGCTCCATCACCAGGCACTCAGATATGGGAGCATAAGCTCTCACAAGGCGCGATGCTGTGTAGCTCTCTATGAGCTCTTCGGCAGTTCTGCCGTGCAGCGGTCCTTCCTCAAACACGGCCTTCTCCTCGACTTCATCAGTGGCCCCATCGTTTGGGCGGTTATCTGCAAGATATTGCATTACAGCATCCCTGTTAAAGGCCACGTTCGGAAGATCCGGCAGGAAAACGACTGGCTCCTTCACATGGGGCTACGCATGGAGCTAGCATGTGGAACATGGCTGACATTGCTTTGCCTGACCTTGCAGCCTACCTTTTCTGAGATCCCCTCCTTCAGGCCAGCATGGCTAACGCCGCACGTCAAAGCAACTGTTTGAAATCGAGGCGCTTGCAAGGCTATGAGATCGCGGGATGCCGCAGGCTGCAACAGATGTGAGAGAAGTAGACGCGAGTGTTCGAACAAAGTTTGTCGAGCAATGTGCTCTGGAGCTATGGTGTCCAAGAGTTGGAAGAAGCCATTTGCCAATGCTGCCTTCTCGGCATTCTGTGTTTGCTGCGTGCGCCCCTCTAGCAACAGCCGCAGGCCCAGGCAAAATGGTGGAAACGGTAGGGCTTTCCAAGCTGAAGCGACAAGTTTGCTGATTGCTTCTTCATCTTCACTCGCAAGGACATACAAACAAGAAAGCAGGCAGCTCAAACCAGCCTCCGTCTGGGGGCATGAAACTACTTGCCAGGCCATGTCCGCAGAGAACAATCCAACTCGGTCTGCTTGTCCCGGGCTGCTGAGCATGCTCTCCTCCTGCAGCTTGTCCTGGATTCTTGGCGCCATGCAGGAAGAACGTTGGCTGACATACCTCAGTGCGCAGAACTTGTTTCCCAAACCTCTACGAGTCTACCAAACCATAAGCACACCTTGTGCAGAATGTGTGTGCAGAAGTAGCGTGCCCTTGACCACAAGCAAAGAAGCATAAAAACGACAATACGTTTTGTAGCTTTCTGAATCCTCTACGGCGACCGACCCTGGCCCTAGCCCAGCCTTGCTTGCTAAGGCCCCATCATTCTGTTTGCGGGTTATGGCGCTTTTAATGTTGTGGCCCGATTACTGTGGGGGGTCTCAATTGTGCGAAGCTTCGCCGAAATAATTCAGTACCCTCTGACTCGTTTGGGGGGTCCTTAATTGTGCAAAGTTGCGCGGCGAAATAAAATACTTCTGAGAGGAAGTTGGTAGAGAAAATAAACCTAATTTGCTTTGAAAAGCATGGCAAGCAGTAAGTCTTTGGTTTAGGTTCCTAATCCAAGCTGCATCTTGTTACTTAGACTACAACCCCTTGTCCAGAGCTTCCAGAACGTCAGGTTCCCGGAATTTCGAACCTCATAACTCCGGTTTGTAAGGTTTGCAAGGTTCCAAGCCAGGTCCAAAACTATCGGTTTCTTATGAGACCGCTTATTCAGGGAGGCCTAGCAATCATCTTTCCTAAGGGGTAGTCCAGCAGCTGCCCAGCGCCTCAAGAATACGAATGTTTTGGGGGGCCTCAATCATCCGTCAAATCGGGAGACCCTAAAAGTAGCGGAAAGCAAAAACCTTTTAGTTTTCAAGGCTCAGCATTTAAAAGCCAAGCTTCCAGGACCTCAAGTTCCCGGAATTTCAAACCCGGATCCTGATCCCTCCTATTGAATGCAATTTATGCCTAGGATCCGAGCAGATCCTGATCCCTCCTATTGAACTTAATTTAAACCTAGGATCCGAGCCGATCCTGATCCCTCATATTGAATTTGATTTAAGCCTAGGATCCGAGCCGATCCTGATCCCTCCTATTGACTTTAGTTTAAGCCTAGGATCCCAGCCGATCCTGATCCCTCCTATTGAATTAAATTGAAACCTAGGATCCGAGCCGATCCTGATCCCTCCTATTGAATAAAAATTAAACCTAGGATCCGAGCCGATCCTGATCCACCCTATTGAATTTTCATTAAAACCTACGATCTAGATTGGGCTGATCCCTCCCTTTGAATTTTAACTAAAACCTAAACACCATAGAATTTTTGGTGTGTACCCCTCGTCCTACACTAAAGAGGGTCCCATTTTTGTTTGGGGGTGGGGAGGGGGGGGGGCGGGGGGGGGGCACTAATCAGGCGGCGTCCAGACCATGACTATGGATCTCACGAATCCGGTGACGGGACGCATTTTAAACGGGCCAGACTTGAGGGGTTGTCAAGTTTGGACGCTTTGCGATTCTCAGCTTCTTGACCGAACGAGCTCCCATTTTAGTTGTTAGGCCCCGTGTGAGCGCATCACCGGCCTTTAGTGCCCTCCCAAAATGGCAATTTCTCGAAACAAGTCGACCCGTAGTTTTGAGAACATTTTGAGGACCCCACAGCAGTAGCACCCCGAGCCCCACTGAGCATATATAACCTGATAGGATTCCACAAGCCCGAATGCAGGCAAGCAACAGGGAATTTACGAAGATTAACAAGTACCTCACACACGACAAGAACACAGAAGAGACAACGAAGACACTCCACTCTCTACTCTGCAGTCTCCCCTCTCGACTCCCCAATCTTCATACCCCTCTCCACTCTCATCCACTTTCCACTCTACTCTCACACTCTACTCTCCCCTGTCCACTCTCCACTCTCCACTCTCCGGTCTCTGCTCCACTCCACTCTCCACACTCCACTCTCTCCACACTCCATTCCCCATTCTCCACACTGTACTTTCCGCGCCATCCACTCTCCACACTCCGCCACCATCTATCCCACTTTCCACTTTCCTCTTCCCTGTCAGCACTCCACTCTCACACTCGCCATTCTCCAGTCTCGACTCCACTCTCCGTCCAGTCTCCATTCCGGAGACGCGCTCAACATATGAGGGTCGAGGATGGCGACCCTCCAGAGGCCCCATTCCTTTCACTATTGACAATTTTGATACGCGACGAAGACAGAGTGTCCAAAAGCCAGCTGGCTGACGAGGAGGACTTGCGGAAGCTTGCAAACGCACAACCTGGATGCCTTGACCGCAACACAGAAAACAGATACCTTTCTGCAGAGCACTCGGGAAAACCTCAAAGCCCCAGTAGCAGGATCTCATTCTCCCTGAGCTCGTCCAGGCACCTGTGCCAAACCTGGGTCATGAATACTCCATCACAGAATATGTTGACCCCTCACTGGGCACTTCTCGTGATTGCATGTCTTTTCCGCACTCTTACTACGCGCAGCGCTCACGAACCATCCGTACTTTGGTTGCCATGATCGATCCAGGAACTGTCGGTGCAGCGAGGCGCTGTGAAGCCACAAAGAAATCCAAGGCCACGAAGCTGCGATCTGAGAGGACCACCTCCACGGAAGCTTCCACCTGCTGCAAAGCTACTTTGAAAGTTTAAAGTTTTAACACTTTTAATGCCCTCTCAGCAGCTGCTCAAGAGAAGACCGTTTCGCCGAACCCAAGGGGTCAAAATCCACATCACATCTGCCTTGAAGCTAGTGAGGCCACTGACAGCAGTGGCAGGCCACAGCAAAGATCATGGCCCCTACCCATGCGTGACTTACTATCCAGCGTTTAGGGTTTCAAGTTTTCTCAGCACAAACTCCGTAAGCTATGCTCATCTATGCTCCGTGCAGCACCTGCGATTTGAGGCGATGCGCGCAAGACAACGGTTTCGGGATTTGAGGGCCTTGGGTTTTCGGTCTAGGCTGCTTCTACCTGTATGCCGAAGTATTATGATTTATCATGCTACGATAACTAAGTGCAGTTATAGCCAGCGGATCAATGCGACTTTCTCTATGACGATCATCAACTGCTACTGTTCTCTGCTTCCTCACTAGTTTGGTTCTGCTATACCGGAGATGATTCACGTAGCCGGTTCAATGATGTTGCACATCCATTGGGGCTCGTCAGGGCATGCTCAATTTGTTTACATGTTGAGCTGGGCTCAGCTTCAGATACCAGCCTGCACACCGGCGCACAGGTCTCCCACGCGGACATCGTCAGAGTAGCGCAGACCTGACTGTGATAGCGGAGCCAGAACCACAGCAAGAAAAGGCTGTGTCAAGGGTAGTGGGCGGCAGTATGTTTTTGTTTGCTGCAATTTCCCGAACGGTGTCCTGATGCTAATGGTTCTTTGCGCTTGGAGTAAGAAGTCAAAGAGAACTAGTTGAGGTGCACGCAGGGCGGCTCCCGCGTTGAGCATCCTCGCAACTTTGCCCGAACTCGCGCTGCCGCGCAGACCGTCCGCTTGATAAGGGCTTTCGGCGTTGCTCCCGGATGGGATGTCGTCACATTCCCGCCACAGTATGTACCGTGCGCGTGGAAGTTTCGCTCTCGAGTTGAGCATCCTCGTGATTTGCCTTGACGTCGTGGTCTCGCAATTTGGCTCAAAATATCGAAGTCGCATGCTTTCATGGAGCTCCTTGCATTTGGGTTCGGGTTCTGTCAGAATGCTCTTGCACTGGTCTTGACAGCTCTTGGAGTACTCCTGGGGCATTCAAGGCGCCCCAAAACACTCTCAGAGGGCTCTTAGTGGGCTTACACTATTCGGGGTCTACACAAACAGTGCTGGGAACAATGAGAGTAATAGTGAGTGATTGAAGTTTTCGGTTCTGATGGTAACCTTGACCCTCTTCCAGTAGCTGGTCACACATGTACAAGGCGCTTGGTGCTCGGTAGGGTTTCTAACGTTTTGGTATGACTGCCACCTGCATGGCCAAGCGGCTTCGGGATTGGGTTCTTAAATTTGTTGGCTTAGGGATAGTAACAACGAGAGTAATAGAAATAACGGTAGCAGCAGCAGAAGTGGCATTGGTAGTAGCAGTAACAGCCACGGCGCCCACCAGCAACAATCGCAAAGGCGGGAGCAGCCCAAGGTGAAGGAAGAGGGATCCGCAACAGGATGATGATAGCAACACAACTTAGCCCCACGTTCTTGTTGACTCCCTGCCTGTAGGGCTCTGCAGCTGCATCTTTGAAGGTGGGATCCTCGACGCGAATGCTGATGAATCTAGGACCAGCTAGGACCTAGCTAGGAGTTTCTAGTAGAAAAATTGTGCCCTGACCAACTCCAACTGCTTACAACTGTTCAATGGTTGCTGTCGGACAACAACTCCTATCAGTCGCAAGTCGCGTCACTATTTACGCCAAAGATCCGCCACGCGCGGTGCAGAGCTTGCTTGACGAGACCCAGTCTGTCACTGCTTTGCATCTTCTGCTTCCATTCCTTGACCTCGCCAACACCGGAGTCCCGGCATGTGCAAGTCAGCATGACTGTCCAGGAATGTGACCCACGGTCACATAGCGAGTACACGGCTGGCTGAGATGTCACAACCGTTGACTGATCATCCTGCACAACGCCGCGGCTGCACGCTACCAAGCCCACACATTCGTAATCCAGCATCTTGTGCACAAGATTCTTCAGCTCCTCAACGGTGGCACCCTCTGCTGCTACAAATGTCTCGTGAATGCCGCCCTCGGTGTCTGGCATCAAGACCAGCACATGCCGATCTTCCTCTTTCCCTTCTTGCTTCCCATCTTCTTCCTCCAGGTAAAGCCATTCGCCCCGGCAACACGGGCACTGCAAGGCCTTTGTATCGAACGACTTCAGAAGACACTCGGCATGGAAGAAGTGGTGGCAGAGGCGGTTGCCAACTATGGAGTCTGAGAGTCAGCAGTCGGAGCTATCCATACCAAGGCAAGCAAGGCAAATTGAGCAAATGTCTGCCTTGGCCAGCTCCGCAGCCCAGCGCTGTGGGTGTGATGGCTGTAGGAAGGCCGCAGGATCGATCTTCATGGCGGCCTGACACTGAATCAGAGTCTTATCATACAAGAATCGGAGTGGAACTTTAAAAGATAAATTCTCTGGCATATTCCACCCTTCCGCCTCGTAGCCCCAGAATTTGACGCGCTCGGCCGCCTGAAATATTCAGAAAATCATGTAGCGATACCACAATGGAGCAACTCGGGAGCCTCACTTAAACCATCTTAAACCACATCAGCCAGGCATTGCGCATATGTTTGGCCTTACCCTACCCGCCTTCGAACACATGCAGCGGCCTGCGTGGCATGGTTCGGGAGATGCCACCGGCATCATGTGCGAGGACTCCTCATCAGGCTCGTACTGGATGCCCTCAGCCTCCGCAATGTCCTTGGCCAGCTGCCACGTGCTGGTTTCGGCATCCACCTGAGCTCATGCCCCCACTTCTAAACGTGTAACCGCCACTTGTGAATTTCCCATGAAGACTAGCAAAAGGAATTGTGGCCCTTCTGAGCCCGACTCAGCCCGATGCAGCGATGGATTTGGGCTGCAGTCCTTGGGCCACCCTGACCAGCGTCTGATATCGGATGGTGCCAGATGTCCGAGCCATCGCATCCCCAGCCTCGAGCCCGGCCTCGGCCTCGAGCCTGGCCTGTGGATCATCTGAACCTTCCTGATCTTGTGGCTGGCCACTCGCCCTCCCAATCTCTTCGGCAATGGGTGCACACACCACCTCTGCAAGAAGCACATCTCCATTCTCTACCAGATCCCCCATCATGTCGTCATCATCCATCAGGGCCATTGATCCATCACGTAGATGAATTACCCTGCAGCCCTCGAAGCCTCCCAGTTTCCCAGCTCGATGCTGGATCTGCTGCTTCAAGCTCTCCACCTGCTTAGCTGGCCGAGTAGGAACCAGGATGGTCTCCTCGTGATTCTGGCCTTGCCGCTTCAATCGCACATGGAGACGTAGCATTGCACAATGCTTGTCAACACTTGCCCTCACACGTGCTACTTGTTCCTCCGGGCCAGAGTGTTGAAATTGGGTCACGCACAATAAGGCCTGAAAACAGCTTCTCAAACCATCAACAAGCAAGTGATTGGCTGATGCGCAGGCAGGACAAACATGGTTTGGCTCCGCCTCCTGCTCAACCGCACTTGGAGCAAGACCCATCCTTGCATCGCTGAAGCATCCGGACACACTCACACACCTGTTGCACACATCCACCATGTAGTCAAGCACGCTTACTTACGCGGTGTGCATGTGCTTCTCCCGTACATGTGGGGTTGAACATGTCACACGAGCGTAAAAAAAAAGCACGCACCTTGTACTGTGAAACCTCATACAGATCAGAAATTGGGTGCACCTGCTTCAGCCGCCTATGACCTTTGGTCATTCATGAGATATGCAAACTTGCTTGATGTGCATGCTGGGCATGTGCACAAGTGCTGAGAAAATGGCAGTGACCCCAGTCTCCTTTTTCCTTGCAATTGTTACCTTAATTAGTGAGAAAATCCCAGAAGCTATATGTTATGCAAGTGATCTTCATGTTCCTTGCCATGCGTGTTTCGCAAGCCTGCGAGTTTACAAGTGCCTACAAATATCTCAAGATTCAAGTGCTTCAACTTGATAGGGCCTGACATGGCCCTCATACTTCACCCCTTCCCAAAACCACCAAAGGCATTTCCGTCAAAGTGCATCTTCTGCCGCAAATTTCCACTCAGGCACCTTGAGGAAATTCGGCACGAAGGCATCAACCGCAGATTTGGGACGAACGGTCACCAGATCTTCGACCTTTCGCAGCCACTCTAGTTTCCCTCACATCTGCGGCTTCTTTGAGCGCAACAGAGGCTGGGATTTGAACTTGTTTGGGATCACGTCTTTGCTCTCCGGCTCGATTCTTCACCGCAAGGTGCAACTCCTTCGAGCTGTGGTTTGCCGTTAAGACTAGCTGCAAGCTCGCGGTCGATTGTTTTCGCGCTGCTATCAGACTTAGCTGCTATCACAATTTACACAGGTGACCCGCGTGTGAGTCTGGAAGCGCCATAACATGTTCATTCATGAATCTTTCGGTGTATATCATAGCTTTGCGAACGCACTGGAAGTCCTCACTGCTGTAGTGGACGCATCCGACGGAAAGCCCTACTTTGCATTTTGCACCGCATATCGCAAGCGAAGTGCCTCAAGAAGATGGAGCGATTTCAGGCCAGATGGGCAGCAGCAGCATGCAGCATCATCCTCAGCGAACAGGGAATCATGGCAAACAGCTCCACATGCCGGGCATGTTCTCACAGAGAGCTTTTGCTGCGAAGCAACGCGCGGAACGTCTGGTGAAACACAGAGCAAAGAGCGGAGCTTTTCTCAGAAGAAGGCTGGCGTTGCCAAATGAGATGTTTTCCCTGTCTTTTTCGATGCCTGGGCCTCCATAGACTCCATGGATGTGACCTTGCCCTTCTTGATCATGTTATCGATTTTTTGCCACTGCTGGTTCTCGTTCATTTTCTTCTTCTTGGCCTCTGCGCCTTTCTTGTTGGCGGCAACGCTGTCCTCCACCGTACCCTTTTTGCCGTCTTTGCCTTTCTGCTTCTTCTTCTTGCCGTCTTCATCATCACTGTCATCACTATGCGTGGTCATCATCGCCCCACCCATCATTGCACTTGGGAAAAGCTCATCATAAGCTTCATTACCTCAGCACTGTCTTCTCTCTTGCCTAGCCTACAATCACTGCCGGAGCTTCCTACAAGCTATCGCTGGTTTGCGCCACGGAACCAGGGTTGCCCATGCCTTGCGCTGCACTACTCGAAGCAGCTTGCTTGCGCTTCCTCGGGTCCTTCTCCGGCTTTTTAGGTTCTGCTGGCTTGACCTTCTTTGGCGGTACCTCCTGCAGCATGGGTCATCTCAAAATTTCAGGGCCACCAAGGCCACCATGTTTTACTGGATGACCCACATCTTAGGAATGCATGTCAGCCAGCTTTACCTCAGTGCAAAACATGCGCAGCATGAAGCTTGTCATCGGGCCTCGTAGTATCCCAAGCCTTCCTCGCCGAGCTTGAACACCCAGTTTTTGCCTGATACTCTTGTAGCTGCCGGGGCGTTGGTTTGAAACAGCGATCGAATAGCTCACCTATTCTGGCTTGGCTGTACTCTGCAGCTTTGCAACGTGCGCCGCGAAACTTCTTGGAAGGCTCGAATCGGCCAGTGGGTTTGTGAAATTCACCAGGCTCCAAGGTCGACTCCTGCCCAAGCAAAATGCCTCGAAGCCCCACATGTCACACTGCGTCAAGAAGCTATCATTATATTCCACTCGCATGGCCTCAACCTCGATCTCCTCCAGGTCAAGCTGTCGATCAGGAGCCTTTCCTGGACAAAACCACCGCACCCATCTAGCTAAGGCAGCTAAGGGAGCTGGCCCCTTGAACCATGCGTCTGTACTTCTCATCCCCGGCATCGTCGAAGTAGGAGCTCTTCTTAAGCTTGGGTGGAGGCTGTTCCTCCTCTTGCTTGATGCCCGCCTTCTCTCGTTTGGCAGCCTGTTCTGCTCTTGCCTTCTGCACGATTTCCTCAGACAGAAGCTTGACACGCAGGGTCTGGTTGCCCTTACTCATTCTTTTCGATGTTCTTAAACTTGCCCGCAAGGGTGACTTTAGGTGTGGCAAGGTGTCAGCAGCTTGCTACGAGATCTTCCGCAACAGTTTTCACAGCCTTGCGTACAAAAGCACAATGTGGCGAAAACGGAATCGTCTTTCAAGAAGTCTGGGTGGTGTCCACGGCTGCTTGCCTACACTACATCGGGTCATCACAGGCTGGAAGGAGGCTCCTAAAGTAATGGAGTAGGGAATGCTCTCTCTTTTGTTCTTTTAGACCTCAACGGCATAAAGATTGTAAATAACCAGTTTTCCCCAACATGCAGTGCTCTTTCTGGCATGTCGCGTTCACATCGAAAGCTCCGGCACCAGAAAAGATGTCGTTGTCGCTGTCCCTGGCTTTCACCTTGGAGGCTTCCACCTTCTGGGCTGTCGCGTAGCTTGCTCCTGCACTGGCTACCCTCTGCTGGCTGCATACAAGACCAGTCCCAATGGCCTCCTCCCATGTTTTTTTGTTCTTTCCTTCGCTTCTTGTCTTCGGCTGCTTTCTGCATTGCATCGCGCACCTGCAACACCGAGGGACAGGGCTGCGCATGTACGCATGGATACGCATGGAATCTGTGCATCTCAGGCTGGCGCCTTGATTGCTGTCTCTGGAAGCATGCCAGACGACCGCTTGCCCATCTCACTAATGGGGACCTCCTGCATTCAAGACAGAGAGCTCGCACAGAGCTGCAGAATCACTGTACCAGAATTTCCCCAAAACCCACTTCATGTCCTCTGCCATGAGCTTTGGTTGGGTCATCGTAAGCAATACGGGTGCTGTTGGGTTTGGCATCATGCACAGATCAAGTGGACTGCATAGCTGGCTTCGAATGAGCAAGACAAAAAGCATGCGTCCATCTATTTTGTCTGAATGCTCTCCCCACCGTCGAGGCTTGGTAACAAGCCCATGAGCTGTTTGATGCAATACACTGTTCGCGCAGCAACAGTTCACAGCAAGCACGTCGTCCTCCTTGCTCATGTAGACAATGCGAGGAATGTCGGTCTTGCCCATCTCCAGGTCTGTGTCAAACTCGAAGGCCATGCGACCCGGGAGGAAAACGGAGGGAGCATTTCGAATGCGGTGGCCCTTCCAGGGTTAAGCAGGTGGAGGGGAGGAAGCATGATTCTTCTGACGCATGTGAGTGGCATGTCCTGCGCAATGGCCTTGCCCATCTTCTGTACACGTTCCTCGTTACAACACATCTCATGGAAGTACTGATTCTCTCAGCATATATCAGCCTTTGAGCAGTCCTTGAAGGTGCTGTGGTGCGGGTGCAGAGTCTCCACCACAGTCAGCCAAACGTTCTTGGCCTTGGCCGGTGCCAGGCACAAGCTCAAAGCCAGCAGAGCCAGCACCAACATTTTGGCGGTGAACAACCATGTTCTCGAAGGTCTTCTTCTGCTTTCCGCCGGTGATTTTTCGTTCCTGCTTCGCCTTCCTGAAATTCGAGCACACTCAAGCTGCATCATGCTTCATCAAGAAGAACCAGAGGCTTCAGTAGAGTTGCTGGAATTCTTCTGCTTTCTGCTTTTTGGCAATCTCCGTGCGCACTTTATTCAAAAGCGCGAAATCCAGACCCTTCACCAGGTGCGTGTGCTCCAAGTCACCTCTGGCGTTGTGGGCATGACTCAAAAAAAGATGCCATTTCATGCTAGTTTCATGCTAGAGCAGAACAGAACGTCCCACCTCCCAGATACTTTGATTGGTCCACTGGCACCTCGCCATGGTTCTCAAATTCGGCTGCGACTTTCTCCTCGGCCAAGGGAAAGATGTGCAACAAATGGAAGGAAGACCGAAATTCAATCAAATCTGCACCTCAACTCCAGCCACGCTCTAGTGCCAAGCAGCATATTCGCCTTTTGCATCACGTCTTTCTGCTGCCCTATCCCTGTACTTGTTCTTTTCCGCTTCCTTCAAGTGCTTTGAAAAAGTGAACATGAACGGCTACCGGGGCGGGGGCCGTCTGGCAGATTGCGGAAAATGGTTCAAAAACAATTCCGACTACGATCTCCTGCTCAGCCTTTTCCGCTGCTTTCTGCTTGTATCTGTTGGCCTTCCTTGTTGTAGCCGCTTCGACGCAGGCAAGAGGATGTCACCCACAAAGTCACTAGCTGCAAACAAGTCACGCGATTCTGGCAATGGCCTTTTCATCTTTACCTTTTCCCTGGCCCTTACCAGTCTTGGCACTGCTGCCACCTGACAACCAATGACACAAGTCCAAACATTGAACTAAAGTCTACTGATCCAACATGGACATCTCGCGACTCTATCCCACTCTATCCTTACCTGCCTTTCTTTCGCTTAGTCAGCTCCGTCACCAACTCCCTGGCACATTGTACCCAGTCAGCTGCTCTGAGCCGCGCTCGAACAAAACAGGCTCACAGCCGCACCCCCAATGAGCCTGTCATTGGTGGTGAGCAACCGCTGGAAATCAGAGTTGTTCATGGCTCGCAGACTTGAGCTACGTGTCGCTGCTGAAAATAACTGGGCTGTTATTGGGCTTTTTTGGAAAGTCGCTGGGCTTCAGGTCCTGGCTGTGTTTTTGGGCTCTTAGCCATTCTAGCCACTGCGCGGCGTGCCAGTCGATACCCATCGTGACGAAAAATTGAACCATCTACGGCTCTGTAGGAACAACTTCCTTGCATTGCCATGTCGTTTTTCTACCTGACACTTGCAAATTGCGGCACCAATAAGGTCGGCATCGCAACAAGAGATGACAAGAATCGCACTGGCAGTCTGCCAGGAGACATTTGACACTCGAGACAGGATGCCTGGGCTCCTGGCCTGCTTGCAGATGAGAACCTCTCCATGCGCGTAAACTTGGTACGCGGTGCTAACATGTGCTAACAACAAGCAACTCAAAGCTGCCAATTCAGCATGCTTCAGCATGGACCCGTTCAACGGCACGGCACGGCACGAAGCAGCAGTGAAAAGTCATTCAGTTTTATCCATGAGCGCTCGTGTGACCTGAGGCCGCTCGACCCGTGCCTGATGCAATTTAAAATGAAGAAATATTGAAATATCTAAATACATAAAATTTGGGCAACGTGGGGGAGCAAGAAGGCAGAGCCTACGACAGGCTCGAGTCGACAGGCCAAAGGTTGAGCTGGGTCTTTGCTGAGTCCCCACCCTGGATTGAGACTCTCTTGGCTTCAATCGCAGGCAAAACATGCAAGCCTTCTGCATCATCTGTGGCTTGGCCGACATACCCTGCAGTGAAGCGGCCGCCCACTCAGCGTTAGCACAAGCAAGGCACCTGGCAGGGCCCTGTGGCACTTCACTGAGTGATTTGGCTGCAGCTGCCATCTCCTGTTCGGACAGCAGGTGATGTGTTCTCCGCTCAGTCGTCCTGTGCGAGAGTTGCCGCAAGGCCTCCCTCCTCCTGCAGGCAAGGTGGCGCGAGATGCTTGCTCGCTCACCCAGAAGAATAATTACAAGTCACCTGAGTCCCGCCGAAACGTTGGACCACCATTTCTCTGAAGCTCTACTTCTTGATAATGGTTCTGCTACCCTAGATGGCCTAGGTATCACGGGCTATGCTCGACATGCAGCGTGGACACGCCAAGCATGGATATGATGTTAGTTTCAATGGCATTGCTGCCGCAATCTGCAAGAGGCCTTCTTCTCCTCCGACGGTGCTGGCGCAGCCGCCGCAGAGGTATCATCACCTTCTGCTCCCTCTGCCTCACAGACTTAGAAGCACTGCAGCCAAGACAACCCTCTTCAGTACCATTAGGTACAGTACTACTCTGGAGCGCGGAAAGCTCGGAAGTTCAAGTGCGATGAGGTGGCCTCTTTCCATGACTCAACATGGGTTTCGTGGTTAATTCCCATTAGCTGGACACTTTCCGAGGCAAGACAAAGAGGTTCGCATTTTCAACTTGGACGAGCTGGCTCAGGAGCATCTTTCGCTAAAATACAAAGAACCGAAAGTGAGCGTCCCCCCGATCCCTGCAAAAACCTGCGCATCGTCCTCTTTTTTTCTGGAGGGCGAGTCAGACCTCAGCATCAGCTGGTGCATTTCTTGCGCCCAGCAAGGTGACACAAGCAGCCTCTGCCACCAAGATGCCGAGCCTTCTTGTACTCGCTCAACCTCATCGTTCAACTCAGGCCAATTACCACTCATTATCTCACCGGCACCCGTGTCATGTTCTGATAACTGCAGGGCTGTAAAAGAACCAAGGAGCTTTTTCCTTTGCTGCGTGGGCTCACCTGTAGAAGGTCAGCAAATTCACGAGCAAGCAATCGCAGGCACTGCCAGGGAACACGGGTCACATTCAGGTTCCAGCAGCCCTTTCAGCAGCAAGATGACGAGTGAGCAACCAAAACTTCAGCAAAAAGTCAGGAAGAGCGAACGACCGGCACCGGCATCAATAACTTGATTTGCGCCTGCGCCTTCGGTTGCTGGTCGCGGCGGGGCAGCCCCGCCCCCACGGCAGCACAACCTCAAATGAGCAGGCGAGGCTATCCTGAAAGGACAATCGTGGGGAGGGCTGCCGCACCACAAACTAGAGGCAGCCCGGCAGCACGACACTGCCAATGAGCACAGCCTCAATTCTGCTTGACTTTGTCATGTCTTGGTCGTGAACAGTTTGCCATATAGCACTGAGGACAACACCAGAACCGTCACCAGGACAGGGATTGGATTGTCCAAAACCTGAGCTACTGTTGCCCTAGTGGGACCCATGTAGATGGGCGAGCGATCTGGTGCATTCAAGCAGCCCAGTCCAAGCCTCTGCTGATCATGCTCTGGCCACTCACTGACGTGTCCTGATCGGCATTATGCACAGCTGGGACTGGCATCGCGCGACAGCAAGTGTCCTGCTTCGCCTCGATCTCACTCCGCACCTTGAAGGTAGCCTGGCCAAAGGCCATGACCTTGAACCAGCAGGCAGCAAGCAGCTGTTTCCGGTTCCGCGTCAGGCACCTTCTCAGGGTTGGAATCGATGACAATGTTGTCGAACATGATGCCCTTGTCCATAGTCCAAATGTCAATGCCGACAGAGTCGATGGAGGGCAGCATGTACGGGCTTTCATCCACAAAGTATTCTGGATTCTCAATCTGCCTGCACAGTTTTAAGGGCACGTGGCAATTTCGAACTGCAGCAAGCAATTCCCTCGAAAAAAATTGGCACGTCCCTTGATTTAGGCTCCTTGGCTTCCATTCGCCGACGTATGCCGGATTGTCAATCTTTGGCGCATACCATTTGCCCTTGTAATCAGGGTTGTGAATCTTCGGAGCCTCACATGCTCACAGTAGAACGCGAATGCTACGCCAAGCAGGGCAGATAGTTAGGCCATCCATGCGCCATGCCTCCCACTTGCCACAGCCAACTGTGCACTTGGGGTTGTCAATCATGGGAGCTTCCCACTCGCCATCCTCTTCATGATCCCAGTCTGAAGGCCTTCGGGGTTTCATGCAACATTTGATTCATCCCTGAGATGTCATGCTGCGTCTTACATGCTACATGCAACTTCGCCTCTGGGACCTGGGATCCGGAATCTTCAGCTGCTCTTCTTCCAACCATCCCGATGGCATGGAAGCTGATGGGTCCGGTATCTGAAACGGCGCATCCTCATCCCAATCATCCTGGGCAATCGACAAGAAACAGAGAACAAAAAAGTGCGAGCCAAAGCTCACCTGGCAGACTTTGCTGGCAAGTATCAGGCTTGGATGCTTCAGGGTCATCAATCTTGGCCTCGTCAACCCAGTCCGCCGGCTTGCTGTCAGCAGGGTCATCAATTTCCTGGCGCAGCAGGTGCTCGTGCAAAAGGCCAAGCAGGAGTCCCCAACGCCAAAGCTCATTCAGAACGCAGATTTATGTGGTCTCTCCTTGGGCGGATTGACCGGCGGCTGCATGTCCTTCAGGAGAGAGCCACTGGCTTTCTGCTCGCCATCGACTTGGACTTCAAAACTATTGTCTGAGCGGATGAAGAGGCCTTGTCTTCCAAGAGCGCTCAGGGCATGCAAGACACACCAACTCCAACTGCAGAAGCTGCCGCATTTAGGCTTACATGTTGAATGCCAGCAAGTGGCCGTACATGTGCGTGCGGCGATCCATAGGGACGCTTGCAGGCGTTTGCAAGTGCTTCTCTTCCCACTTGCCACTCACGGGGTTCCTTCGACTTATGATAGGAATGCACAATTGTCCCTGCCGAGCTTCCGTCAGGAAAACTTGATGATGACATCATGTTGCAGTTAACTGCAGAAGAACAAGCTAGCAAGGAATTCAACTGGGCTCCGAGCTTGTGCTGGAAAATGAAATGCACTTTGTTGGTAGCGCCGCATTTGTCTGGCCCAAACATGATGACATAACCTAGGTTAAGCAAAATATGTTCAAGGTTCAAACGATGTTGTTCCGCGTTTGCCAGCGTAAGCAGGCATGCAGGCACTTTGTTTAGTTTTGGGGATGCTTGATTGCAGACTTGATTGTAGACTTGGTAGGGTGCTGCTATTTGCAGCAGATCCTGCGCATTTGCATCTTTTGGGAAGTAATTGTAGGATGCGGGGCTCTCCAAGGAAGAAACGGCGAGTTTTTTATCAATGTACATCCCAACCTTGCCCAGTGAGGGCCACAAGACCTCCGTCCAACAAGCAGCCCCTAGCCAACAGGTCGCAACTTGGAGCTACCCGTCCCACCAGTAGTGTTGCTTGATATCGCTCGCCAAAGTGCGAGTGTCAGAGTCAAAGGCATCTGCAGCTTTGCCTGCACGACAAGAGCAAGAACATTGCGGGAGGTCGGGAGCAGGAGACAACAACCAGAAAGTTGTGAATTGGCTCTGCGCATGCCATGCATCCCACAGATTTGTTGAAGCTACCAGGGGCTGCACACTGGTTGACAGAGGGCTGCCGCCTTGACTGTCAAACAACTTGATGTATGAGCCACCACACCTCAGCAAATGTGATCTCTCAGCTGTGGAAGGTCGTTTCGGCGTGGCTCGGTCTCTCTTGAACATTGCCGGATGATGTTAGCACACACTGGCCCTCCCAAACGAGAGCTGCCCACAGGCAAGAGTCGTCGAAAAGCCATGCAGCCGACTGACGACAGGCCATCTTCAAATCTAGCTTCGAACCTGGTAATGATGCAAAAGTGTTCTCACGCAGAATGGTTGCACGCGTCGCGCTAGAAAACAAAACCACAGTGCCCACATGAGTACTCCAAGAGGCTGAACTGCGAAGGACCCCTGCGACTTTACGGCGATGGGGGCAAACTTTGCGGCCTGGGCTGATCAAAGCTGCAGCAAATGGCCCGGATCATGGGTGGTGCCAACTTTCAGCTGCGAGTGACGGCGCCGTAGTGGCGCGCAGCCTCTGGCACTTGCAGCGCCACATCGCCAAGAAGCGCCTGAGGTTGCTGAGCCGGGACTTGGGGACCAGTATGAGAACAGCGCACCCCTCCGGTTTTGCCTCAGGCGTGCGAGTGTTCACCAGGAACTTCCCGTTGTACTTCTCCTTGTGGGCTGACTGCGACATGTGACGCTGCCTTTCGGTCCAAAAGGCGGAGGCAGGAAAATTTCGCATCTGGCCAAGCGTCACCAGAGGAGTGCTTCCACCTGGACCATACCTTGGTGGGCACAGCTCTAATAAAGTCACATCTCGTTGATGGATGCATTCAAAGAAGACTCCCCCAGCCAAGAGAACTTCAAGGCAGGAGGCATCGCCATCGAATGTCTCAACGAAATGAAGTCCAGCAACATCTGGAGCGACGTAAGGAGTTGTGTAGTTCTCCTGTTTCCCGTGAGCTTGCAAACGGCAATCGCATTAGCCACCTGGCCTAGCCGACCATGTTTGCAATCCCAGCCTCCGCACTTGCAATAGCAAGGCCTGTCAGAACGGCTCCGCGCAGCGCTCGCATAGCAGCAGTTCGCCTCATGTGAACTCACGGAAGCTACCGAACGACAAGAACGAGCATGAGTCGATGTAACTCCGAGCAGCCTTGGCACAAGCCTCTCCGCTTGGCAGGAGGGGCCTTGCTTGAGCCTCAACTTAGAGAAAGGCCTCACATCACCAACATCATGCCACATTGGCAAGAAAAGTCATCCGGCTGTCCATCTGGACAGCACGTGATGAATTGCTTCTTACTTGTCGCCATTCTAGCTTCTGACTGCAGGCTCATAAGCTGCATCACAGACCTTAGCATCAGCACATGGGACGAGCAGGCAGCGCAGTCGGTGCCTCGCATCTCAGTCTCCATACGGGGCAGTGAGACTAACCTTTGCAACCTGATCTATCAAGACGCCGTTCCCCTAATAAACTTGGACATATTCTTAGACATCAAGATACTTTCAACAGCATGCAATGCATGCCTTTGGACTCCGGGGATAGCCTGTATGCTTTTTCCAGTTGGATTCTGATCAAAGCGTCATGCCCGTTGGAACCTCCACAGCTGAAACTCGGAGCTTCCTTTGCCACATATGTACAAAGAGCGAGGTGTGAGCACAGGGTTACGCAAGCTGTGGCGGCTTGCCATCCCAATGTGGAAGACGTGCTTCAAATGTTGATTGTCTGCACTTGCGCGTGCGAAAGCTTGAGCATCCTGCCAGGCAGTTTCAGGACGCACTCAAGTCATGTGCGTCTACGCAAAAATCATCTCACAAGGAGTCCAAGAAAACGCCTTTACCTCGAATCTCCTCATTCGAAATGATGATACCTCTACTACTTGGGTCCCGATGACGCCTGCTATGTTCACTGTAACCTTCCAAGCCATGAGCCCTGTGCCGGGCAGTCCTGCAAGAGCTCACATAGACATACAGCGTCAAACCTCCTTGGAAGGTTCCCAAATCTTTTTTGGCGTAGAGGTCGCGGGCTGCAAAGGAAGCTGATTGCGGTGCAAGCCAAGGGATCCTCGGATCTTCAGCCCGATAGCGCAAATTCCCCCAAGGTCGTCGAGAAACTTGCATGCAAAGGCACATATTGGAATCAACAGTGATGTTGCTACCATCTCCAAACGTGCCAGCATTTTGAAGCACCACAGCTGCATCCTGGCCTCACAAAGTGTGCCATCATGAAAAGAAGTCCTCGCAAGTCTCAAGAGGCACACCTGAGAGCTGGCGCACCCAAACTCGCAGGTTTCCATCGCAGCCGGCCACGCAGTAGCCCTGTTTGCCCAAAGCATCCTTCCAGGCTAAGGCTTCAGCAGCAAGCCCTACTGGCTAACCTGAAGGTGGACAGCGAGAGCAGTCCTGATTTACAGCGATGATCTCCCGGTTCTGGAGAATCTCTTTGGATTCTGCTGAGATCATTCGAAGATCATTTGACATAAACAGCGGCGCCGCAAAGATTGCCCACAAGGCAAACTGAGTTTGCTCTTCTGAATGTGACAGACCGAAGTTGCCAACCATCAGCATGTCCGGGTCCTTTCTTGCAAGGGATGGCCGCAGCAGCGAGCAAGGTCTGGAACTTGGAACTGCATCTGGTGCTTACCAGTATATCGGGATATCTCTTCAAAGGGTAGCTCAAAGACAGCCCCAAGCTTGGGAAGCCAACATCTGAGCTCTGCGCATTCCAGTGTCCAGGACCCGCAGCTTGAACCATCTCGTCACTGCTGTTCTTTCTCTTCCAGAAGTTGATGATGCCTGTCACCTTATCTGAGGACATGCGAGCCAAAACCAAAAGCTCCCTGATAGAGGCCTCTGCCAAAGCCCGTGTATGGATGTGGAGGAAGCTATATCAGGTCTTGATGCTAAAATAGGCAAGCTTCTGAGCCCCAGCTGTCTGCAACCTCGGTCACACACATGCTCGCCCTCTAAACGCCAAAACACGTCAACTTCTACACCGCTGCGGAATTAGACTGGAGGTGTGGCCCAGCAGAATATGCATGCAGGGAGCGTCTGCAAAGTTTCGCCAAAGGTTGCCTTCGCATGCTCGTGTTGCCCACGGTACGGGCTACGTGCAAGGGCCGGCAATAAACAAACGATTCTCGTGGTGACAAGGAGCAGTGTTCCATCAACGATGTCATGCAAGCATCACTGCCCTCGCAGTGGTGGGGCATATAAGCTGGCCAGCTGCAGCTGTACACCTCAAGCATGTCGAGCCTTGAGGCAAACCAACATCGATCATGCTAAGGACTGCGCTATAGGCCGCCCCGTCTTGTTCAAAGCTGCGCCAAAGGCCGGATAGTCGTTCTGCATGTCCTGCTATAAAGCTGCCATGAGGACGTCTGCCCAAGCAAAGGTTCCGAAGCTCCTTTAATTCTTCGTAGCAGCCATCCACTTTGATGTAGTCCACTCCCCATGACGCAAACAAACGCGCCTCGCACTGACTAAGCTTGGCTGCAAGATCTGCAGGACAAGCCAGCATGGCTAGAAAGCAACCTCAGGCGCGCGCATCATCATCGAAGTGGCCCTGAAGCCCGATTTTTCCGCCGCACGTCTTAGATCCGATATCGCTGTAGGTCCCAAATTGCAGGCCGCGATCATGGATGTATTTTCCCAGCGCTGCCATGCCGGAGGGAAATCTGGTAGGGTCTGCCACTTGCTGTCCCTTCGCATCACGGTCGGGCAACGCCCAGCAGTCGTCGATACTCACCTGCTTGTAGCCTGCTTCCAGCCAGCCATCCTGAACCAAGCAGAAATCATGAATATTGCAGTAGGCGGTTATTATTGGAAAGACCTATGCGAAACATGGCTCATGCTTTCATAACCTGTCCTGTGCCAGGCGATCTGCCATGTCTTTGATTAACTGTTCATTGATGCAGCGGGATGGCCCGGGCGACGTGCAGTCAGTAACACATGTGAAGCGCTCCCAGGTCATCCAACCCATGGGAGGCGTTCTAGCAAGCCCATTGTCCAGGCTCACAGCAGGAGTGGCGGATGCTATCAGACAAAGGGCAACAAAGCGGCCCATGGCTAAGGCTCAAGTCGCCGCAGCGGCTTGGTCTGAAACGTCTGCGGCTCGATTTTTCACTTTTGCAAATGCAGTGCTCAGGCGCAGTGCTCTCTTAGCTTGATTTCCGTGCTCTCTTGCTCTCTTGCTCTCTTGCTCTGCTCCTCACTCCCCGCCTCCCTGCGCAGCCGTAGAAGCTGCCGGCCATGGACGTTTGCAGTTCATGAAGCAGACTACACCCAGCCCGTCGGAATCAAGCGTAGAATTCGGCCAGCTGGAGCCCTGCAAATTTCTGTGAGAATGAACAAGCTTTAAAAGGCACAATCGCAACCCAATACACCTGCTTAATCCTGCCTACTCACTTTGGGTTCTCCTGCTCCTAGTCTTCGATCGCATGGCTTGCTGGAGGCCACAAGGATCTGAAATGCAGTCATTCCTCCAAACAACTCCCCTCTGCGCAACGTAGAGACAGCTGCCCGCTGGCAGTTCGGGTTGACTCCCTGGTCTGCTCCATTCCGCTGGGACCTGTTGCCAATCAATTTCGCTATCGGCGCAGCCAGCACCTCCATAGGCTACCTGTCTTTGAAAAGCATACCGCCCAAGCTCTCACCAAAGCGTGTAGCACAAAACTGGTGTGACATGCCAGCGTGCTAATTTACAGATCTTAGCTGGCATGCATACCACGCAGTGAAACTTCGAAAACGCGGAACCGGCTCAACGCGAAAGCTCAAAAGATGACTCGACATGTTTCATGAAGACTGAGATGAGCATACATTGTATCTGGGACCTGGCGGTGTCTCATGCTGAGGCTGTGAGGCTGCTGAGGTTCAGAACAAGCTCAGCCCTTGAAGAGCTGGTCCTCAGATGTCTTGACTTTAGACCAACATGAACTGCAAAGTAGAGTGGAACAAACACCCGAAAGAGCACAAAATGACCACACTAAAATCTGCCCTTGATCTAAGTCTCAGCTCGGAAATGATCCGTTCTCATGCTGAGTTAGAGTACAGCCCGATTGCAAGCGAACGCATCGACCCCTGCAAGTCCATATGAATTTCCTCCAACCAAGAAGCGACGAGGAGACGCCTATCCGAGTGTCCCATGGCTGGAAAAAGGGGGAACATACTGCAGCGTGTGGAAACAACTGAAACAAGCGATGTTGGCAAGTGCAGCCCAAGCTCGATCTCATCTTGGTGTCTGTGTCTGACCTCAAAAGCGAAACAATGAATCTGAGCTAGCGCCACTTTGCATCTTCGCATCACATTGTGTCAACACGCTTCTCCACGTTAACTGAAAGAATTTGCCATTGCGACTGCGGGGGGGGGGGGAGGACATTAAAGGCGTCCGTCCCACTTGCCCCACTTGCCCCACTCGCCCCGCTTGACTTGACCCGCTTTGGGGCCCTCAAGTGGCTTGTTTGGAGCCTCCGGAGCAAAAGTTGAGGGGGCCACATTATGAGGACAGAAGTGGGTCCCTTAATCCCCCCCAAACCGACACTCTCGAATTTGCGGAGCCACCATCAACACTTCCAGTTTTGTCTCAAAGCCAGAGGATGCCGTTGCTCTCACTGTCACGGCCCGTTCAATAAGAACCCAGGACCCGGGAAAGACGAATAAAGCAGCCGCACACTTGCAAAGCACCACACAAAGAATTCAAACAGCGCCTGAAGCAACTTTTGCCTTGGGCTTGTGCTTCCTGGACGAAGTCATACGCGCAGAGGAAATCCTCCCAGAACAGACCAAACTCACTCCTTCGCTTCTCTCCTCAAACAGGAACAGCCTCGCGTTGCTGCTCATTCATTGCCTGGAAAAGTGGCCCACGCAGGATCAATAAGTCCTGTGCAGGTAGACATGCAGCAGCCAGCACTACTGTGTGCTGCGCTGGCTCCTGCAGAATCTCGGGATCCTTCAGTTGGTGCTTTGCCCACTCTGCGGTCATAACCTCCACTTGAAAGTTAGGGCAGCTTGGATTTTGCTGCAAACGCTGCCTGCCTGGACCTTGTTGAACTTCTTGCACCAAGCGGGCACCGAGCCCTGAGCGCATCTCATGTCCATGTTGCTTGCACATTCTTGCGGGCTCAGCACTGCATGGCCTTCTTGTCTGCCACGGCCAAGATCTCCCTGCGAAAGCGCTCAGCTTCCTTCTGTGCCATCCTGATTCTGCTGTGGCTCCAATGTACTCACAGTGAGTCCGTACCTTGACCAAGCAAACCCTTGCCTCACAGCAGATTCTGGATCATGAGGCACTGTTGCGACTGGCAAATCTTCCTGTCTCCTGCCGTCATCCGGGATACCAAGAGATACAGGTGACCACAACTAGCCTCTGCACAGTCTACACAAAGCAGTATGACAGTGAGACGTCCTGGCCACGACATCTGGGGCCGCCGGTGGCAACGACTCCTGCAGCCAAACTCAACCAAACTCTCAGCACTGCTTCTCTGATATACGCAACGCTTCCACAACAGAACCGGCCAGCTCCTAGAAAGCTTCTGATTGGAAAGCAAAAATATTGTTGAAGATTTGCTACGTTCACTTGCGGGGACCTGCAGCCAAGCCCACCTCAAGCTTCTCCAATTCCCTCCGTGCTGCTTCATTGTTGGGCTCTAGCCGGAGCACCTGGGCCAGGAGAAAAAACTCAAGCAAACAACATCATCCATCTGATTTTTAATGAGGACGTCTCACCTTGGCATAATATGGATCAGGCTACCTCACCGCATTCGCTGGAAGTCATGTGCTTTGCAGGACAAACTCTGCATTTTGGCTCCTTCTCTCTTGCAACCCCTAGGCCCTAGACCTGCTCGAAGTCTTGGCGAGCCAACAGCCAACCTCTGGCCTGGCTGTGTGGAATCCAGGCGGACCATCACATATCTGGCTTGACTCGAATCACACGTCAGCATGACATTGCTGTAGGCGCAACCGCGGCGGAACAGTGCTCGGGTGTTATTTGGTTCGACGATCAGTGCCTGGCTGCAGGCCGATGACTTGACCAAAAAAACAACATGCTAAGAAAGTCAGACTAAGCTTCCATCAGAGATAAGCAAGCAACGGGGAGGCAAACAGGGCTCACAAATAACATGCATCCTCTTCCTTTAGGCTTCGAGAGCGTGATGGTGGGATGGTGAGGCGGGGTGCTGATGGGGGGGCAATTCTTGGCAATATGCGACATGACCAAGACACTTCCCCCCTTCCGCCCAATTCCCTCAGCACCTCCAGCATTTCATTGTAGAAAAATCAGAGGCATGTTTAGTGACAGAATTATCTCTATAAGCGCGTGACACAGAAACACGAACAATTCAAATGACGGCATGCCGTATGTACATCTGCTAGCTGCTAGGATGCGTCATGGAGCGTGTGAAATGGCTATGCTAGCCATCGAAACAACAATCTCAAGGACACAGACTTAACACAAAAAATGAAAATACATCTGTTGCAGCTCCAGGCCCCATGGTGCACCTTTCTGCATGTCTCAGTCCTTTTCAGTCCGGTTGCCAGCAGCTCCCGCTTATGATGCAATTTACACCCCAAGCCCCTCACCCTGCTGCAACAACAAAACGTGCATGTCTGGTGCCATGATTTCGCGCTCTTTCTGGCTGCATGCTGCCACGAAGTTGACATACTGCAGTGCTGGAAGCAGACTACAGCTCCAGGTCACTCTTCTTGTCGGCACCTAGGGCGCGCACCAAGCATTGCGACAGAAACGCACACTGAGACACAAGAGTCACCTCGGAAGTCCAGTTGCGGCCAGCGTGCCGTACTGCAGGGAGAATCTGGGTGGCAGGACAGACTTCAAGTTCACATCGAGGGGACGGTATGCCGCATCGCTTGCCCCCGAGGCCGCAAAGAAAACCTTGTCGCCTGGGAAGAACAGGGTGACGCCAGCAGAAACTGGAGCAATAGCAGCAAAATTGCACCCTTCAAGCAGAGGCCAAGCCACCATCATCTCTGGCTCGGAGCGATTTGGGCTCACAGTCTTCCCCAGCCTTCGCGAAGCGCATGACCTGCCTCTCCCGGTTGAAGGTCGTGTGATAGTAGCGGAAGAAGGGCATGCCCAAAATCCACACTGGACCAAGCTGAGTGTTCATGTCCATCTCCTTAGACCAGTCACATGTCTAAGCCTCTTGAACTTTCGGAAAGTCAGCCGCATGCACGCACATGATGCACAGTGAATTTACTGACCCTCTAATATCTCCAAGCAGCCATGAAAGCAGGCATACAGGAGTCGACCTTGCGAATCTTCGGCTTGAAGAAGAGGAGGTCCCAAATGCTGTCAGCTTCGACGCTGGCGCCGACAACCCTGCGGAGGCCAAGCACTTGCAAGTATTTGAGGAGTTGGCTCGTCTAGGGGTACAGCTTGGGGGCTCGGTACCGGGCTCTGCTGAAGCTTGGGGGCAGACTATGTTGATCCCATATCCTCCTTTGCATTCAGGGTGAACCCTGTCAACCCCCCATTTTTCTAGGTAAAACGATGGAACCGAACCAAAAGGGCTCTGTAAAATGGGCGAACCCAGGGTTGAACATACAAAACGAAATCTTTGCAAAATTAAGGTCACAGGGTCATTTTACGAGGCATTTTGAAGGCTGAAACATGGCTTCACCACAGAAACTCGCCTCTTCTCCTGAGTATCATATGCTATTGCGTGGGCACTGCCATGAAAACACCTGCAAACTATGGGCCTTGCGTACTCTCAGCCTGTGCTCTCTACCTGCTGGTGAGAGATGCTCTGTGATAGGTACGTATAGGAGATGAGCCACTGCATCACATGCATGCGCGAAATTGCACAGAAAGCAGTTCTACACAGAACATCAGCAAGCCACACAGAAGCAGACGCAAGAACATAGGGTCATAGGCTTAAAACTGACGCAGTTCCAGACGAGTGCAACATGCAGCAAAACACCACTGGAAGCACTGCAAAATTGGGTGCCTGGACCCTGTTTCCCCTGTAAAATGAAGGCCCCCCAGAAATAAACCAAACCGTTTTACCTGGGCCCCCGGATCCCCCATTTTACAAGTAATGGGGAGGGGGGTGATCCCATGCCTCTATGGGTTCATGTCCATCATCACTTTGCAAGCATGGAGGCCTCATCACATATGCTTGCGGGGGGAGCTCCAAATCGTGACCGTCAAGGTTCAGCTTCAGGTTGGGCAGCTCATGCAGGTTGGAGCAGTCCTCCATGGCAGGGCAAGCGCAGTGACGCCACACCCAGCTGCGGTTGGCTTGGTAAAGTTACAACCAGTCCTCCTCGATTTTGCCAATCTGGCGGCCCAGCTCCATCAGTGCAGATGCAGGAGCTGCAATGAGAGAGGTACCACTGTCCACAATGGCAGCGCATCCATTTTGACACACCTCTAGCATCCAACAGGCACTCTCATATGGTCAGGTTGGAGCAAGGCTGCTGCGCTGCTCTTTGTGGAGTTTCCATCCTGGCCAGGCACATGAAGCAAATCGCCGGGACATGTTACAAGCTGCACCCACCAAATCTTGCTACGCACGTGTCCTTGGTGAACGAGACGTGTGTCAGATTCGTCGCCCAATGATGCTTGCCCAACACGCGGGCAGTCGCAACATCTGCAGGGTCCTCCAATGTTAACATGTTGTTGCTCAGTAGCTTGGATAGCTTCGTCTACGGCATGGTTGACAACTCAAGGCAAAACGCAAGAAGTGTCCATTCCATCATCTGCATCAGGACCCCAAGTGAGGTATCCATTTCGACCTGACTCCTCGAAATCAGCAGCAAAAGCCGAGTTCGCATATGCTATGAACTCAACGAGGTCCTTGTTCAAGCAAATTGAAAACTCATCCACCTGGGTGTCAGGTACAACTCGCGCTAATCCACATTCTATTTCCAAAATGCATCCCAGGCACGTGATAATTCATCAAGAGAGTCTTCCTTGTCCAGTCCAGGCTAGGATGACGACATCAAAACAGCCCAGCATCAATCGAGACATGGAAGCCCAGAAGGCACCACAAGTGTGGGTCAAAGTCAAGAAGAGCACGCTGGAAACAATCTGGTTAGTGAACTTGGGGCTTATTGCTGCACAACCACATGTGCATTGCCAGTCTAGCTACCACGCTGCAAAACATGGCTGCGCATTCTGGCATAGGAATTGTTGCATGCTACGCTCATAGCGGCTCTGAACTTGCAGTCGCCCAAGCATGTCCAAGGATCTGGGCGGAGTTGTACCCAAACTTCGGTCCAATGCCCACAATGGCTGCGAACTTTGCGGTGTCCAGAATTGGGATTTGATGCTGCAAGATCCTGGAAAGACAAACTGTTAGTCAACGCGGTCCGCCCCAAGCTAAGGATGCACCGAGTGGCTCCCAGATGGGCTGCTGTTGAGCTACAAGCTTGGGGCCCACCTGACACATGCGTGAACTTTGCGGGTGCGCACCGTTCAGCCGCCAAGTTTGCTCAGCTTTTGGTCTACCGGAACCTGTACGGTGTCGTACCCAAGCATTGTAACACATGGTCCGGATCCGTAGACATGCTGCGTCATGGTTCCATTCTCCTGCAAGCTGCCCAAGCAGAGCACTTTCATGGCAATAGCGCATGGCAATAGCGCCGCATGCCAAATCTCTCCTTGTAGGTTTTGCTCAGCACGTGGTCATACGGAGTGGTCGGGTGCACGCATTCCTTGCATCTTGAAGATCGGACCACAATCTCGAACGAGCCGGTGTCCTTATTTGGGGATGTGCTAGCTAAGGCCAGGTTCGCCCAACCCCCTCAATTATCAAGCCCCATGTAACCACCATCAGCACTGGCAGAGCTACAGCAACAACTGAAATCACCAGCGACAAGTTGCAAAAATTGCTGCAATATCTTGCCCACCGATCTTAAAATCCGCGAAGTATTGGACATCCTGAGAGGAAGTCCAGGGTCAATCTATGTTCGTCTGCAGCCACCACTGCTTGTTGGACCTTTTTTTGCTTCTGGACTTGTTCAGGCGCCAAAACGCTGACTCAAGCACCACGATCATGAGCACTACTGGCTCATTCTCCAAATTTGCCGAAACCAAGTCTCAGGCTTGTTGGACCCCAAAATCCATAAAGTGCAACCGCAAACGAAGTGGAGACGTGAGTCTCTACGAATGTTGGTGATTTCTTTGGTGCACAAGCCTCTGCATATACTTGAGAGACCTTCCGTTTCGTCCAGGTCGGGATGTGGATATGATATTTGAGTGTGAGTTGCCTTTTGACGAAAGTAACTCTGAATGGGGCTATGCTGACCTTCCACTCCGCTTTGGCCAATTCTGTAGCATGCCAAGTTCATTATCTAGGGCGCTGCCCCAACATGTACCAGCACAAGTGCGCCCAGCCCCAAGCCCAAAACTCCTCGTGGTTGTGCAGTTGCTGGCGGAAGGACAGCGTAAGTTGCCTGAGGGACCAGGGCAAGTATGACAATTTCATTTTCCATTATCCCACTATAACCCCAATATGTACCCTATATAGCCCATTATAGTAGTTTCCATGTTATTTTCCATTATCCCCATATAGCCCCAATATACTATCAGTTGAACCCAGGCAAGCTTGACTTAGTCAGCTCCAAGCATCTCCGAGCCCAAGCAAACTGAAGCAAAAGTAGTAAATAAAATGGAAACTACTATATTATGATATGGGTTATATTGGGATAATGGAAAATGAAATGTAAACTACTATAATAGACAAAAAATAATATAATTGGGTTTAGGGTTTAGGGTTATATATGGGTTATGTTGAATGTACATTGGGGATAATGGAAAAAAGAATAGAAACTACTATAGTATAATGGAGGATAAAAAAAAGGCAAACTGAGCAACACGTGCCTCTCCTTCACATGCTGTCAAGCTGCCCGGCGCCCCTCGTGCGGAGCCTTCCAGCTGCAGCCAGCCCAAAGGCCAAGACCTCAGTCACGATTCATTGCTTCTGCAACAACCCCCTCTTGTGCAGCCATTCAATGAACACAACTTTTCTTCTTGCGGCAGGGTTGTAGACATGGTTCAAGAAAGCGTGGGCTTGTCCAAGATCCAGTGGCCAGCCTCACGTGCTGGCCCACAAAACCAGCCTTTCCGCCGCTCCTTTTGAGACAGGGCCCGAATTTGATCAAGAAACGAGACCTTGGACCAATACAATGAGGACACGCCACTAGATTCAAAGCAGCGCTCAGAGCTGGTCAAACAAACCCTATTTTTGAAGCAAGCAATACCCCACTGACTGATTTAGGATTTGCGGGAAAATTAGCAAATCACAGGGTTTCAGTACCCGTACTTCTTCAGTCTGGGCTGGCTCCTGGCTCACTGCCATGACTGCCACGATATGGCCTGCCCAAAGCCAAGGCGGTAAATTCGACCGCACCCATTCTGCGACCCTCAAGTTACAAACGCTGTCCTGTCGACACCACTTTTCTCACGTTCTGTGCTCAAACGCCTCAAATGGCCTGTGCTGCACAAGCTATTCTTGCAGGCCGATGGACCTCTTTTCCCTACTGTCACTGTACAGTCAGCGTCTGTGGCCGACTCAGCATTGAGATCGGCGCATTGCAGCAGAGGTTTTCTAGAGGTTACATTCGTGAGTCTCAAGATGTTTGCAGCCTGGGCCGGCAACTTGCCGATGTGCGCGCACCTGAAGAGAGGCATCTGATCGAGTGAGACACCAGATGTGACGTTCGCCACTCCGCTTGTGGGATCTCTGGTCTCTGGGTGCTGCAGTGGCACCAAGACATCGACCATTCTCAGGCCTTGACCGCAATTCGCCCGGCGCAGCGCCGTGGAGAGGTCTGCTCAGGCCGTCTCGTTCTGAAAGTCATCCTCAACGCTGCTGTCCATCCGCTTCCATCGCCTTTCAGAGTCAGCCTGACAAGGGCGATTCAAGCATGCGGCACAGCAAGCTGTCTCAGATATGCTTGGGGCCCTACACGCTCGCCACGTTGAAATCGCTGCTGCCGATTAAAAGCGCATCGCAGCGCCAAGACGGCACCAGAAGCTGATAGCCTCACCAATACCCAAAAGAAAGTCTGCCAGCGCACCTTATGCCCGGCCCAGCAGGATCACAAGTTCTCAGCATTTCTCTCAGCCATCCACGCCGCACCACGTCGGCATAGCCGCGCTGCCTGCTCGTCGCCTCAAAAGGTTTCTCAGCTGCTTGACATCTCCGAGCATGAGCCATGACGTGAGACGAAGGGTCCTCGTTCAGAAGCTGTGTGGGTCATTCCCCACAGCGCGAAAGCCAAAGCTGCAGCAAGCATCCAATCCTGTGGGCAAACAGGCCAGAGTAGATTTTGCACTCATCAGCTGATGCGCTGTCAGTTTCTTCCCCTGCTACAACGCGCAAATGGTCAGATGCTGCTGGGAGGAGCTAGAATCAACTTAAAACTAAACAGATACAAAAGAGCATCTTACGTGCTTCCAGGCTGCATAGCGCAGGCAAACAGCCAACCCCATAGCTGAAGAGAAGGTAATCACCACTGCGGACGGTGACAAGAGAGCCATCTCCAAGCGATCCGCCAGTCGCTGTACCTGCTGCAGCAACAACAAAAGACGTAAAACGTGCAGCTTTGTAGTTGCCTGGCCTGGAGACAAAGGGCAACGCAAGCCCAAGCTATGCCTGCATGCACGGCTTCCCACAAACCCTACTGGCTGTTGGAACTTATGGTCTTCGGACACTCAAACCACAATAGCGTGGCAACCTGACCTGGTCTAGCCTGCAAAGATGTGAGACAAGCGTCAATAGACATAATGGCTCGCATGCACGAAAGGCTCCCCACACCATGGCTCAACGTGCATGGCACGATGCCCTGCAGCAGAGCCACCTGCACCTGCAGCTGCACGGATGACCCAAGGACTTAAAAATCCAGGGCCAAAATCGATGTCGCGATAAGCGCAGAGGAGCCTGGCATGGCGACTGGCGACTCGCTTTGACGACATGTCCAAGTCAATGCAGTTCGACCCTACCTCATGTTGCAGCCTCGACACGCACCTAGCTGGCCAACAAGCAACCCAATAGCCAGGAGGAATGACGCTGTGCTATTGCCTTAGGGGAGTGAAGCTGGTCTGCTTTCGCTCACGGAGTCAAACAAACACTATGGACAACTCTGCCATCAGTCCAAGGTACAATCAAATATCGTCATGCAAAGTGCCTGAAGCAGGAATGCTAACGAGAGGAAACCTCGTCTTCGAGCCTTGACTGAGTAGGTTAAGCTTTCATGCCATCTTGATACATAAGAAAAACACTGCAACCATTTGCGCCATGCCAAGGCTCATTGTAGCCACCAGCATAAAGCTCTTGCAGCTCAGCTCTGGAGGCCAGAAAACCCAGGATACTGGTAAGCTCCATCAGTCTGCAGTTGAAGCTGCGAGGTAGCAGCGCGTTGTCGACATTTTCTATACTTGGCGTGCCCAAGTGAAGGTTTCGGAACACGCCTTGCAACAAGCAGAACACACCAAGGTGGTGCTTCTACTCCCCTCACAGTTGCTGGCTAAAGCGGCTGGTCAAACAAGCGCCGCAAAGCAGGTAGCTGGTCAGGCGCAGGCTCCTGCCAGCGGTAGTCAGATATCACCATGGCTACTTCGCCAACTCTCATAACTTGCTCGCGTGGGGTGCGCTGCGCCTGTCTGATGTGAGCGCCGGCCCCGTGGTCCCCATGCTACCGCGAGCTGCTCAAACACAAGTCAGGCATCTCCACCTTTGGTGGATGTACTTGGCAAGTTGAAAATCTTAGGCGATGTGGAATCCCATTTACCTCTGCAAGTGCTGCATGTGGGATGCAGACGTAGCATGCGCCTGGAAGTGCAAAACTGTGCTGCAAGTGTCTCCGTCAGCAATTGCACCCATCTACTACTCACAGCAATCTCAGCCAATACGCTGACAATGCTATGCTGCTATATGTGAATGCTGAGAATTCAATCCGGTCTGCTTTAGTGCGATCGTCAGGTCACAACCTGTCCTGCAACGCATCGCTTGATAATATCTTGGGGAATTTTTTTGGCTCTTGGTCTACATGGGCAATGTTGTATTGGCCGTGGTTGGCAGCTGCACTTTTTCACTGCACTCGAAGATCTGCACACATTCCCGCCACCCACGCTGCTCTTCTCTGCACTACTTCAAAAAAAGATGGGCCTCAGAGCCCAAAGGCTCAGAAACAACCTTCCCGAATCAGCAGCTGTGGTCTCCAGCACATTTGTGGCCTCACTCGGACTCCGTCTGCGGATAGAAATGATGAACTTTGACGCGCAAGTTTTCCTCGAGCTGGCCCGACTTCTCCAGGCGACTTTTCACCTTGTGGACACACCATTTGATACTTAGCACCCTTGCCTTGGCGCAGCTGTAACCAAAAGCACTCACAAGGCTGGGCTGACGGCAAATTGGAACAGCAAACTCTCTTCGAAGTGGTCGTAATTGTCGCACTTGTAGGGTGTGTGGCACCAGAGGTAGAAGTAGCCGAGACCTTTTTGTGCGCGTGAGGTTGCACTGCAGGCCTAGTCCTCGAGATGCTAGTTTGCTTCAATGGCTTCAACTTCTATGGCTGCATGATATGGTCTAATTACTGTTCCACTTGGCAAGTCGTTGCAGGAAGTGCTTTGACTAATTCGAGTCTCCAGCCTTCAGCCACAAATACGCTGCACGGCATCGCTGGCTTGAATGACCGAACACCAAGCACAAGAACTTACAAATCCAAGTAGGGAATGCCATGACTTTACGCAAGCTTTTTCCTCGGGAAGATGCTCAACTCCAAACATTGGACCCTGCCCCATGCCATTCCCCTTCCCAGCAAAAACATCCATCCGTTGTGATCTTCTGGGTTGGCAACGGCAACCACAACTGTCGAAGTCTCTACACTTCCCTCACCAAGCCTATCAGACTTCTTGCTACTTCAGCGGAAGGGCCAGAGAAGAAAGAGATCTGAACGTACCGCAGCATAAAGCGAACCTGTCAACCGAAATGGCTTTGAATCGCGCACAAATGCTCAAACAAAAAAGGTTGCTCATTTCAAGACAAGCTCACAGTTTCCATCAGACCATGGTATGTCATTCGTCCCCTCGAGACACTCCAAAGTAAGCTGGCCTTATCGCGACTGAAGTATGGGAAGAAGCGGAAGACCCAATCCACCGGAACAAATGGGAAGGAGTGCGTGCTGGCCTCGAGGAGCATGAGCACAACACAGCAAAACATGAAGGCAGAAAATGAAGGTTAGGTCAATACAATTGGGCAGGTTAGTCTTCCTCAGTCCTCGGGGCATTGCTTTTCAGTTCTTGGCCTGCGTCAGGCTTCGCGGCAGCATCGAGGCCGTCCGCATGGCGATAGCTGCTCGAAGCAGGGCCATGGCTGTTGCGAAAGGGCAAAGCAATGATCGCGGCACTAGGCCTGAGCCAGAATGGCCAAGCACGGCCATGTAAACAATTATCTTTCCAAGACATCAACCGCCACCAAGTGCCTGAGTGCAAGCCTGTCCACAGCTTGAAAGCCAATACACTTCTCGCCTCTCAACAGGTGTCTGCCAGCACGCTCTGGCTCTATGGCCGCTTGAGTGATGAGCCGAGCATCATTACAGCACCCAGCACTCTCGCGCGCGTTTGAGCCAGAGATGGCCAACAGCCCAAGAGTCCCAAGGGAGCAAAGGGACTGTAAGGCTCCCTCAACGTCAACAAGGGAATCTTGCCAGGACTGTAGACTATATCCGGACGACTGAATCTTGTGAGACAACTGTGACTGCCGCCCTCATGGCAAAGGCTGCTCTCAAGGTGGCAGTGAAGGATACAGTTGAGCTTACAATTACAGGGTGGGCTCGGATACCCTCGAACGGCGAGGCAGCCACCGGAAAAGAGGAGATGGAGCAAAAAACGCGAGACTGGGGCCCCTGCCACCTTCATTAAGCGGAGCATCCTGACACTGTTCTCCAGGCATTTGTGCAGTCTAACGCGACTCTGACTCTTTTCATGATCTGTCAGCACATAAATTCAAACAACTTGCTGCCAAGCGACTTCCGGATGATATAGAGGATGGAGACTTGCTCTGGCAAGGAATCCTTCCTCTTGAGGTATAATGGCCGCGGCCAATGCAACGTGACATGCCAACAGTGCATCTGAAAGAAACAGAACCTGTGGCTCATCTATTGCCCTGATCTCACGGGCAAAGTGCCCATGCTTGGATCTACGCAACCTCGACTCGTGGTGGCTTGAGTGGAGGAAAGAACAAACTCGAATTGTCAAGTGGGCTTGAGCGTTGCAGGCAAGCATGAGGATCTGCGCCTTGTCCGCCATAGACGCCGCCATCTCCGTCGGGGCCCCCTCGATGTCCGGGCATTTGAGCAAGGCCTCCAAGGCGGAAATGTGCAGAGTGAACTGTGTTTGTGTGTCGTTCACGCGCTTTGTGTCCCTGTGCCTGGGCGGCATTCAAAGACAGAGCCACGAAGATGCGCTTACCTTCCTTGCGCTCAGCTAAAGACGAAGCCAAGTCCCATGACTAGGTACTGCCAACCAACCAGCATCGGCTTATGAAGCATGATATTGTTGAAAATCTGTCCTCTCCCAGGTCCTCCGTGCCGAAAGCCTCCAAGGCATCAATGCTGCTCCTCCACACCTCACTTAAAGATGTCAGAACTTGTTGTGGAACATGTTCGTAAGGGAGGTGCCTGGTAGGCCTTGTAGTACTGGCCAGACTGGAAAAGCGCAACACCCTCAGCCTCACAAATGATGAGGAGAGCCCCCATCTTTAAACACGTTCGGAGTCCACGTCTAAGCTTGCAGGGGCTTGACAGACTTTCAAGTTGCTGACTTGCATCACTTTCCGCTGGGATGTGCAGGTTTGTCAATCGTGCCTTGGTCTGCTCTGCGTTGTGGACCTCGGCCACGGCTACGCTGCTCAAATCAGGACTCCATGTCCGCTTCTGACACATGCTGCTGTGACTGCGAGGCGAAAGACCTCGTCGTGTGCGCTCATGACCTATGCATGTTGAAGGGTGACCTCCGGCTGAGCCCTCGAGATTCGCAACACCAGTCAGTAAAGCAAAGACATTGAAGGGCCCAGCAATCAAAATAAGACTCCACACACTCACACCTTGATCATCATGCAGCTGAGCAGTTCCTAACCTACCCCTTAGCATTTCCTGGTTTCCCTCTCTTGTGTCATGTGAAGGTGGTGTGGTCAAGTGATTGCTTCTTCTATCCTCATGAAAGTTGAGCTCCTGGCCAGCTTGGCTGGGTTTGCCTGCCCACTACCAGAAGACAATCACACACCACAAAATTTGACTGGGTGCCTGTGTCTGGGCAGGGCCGCTGAAGGAGAACTTCACTTCCGTGTCACCTGACTGGATGCAGCATCGCTGCAGGGGATTTTCTGACCAAGCTCATACACGTGTAAGTGAAGAAGGCCAAGATTCTTGTCTCGACTTTAGCAGTTTGCATGACGCCGCAAATGCCCTGCGCTAAACACGGCGAATCCCACTCCAAAGCCTGGGTACCCGCCAGTGTCCACAGCCGGAAAGCCTCCAGCAAATTCAATGACAAAGAACATGGCATGTCCACTTGCCCTGCAACTTACAGTACTGAGACATGAAAGATCTAGATCACAGCAGCTGGACATCAGAAACTTCCAAGGGTTCTTGTCATTGAAAGCAGCCTCTTTGTCAGCTGCCTCTTTGTCAGCTGCGATCGGACACCGTTTCCCAGCTTGCTTGATAACCCAGAAGTATCCGAAAATGAGCAGCGAGCCATTTGCAATGTCCGACTTCTCGAAGACATCATCGCAAGGAGGACCTAGGAGTGATTGAGATCTGCATCTACCTGCTTTGACATACTGCCCAAGCACATTCGGCCAGGCTCACGGCTGGAAATGTGGATGCCTTGAACCTTTGCCTGGCTTTCTGGGCTGCATGGGCATGATCCATAATTTGCAGAGTATATACTAGTCACAAGTTCAGAGGAATCCTGGCAGCTAAGCCTATGATTCAGGCAGGTGGTGTCTGCACGGCCCTGTTTGCAAGACATGACCATAACACATCCACATCTGCAGCGTCGTGGTGCTCTTTCAGCCCAGGGGCCTGCAACAGGAGACTGCAATAAAAATGACTTGCCGCTACAACTTAACCATCTACAAATGGCAGCTAACCCGAAGCCATCACCTTGAGAGACATGTCCGTGCAAGCTCTCATGTGTGGCCTGGCTGTTTTGGAACTCCACCTCGGGGATTAGAGCATCTGAAAGCTAAACTAGCAGCACTAGCAGTGACTTCACTTACTCTAGCTTCTGCCCAAGCTTGGCAAGAACCTTTCGAGCAATGCGGCCGCCACGTTTGTCAGCAAGCAAGTGATGCCTGACAAAGCCTGTACAAGGCGGACAAACGCCTAGCTACTGTTGCCAAAGCATAGTTTCACTTCAGCAGGAAAGCCGCTGAAGACACAGTCCTCAGGGCGCGTTGAATTCCCTGCAAGAAAATTGTCACAGAGTAGCCGTTGTCGGTGATGCTGTCACATCCTCCTTCTGCAAAGAGTGGTGAAAACTGTCAAGCTTGCAGCTTGGGAATGTACTAGCCTTTCTCTGTCCGTCGGGCTCGTCTCCAAGGGAAGACCCACTTCGCAAGTAGCGCACGTGCGACTCAGCAGCGCAAGCATGCCCAAAACTGCAACTTGCAAGCTCGTTGAATGGCAGGTCTGCACTACAGTGGAACCTGCTGAGCTCCATGCAGCGCTGCGCTTGACTTCATACTCCGCGCACACCCGTTTCAGATCATCCCAGCTCATTTCATGCACACACATCTCCAAATACAGCCTCCGCATGCACAGCAGAGGCTAGTCTGCAGGACATCGCTCCCGTAAGACTCTGACCTTCAGCATCAAACATGCACAGTGTGCTTGCCTGACAGGCCGATGATCCGAAAACGTCGGTCTGTCCAGCCGCTCCTCAGACAGCTTGGCAGATTCGCTAACCGTCCGATGGTTCCAACAGACCCAGGCACGTAGCGCGGCAAATCTTCCAGTCGAACCTTCCGGCGGGCGCGCCACATGATGCGGTCGCACCAAGCAGGAGAGCGCTTCTCATCCTGGACAGGCGACCGTACGAACATCAGAGTGACACTCTCGGATTATTGGAACGAAAGATGAACCAACCATAGCCCAATGCAAATGTTATACAATGCAGTTGCTCAGACTGCGGGATCACTTGCATCTAGGCAGCATACTGAGTATCGTGAGGCATCTGTGTGTCGCGCATAGTCGCATTCTTCCACACAGCACTCGTCTTGAGGCTTGTTCGGAACTTGTAGCCTCAGCTAGTCAGCTGGTCGTGAAAAATCTTGAAAATTCAAACGGGGGGATAATTCTCTTCAGTTCCCTGAGCAAGGTTTGATTAGAGGCCACAGCATGTAGCTCTTTGGTGGCGGTTCTGGGATATTCTAGTCAGGACCCTTTTCGCTCTATGCCCTATGCATTTGTGATCGGTCCCCTGGCGTACCGGGCTCTGTTTTTTTGCCGCTTTTGGCATGCTCGTTTGGAGGCGCCAAATAAACTCCGAACCTCCCAACCCTCTCGAGCAACAAGATGTTGACAATTCTGCAGCCAGGTGCTGGGGTGAAAGTGGATTGCGGCTTCCTCAAAAGCAGCAACAGGGCCGCTGGACAGTCGCCGACGATGCAACTCATCACATGCAAGCCTCAGGCTCAGATCGACTTGGCAGCTGAAGGCAATTGCGCGTTGTGACCTACATCGTCAGAGACTCTTAAACAGAGACTTTTTATGACTTAGGAAGACACATCCAGCACATTGATGCAAACCTCATCAACAAGGCAGGATCTCAACCCTAAAGGTCTTCCCTGCTTGCCAAGGAACAGTTGAGAAAGCTGTTGATTCTGCAGCATGGACAGAACCTGCGGCAGGGCAGCACCCCAGCAGATGATGCGATTACACGAAAGAAGCTTCAATCCAGACATCGTGCTCGTCTGGTCACCATGTCAAGCCTATGCCCAATGCAACTCTGAACCCAACAGCTGATCAGGCTGATCACGCACCCGCGTGGAGATCAGCAGCCTCTGTCCGAGACATGACCTCCGTCATCTGCTCATTTCGCCAAAGGCGCATGTTCAAATCACCTGCCCGTAGCAGCCCTTGACAAGACTCTGTGTGGAGGGGACTGGCCACCACCCCGCTTTCCAATTACATGTGGCTGGGCTATGGTCCAGAGATCAAGACCAGGGGCACCAGGAACTCGTCTCGGCCTATCTCAATGTTACCGAATGTTACACAACAGCTAGTAACCTTAACAAGGAAGGTGCTCAAGAGCTTTAGCAAATATACCGGATTTTGATCTCTTCTCATGTCTGTTCAGCCCGCCCTTGCAGCAAACAAGATTCCACACATGGACATGCTGTTCGACCAACAGGGAGGTCAATCGGTTGGGGGGCCAATCAAGAACCTATTTGACTGGATCGACAACTGTGACATAGCCGTGCGAGGAAAACGGACGCAGGGCGATGCGAAAGCGTCCCTCCTGACCCGGACGAATCCGTTCCAGAATTGCGTTGTTGAGATGATTCAGTCAAATTTACATACAGCTCCTTGCGCATGGCACGCGTCTGAAGTCTTGATGCATGCAATTCAAGCCTGCCCAAACGACAAGGTCGTGCTCGAAAAGATTGCCTTAGCTGCTAGCAAACTGCCGTGGTACTTCACACACAAACTGCTGGCGTTGCCCTGTCTTGGCCAAAACACGCGGATCTCGCACATCTGAAGAGCTCGAGGAGCTGCTCAAGCGCAACGTCTGCACTATGTAGTCGAAATCCTGGAAGTGAAAATGGTGAAACCGAAAGCTGCTCTTTTGCCTCAGGGCCTGGGATCGATCTTGTGAACTCGAGGCGCTTTCGCCAGCTGCCAGGTGCGCGTTCACGAAGCAGAACGAGGTGGATTTCAGGACCTGGAAACTGTTTGGAGCCCTGCCTCTGACCTATGCACTGCTCGATCTAGGCAGCACTTAGCATTTAGACCTGCAAGTTCTGAATGTCCTTTGCCTTGCTTGTCCTGTGGTATGCGGTCAAGCGAGGAGTTGGCCATATCTGCGCAGGCACCAACACTGGCTGAATTTCATCCAAGCAGCAAGTCCAAGAGCCACGGCCCCTTTGTTCCCAGCTCCAAGGGTGCCACAGCGTGTGGTTCCCCAGCAGGTCCTGAGACAAGATCTGCTTGCATTTTTTGCTTTCGCACGGTGGCGGATGGTGGCGGATGGTAACGGACTGTCATGCGCCAAGGCAAGCGGCTGGGAGATTTCCGGTGCCAGATCCTCTTTGACGTAAAGGAGCAGCTGCAATCCAACCAAAGCATGGTCAGCAATTTGCCTGTAGGCGCCTTACCGGATCTTTCCGCCCCTTTGACGAGCTTTGAAGATCAGATATGTGCAGCTGTTAAACTGTAGCTTGCATGCAAGACAGTCAAGTCTCCCCGACGTTCCACGGCTGAAGTGACCGAGGCGGTCCAGGCTGCATGATATTGAGCACTGGAGATTTCGGTCACATCTATCGCCAGAGCTAATGGACAAGTTTCCTGAAGAGCCACGAAAATCATATCCTCAGAGCGCTAGGCTTGCACGCACCGCAGAACTCTGAGCCAAAGCTGGAACAGCACAGATAAGAACGATGCCTGAGTTGTTCCGGCATCTGTCTCTGACAACTGAACTTTGAAGCAAGTCTCAGCGGGTTTGTCCATCTCAAACAAGTGCTCTATGTCACCAGCAATTGGCATTTGGGCAGCGCAATTAAAAGTAACCTCAAAAGTCCCAGTGCACCCATGTTCAAGTGCACAGAAATGTGCCAGACCAAGGACCGTCAGCATGCTGCGCATGGTCTCTTCAGAGAAATCCATCTGACGTTCCTTCAGAAATGGCTGGATCTTCCTTGGTTGCTCACGACGAGTACGCGTTGTTGAGCACTGCACCCACAATTGGAAATCGCGATCCTCATGACATCCATGATATCCCCATATGTCCCCACACTAACGCCAGAGAAGCGGGAGCCGGCATGCAGAAAAGGATCTGCCATTGGATCTGCGGCTCAATAAGTAAACGGAGGTGCCTTAGAAGTCTACACACTGACGTGACAATCGAATCTGCCACAGCATGATGCACAGACCGCGGCCATCTCTAGCACAGCATGCAATGCCAAGCACATCCAAATTAGAGGCGCCACGTATCTTGGAAGATCAAGGACGCCATCTTCTCGGGCTTCTTCCGCTGCCACATGGGGCTCGAAGCCTTCTGAGCGAGCAATGGTAATCGATCGGCCCCGTAGCCTCAGGCAACGCTGAAGTTGTCACATGGCCAATTACTTGCGCTCGTTGCCGACCAGCAGCTGTAAATCCAGTCATGGTTTGTCTCGTTGGACGGAAAGAAATATCCATGGCTGCGCGCAGTTCCCTGCAGCTGCTGCAATCGACGAGCGAATGCCTTGCACCACAACAGTACCACAGCTGTCACAGCTCTGAGGCGCCATTATTCAGGCCACAAGGGCTTGCAGCTACCGAGCCTCGGGAGTGAGTCGATCCTCGCTAGGACCACCAGGAGCTGCGGCCATGACGCTGTCAACGCCGCGAGAGGCTGGCCGAGAATCCGATCTTTCAACAACCAACCCATCCAGGACCAGAAAGACCTTTGCCAGGTACCCAATAATATAGGGTTTAGGGCCCTATAATGGAGAATCAAATGGAAAAGAAAATGGAAAATGAAATGGAAACGGGGATTACATATTGCCAGGTTTGGTTTCCAATCCTTATGCAGTTGTGCCTTTTGCCAGATGAGAATCGGTGTTCTCGTCTGCCGCTGTTCAAACGACATCCATAACAATCTATGCCGAACAAGGCACCCGAGAACTTGTACCCTGGAAAGCCCTGCTCTGGAACAACTGCGCAAACCTTACGAAAGATACTATATACAGACGTTCATGACATGACACATATGACATATAGTTCCTGTGGACTTCTGCCACATAATAAAAAACACAGGCTAGGTGTTGCCTACAGTGCCATCGCCGCCCCAAGCGATCCATCACCATTTTTATGTGGACCCCACATGCAGGTCCGGGAAGCATCCTCAACGAAGCAGGAAATTCTAGCTTTCTACCACTTCGGCAGCGAACTCCACTTTGACACGCGGGGTTTGCTCTGCTTTCTGAAGAGAAATCTCCAATTCATGCTGAGGAACGCCATCGGACTGCTCCGGGCTGAGCGGAGGAACTGCGCAGAGCTCCACCGAGAGGTTTGCGCAGAATGGGACCGCGAGGACCAGGTCCCTGGAAAGAAGTCACACTAAACTGCAGAGCATTTGGGTTTCCACGTCCAGGCCTAGCCCCGCAGCAATCGCCCTGGCCGAGAATAAAGACAGCAGCTTCAGTGGGCCGAAGTCGATTGCGAACCAAGAGAGCGTACAATGCCGCACGCACCACCACTTCCTTTTCAAACACATCCACGACTCTGCAGGCCTGAACGGGCGAGAGAAGGGTTGCCCTAATCATCAGCAAAATTTAGGAAGTCCTGAAGCTATGGTCACACGTAGTTAACTTTTCAAATGGCTAAAAACCCACAGCAAAGGAAACAAGATTGAGTACCACCAGAACCTAATGGGGTCGTGGTTCAATGGGGGAGGTGCCTGAGAGTACTCGGGAGGACAAAAGGATGTTGGGGATTTAGGTCACCTACCCCAATTGAACCACTTGAACTAGTCCACCTGCTGTAAAGGTCTTGCACAAATATCACGAATCACGACCTTTCTGTTTTCCCTCGGGCCTCAACGTAACCGAGCAGCTCCTCGCTCCGCTGCACAAATTGCTTGCAGGACCAGGGAGCCAGGCTGCAGGTTGAAAAGAAATCCATTGGCCTTGCAAGGGCTCCAAGCCATGCAGGGCGAATAAAGGGGGACACGGGCTAAACCACAGCCAACTTTCAAATCAGTTCTGGGATACGCCTTGATGGCAGTAGTTGGAGCAAACCACAGAAATCAAAACCGACTTTGGCAAAACAACAATTACATGTCCATAGTGATGTCGGGCTCTAGGGTTTAAACCGTCATTGGTTCATGCGATAGGATGAACCTCTCGTGCCCTCAAAGCGCGCAAATGGCACCAGGCAAATCAAGAGACTGACACCCACTTTCACACAGAATTCAAGTTGAAACTACACGGGAGCGAAATCCACAAAACCTCCCGTGTATTCCAGGTCCATGAGACCATTATCGCAATCAGAGAAAGTCGACCTGAGTTCCAACTTATGCTTGAAGCATGTTGATTCCATACGCAGTGTTGCTGTTTTGTCTCTTGCGCGGCACTCGGTTTATTTTGGATTGACATTTCCTCAGCTGCCTCTTCCAAGCCCTTACTACCTGCATCAAACAAGCACAGGTGGCTCCCAAACCTGAATCAACCACCATGGTTTTCTCAGCGCTGATGCATTTCCAGCATACCCATGACGTACAGGCGATGTGGGAAATTTGGGAAGGGGCGCACTACGGTTCTAATCGATTCTAAACAAAACCAGTGGCCATGCGGCAGCACATGGCCGGCAAACTTCATAAAGCTCCAGCCATGCCGCGACAGGTGCCCGCGTTACGGTGGTTTCTTGCTACTAGTTCCCTCTAAGCCTCTAAGCGTAACCCTGCTCAATTCTACAAATTAACTGGGCAACAACAGATCTATGACATCCTTACCTATGTGGCTTCGTCGTGCGCATGCTCGTTGCGTCTGCTGCAGTACGGGATGGCAAGTAGCAATTGACTCCAAACTGGAAGCAAAAGGGCCGAAGCCTCAGGGATGCACCAAAAGGTTGTTGAGACCAACTTGACGCTGGTCTGAACGGGGTAGTTCAACAGGCAACAACATACATACACCGGTTGCTGGGCAACGGCACCCGCTTTTGGTCCTGTGCTCGATTCGCTCCATCCTTGTCCTCCAGCAAGCCTGCAAAGCGGCACAGGCCTTGATGCTTGTGCAAGTCTCCGCCAGTGCGCAGTACATTGCTATTGAACTCTGTCTGGACCTGGTGGAACAGTCACGGACGGCACTTGGACTCCGTGCCTCATATTTTGTTGATATCCTTGAGCTCTCTTCGGCAAGTTGCTCGAAAGCGAGTAACGTCGTCCGTCATTCAGATCATGGGAGCTGCTGTCTCACCACTTCAGGTCGCATCAAGCGGCTGATGATAATGCGCATGCTGCTCTCTGTACCAAGCACGGAAAGCACGGCGATTCTGGTGCACCAAGCCAGCAATGCCATCACCTGAAGCGATGACGCTCAGGCTGCCGGGACAACTTCAACACTGAAGGGGGATTTTCAGGGTATGGCTTCATTAGATGCATGTCGTGCCTTCAAAGCCCGAGAATATCCATATGAGAGCACGCAGTGCATCACGTGCACACCGGAGGCGACCCTCACGAAGTCCGCGCCGAACCAGTGCGTCTTTCTCCTGGTCATCGCTGCCCCGCGGCTGCCTAGGTCTGAAGCAGGCGTGGATGGCCAAGTGGAAAGACTCTCGTCGTACCTAGCTGTCTCGTCTTCTGAAGCTTTTCGCAGTCAAATCTGTCATAAAGTGCATACGGCGCACGTGACGCCATGCGCGGTTGTTGCACACGTTCGAGTGCACATGAGAATCACACTGGCTCGTGTACCGGTTGCATTGCTACTGCTACTCTTTGCGTCCAACAGAACTCTAGCAAGATCGGAGTTAGGAGTAAACCAAGCTGAAAGTCCTGGGAATTGTTTGTATTTGGCCTGCAACAGTCTCCAGCACAGTGGCATCATCTTCTCGGCCACTGGGGCTCGTGTCATGTCTGCTTGCATCACAGCAGAGGCACACATGTCTGCTCACGTGCCTCCACCTGATTTGTGCACAATCGGCTGCAATGTTCGATGCCTCTGCATCCTGCCAGGTCCAGCAATGGCCTGAACAGAAGCTTCCCATCAACGCCGCAGCTGTCCGGCATGGGGCGTCAAGATAACGACAGCGACATGTTCTGTAGTATGAATTAGTCGTCATTCCTCATTTCAAGTTGGCCGTTGAGAGGACACGCAACAGGAACTTACTTCAAACTCACTCAGGAGCCGAGGGGCATTGCTTCCTGACCTGTCCTCGTGAATTTTCTCCAGCGCTGGAGGCCACATCTTTACCCTTCTCGTTAAGTCACATGGATTGGCGGGGCCCTTGCCACCTTGGATGCATTACTTCAGCAGATGATTTTTCTGGCTTTACCAGATATGCTCTGTATCCCCACACTTTGCGAAGGATGTCACGGGTCTTGAAAGGGATGTAAGGTTCCAGGTGTGGCTGTCATGACACACCTACCTGCACTTCATGATGCCTCGTCATTGAGTTGTGCTTCTGCTTGACCGGAGGGCATCCACTTGCGCTTCAGCGAACCAGCCCAGTCTATGCTAAACAGCTTGGCATCTATACTTTCAACACCAATAAGTTTGGATCGAAACTCATTGGACTCATTGCATGTCTGCTCAACTGTCCTGCCCTTGCATGGGAATTATTGGAATTCTCGACCGTTGATCGGCACCCGAGCTCTTGTTCGTAAAACTAACATCAGTTCAACCACTGGTAATTTTGGATTACCTTGGCCAATCGGCTACTGTAACCGTTCCTAAGGCATCCCTCCCAAGTCAAGGAATTGTACAAACCTCAGGCAAACTTGACCGAATGCATACACTGACTCCACAGCCAACAGGAGCATGCACATCATTGCGAGCCAAGTCGACTGTGTAGGAAGATGAGCATTGACCGCAATCGCTCCTACATGACAAACAGCAACCAAGCAGCCTCAAAAAGCGCGTGTCCGTGGCAGCTGCATTGTGCACGACAGCCTTCTTCTACCAATTGATTACATGTTTGCCAGCACAATCCTGTGTTGACCATCATGCCGATGAGCATGAACTACATGCACGTTCAGGGAATTTCCTCGAGTCCTCTTCCGAGTCCGTTGCTGGGCGAATCCCAGCAGATGCCAGGCTCCATGGCCTAAGACTATCAAGCATGATTGAATACCGGAACTGCACATGCTGACTGTGTGAATGCAGCGGCTCTTGGCATTTCTTGTATGGAACGCCATCAAGCAGAGTATCAACGGTGGTGGCATGTTATAAGATCTCCAGAGACATCAGAGACGAGAAATGCCTGCTCTCAGATGGCCGCCATAGCAGCATCTGGCCCATCATTTATATTTTCTGAAACAGATGACGTACAACAGGAAATCGCATCCAGTGAAACAGGTCAAATCCTGCTCACCCTCACTGCTGAAGCATCACTGAAACATCTCCTTGCACTCTATGACGATGCGACCTCCCCAGCCAACCGTGGGCTGGTCAGTGCGCCGCACGCAGATCTGGTTGCCCTTGTGCTCCACATGGTAGGAATCCGGCCAGTGGGTTTCCGTCTTGCGGTACTCCGGGTTTGCAGCCAAGTAGTCACATCTGACCCGGCTGTTTGGTGACGGCACGCACTTCTCATTGGTGTGGCTAGAACCAATGTCCACCTCAATTGTGTCCCAGAGCTTTTGTCCTTTCTTGCAGTCTATCCGCAGGTCCATCTGCCAACCTCCTGCCGCATCTTTGCGCCTGGCACAAATGTGATTGGTATGCGAAGTCCAAATGGTAAAGGTGTTGTGGTGAGGGGAGGGATTAAGCCTCTTCTGGATGTCCCCCGCATCTTCATCACACTCCAGCTTGTGAGTCGGCAAGACACACCGGTAGCCGGAGTGCGTGTGTCCTGGGCCGAAATAAACCTCCATTCCATCGACTGGCAACTGCTTACACTCCATGACGATGCCAGCTCCCCAGCCAAGCGTGGGCTGGTCAGTCCGCCGCACGCAGATCTGGTTGCCCTTGTGCTCCACATGGTAAGAGTCCGCATACTGGGTTGCCGTCTTGCGGTATTCAGGGTTTGCAGCCAAGTAGTCACATCTGACCCGGCTGTTTGGTGACGGCACGCACTTCTCGTTGGTGTGGCTAGCACCTACATTCACGTCGACCGGGTCCCAACGCTTCCCGCCGCTGGGCTTGCACTGAATCTTCAGATCCATTCCCCAACCTCCTGGCGCGTCTGTGCGCCTGGCACAGATGTGATGGGTATGCGAAGCCCAGATGGTAAAGGTGTTGTGGTGAGGGGAGGGGTTGAGCCTCTTGTGGATGTCGCCCGCGTCTGCATCGCACTCCACGTGGTGAGTCGGCAAGACACACTTGTAGCCAGATGCTGTGAAGGCTGGGCCTATGTGGACCTCGAAAAACGGACCTAGCAGCGCCTTGCACTCGATCTCCAAGTTCATGCCCCAGCCGCCGTGTGAATCAGTGCGGCGAGCACAAACGTGCCCATTCCTCTGGGAAACATAGAAGCTGTCACCCTTTTCAGTTCGAGTAAAGCGATACTCACGGTTAGCGGCCAAATCATCACAGCGGATGTTCTTTCTTGGTTCTGGGACGCACTTTTCATTGTGATGACTGCCACCAATCGTCACCTTCACCTTGTCCCACAGCTTTTCATACTGTTTGCACTGAATCTTCAAATCCATGCCCCATCCCGAGTGCTTGTCCGTCCGCCTGGCACACAGATGCTGCGTGTGAGAGTTCCAGATGGTGAAGGTGTCAGAGTTCTTGTGCTCATTGGCTCGCTTGTCCGCATTGCCGGCATCGTGGTCACACTCCATGCGATGCGTTGGCAAAATGCAGCGGTAGTTGGTTTTGCTCTTCCCCAGGTTCACATCTTGCACCACGTAGTCGACTTGATGACCTTGCGAGTCACATTCAAGCACCAGGTTAAGATCCCATCCGTTAGAGTTGCGGCGACGACGCCTGTGGCGTCGGCGGCGCCGGCGCCGATTCACCAAATGCCCGCACACACGGCCGCCCTCCTGGGTGATCTGGAAATCGTCATCGTGGCTGTCGAACCCCAAGCGATGTCCTCTGTTTCCTGAATGGCCGTGGCAAAACACAGGCTCCGGAGGCATCACACACTTCTTGTTGTGAACCGTCTTGCCCAATGGGACCAGGATGCCGCCCCCACCGCCTTGATTGTTGTCTACCTTGCAGGCCAGCTCAAGCTCCATGCCCCATCCAGAGTTCCTATCCACACGTTTCACACATAATGCCCGAGGATCATGCGGGTCGTGAGGGTTGCGATAGACATGGAAGCGGTCACCCTTGTGATTGTCCTGGGTGTTGGCACGGAAGCCTGGATCGCCTGCATGCTGGACGCAGTTGACATTGGAGAAAGTCTTCCCACACACCACTGCACTGGAACTTTTGCCGATGTACTCGATGGTGACCCCAGCCTTATTCATCGCCAGCTCCCTGGAATTATCCTTCTCCGCCATGTCGAAACCCAAAATCCGCACCCATTTCCCGACGGTGCCCAGCACAGGGATTTGGACCCCAAGCAGCACGTCCACACCCATGCTGACACCAGTGGGCCCACGGGCATCAAACATGCTCTGAAGGCAGTTGTACTCCCCATGGCCAAGGCCGCTGCAGTAGTTGTACACGGCCGGGGTTAGGTCACCGAGATTCAAATTAACCTCGATGGGCGCCGCCAGTCCGAGAGGTGGTGGGATGAAAATAGGCAGCGAGAGCGTGATGGTCATTTTGTTGATGAATGGGAAATAGCCGACGTGGGCCAGGCCTGCACAAGCCGACCAGCCAATGGCACTGGCAATCTTTCCGAGCACACCTCCGATGCAGAGGGTTAGGGCGGCCCAGATGTGGAAGCTGGTAAACATCGCAGCGGCGTTGCTGCATGCCATGGCTACCCCGAAGCTCAAGATGAACTGAAGAGCGTCGCCTGGCTTCAGGCCCATACACACTGAGCAATCGCCGGAGAGGCAACCGCTGGGCCCCTTGATTAGCGAGGTCAGGGCCGAGAAGTGATCCATCGAGAAGCCTCCACCTTGGTCGATGCACTGGCCGCTCACGCAGAAGTTGCAAGAGATGCCGCCGCCGGAAAGGCAAGGCCCAAGGCCGATGCCCTTTGACTTGAGCCCTTCTGCGACCTGCAGCAAGTCAGCGCTGGATACAGACCTTTGGGCAGCATAGAGGCGCTCCATGACTGCAGGCCGAATGGATTCCAGTTCATCCAAGTGCTGAAAGTCGCACAGCAAAGAGGGCTGTTGACGAATGCAAAGGCAGTCCACATAGCGCTGGATCTCAGAGCTCTCACGGACCCACTCAGCAGCTTCCTTGGAGTGAAGGTTGCCATCGCAATACTTCTCCACCGAGTAGCCGTGCACATGCTCAAAATGCTTCAAGTCCAACAACCGCAAGCGGCCCATGCTTGGAAGGTGCTCCGCATGCTCAGCCGTGGCATTCAGCAAGCGGGCCTTGAAGTCCTCTCCCTGGCCCTTCAGCAACTTCACAAAGTGATGGCCAACGCCGTTCTTCTCATTATGGAGCACCACACTGGACTTGGCGTAGTAGTCCAGCTTCTGTGCTTCCTTGCGCATCTTGGAAAGTAGGGAAGCGCCGATCAGCTCACTGCAATCAGCAGGATCGCCCAAACGCGTGACGAAGAAGTCCGTGTCCAGCACATTCACCTGGCACATGTTCTCCACATGCTCGGCCAGCCTCAGAATTCCGCTGTTGAATCTGTTCTGCAAAGCAAGGCACACAAGGCAGTTGCTGCATACACAAAACGCACTGTTTCGCTGCCGCTGGGGTCCCGGCTTCCGCTGAGCAAGCAATACCGGCTAACAGCTAACACCCTTCAACCTTGCAAGTGCCTGCTTGAGGAGCATCTACGTGGGTGCCAATCATTGCATTAAGTTCTGATCGAATGTGTTCAACCTCCATTGCATGCCGAGCTGCTCGTGCGCCACTGTGGACTCCATGGCGGACATGTTTGTGTTGCCCTTCAGGAGCTTCAGCTCATCCTGCGCCAGCTCCTTCCCCTCATCTCCCTTGCCACACATCTCCGCCATGTCCTGCAGCTTGGCCGCGAATTCCTCCACAGCTGCCTGGCTGAGGTTCGAGCCGGACAGTGTCCGTGCGATGGTTTCAGAGAACTCCTTGTGCGCAATCTCCTCAGCTGCCTGTCTCCCAGCCATTTTTGTGGCCTCAATCGTCGGGACGTCGTCCACCCATTCGGTGCCGAACTCCTCCAAAGTGATGTTCTCACGCACCAGTCGCATCACGATCTCTGCTCGCCTGACCTTGTCAAGCTTCTGTAGCTTCCAGTCGTCCATCTCCGCTGCGATCATCCGTTTGCTCAGGCATCTGTCGACTGCTGCAATGATCTTCTGCGCATCGGTCTCGGCATCTTCTGAGCCGTTCAGCACGCTTATGCTTCGAATCTCCTGATCAAAGCTGCTGAACTTGAATGCAATTGCTACATTGTTGAACGCCAGAAGCGTCCAAAGGAGAGACCACATTGCTCCAAATGGAACAAGAAAGGGCTGCTAGCTCAATCTGAGCCAAAGATCTAGGTGTAGAACCACAGAAAAGGTCGCATCTGACTTTTGCGGGACGTCGTGTTTCACACGTGTTCCATCCTGACCTCTAGATCATGCAAGAAACTCGGGTCGCACACAGACCCTCCAGGTGCCAGGCTGGAGGCTATCAACCGTGGTCTTCTTCGAGCCTGCAGGTTTGGCAGTTGCGCCACACCCCACCGCTCGCTGCAAAGGAACCACCTCCAGGCCTGAAATGTTGACATTTGCCAGATGTGCACCAGGCAGCATGTATGGCAAAACAAACCACCCGCCCTCACGACCCATCACCTAGTGCCACACCCCACTGCTCGCTGCAAGAGAATCACCTCCCGGCCTGAAAGGCTCTCAAAGATTAGACGTGCACCTGGCAGGACAAGTATGCGTCAAGTTTTGTCCTCAGTGGAGTCACTCGGGGCTGTGCGCAGCGTTGCCTGGCCTGGTAGCTGGATTCCTCCCAGTTGGGCCAACTGGAGCTGCACCTTGTACAATCTTTTGAAACAGGTCTTGGGGAACTTTGTCCACAGCGTTCTCCAGTGTTGGCGGAGGTCATCCTTGCTGCATCCACCCTCAGGGCAGGCAGTCTGCGCAACCCTCCAGCCAAGTCGAGCCATCGTCAAAATGAGAAAAGCTGAAATCTGGTCCAAACATTAAACCCTTCATTTCGAGTTACCCCTTCGCTTTGCATGGACTTTGTGCAAGTTTGGGGGTCTTGCGTTTTTAGGAACCCTTTTGTTATACAGGGCTGTAGCACCGTGATCGCTCGAACAGTACTGGCTGAGGTGCAGCATTTTGCCTCTTTGACCTCTTGGATGGCTTCTTTGCTTTCCTCCAGCAACCTTTTGTAATCCTCGAGGCAGGGGCAAAGGAGGTCTTGCGGTAATTGGGCACCCTGGCACTTCCCGTGTCAGTCCTGCAGCGCTTGCTTGAATAATAATGGTAAAGAATCTCCCTGCTCTTGAAAAAGCGTCTTCACCTGGAGGATTCTGTCCCTGTCTGTCAGGTGCGCCCGCTCCAGAAAGTGGCACTCCCGCGCAGTCCATGCTTCAGGACTCTCCGGCAGCCGCGGGATAGGTGCACCTTCCTTGATGTTTCTGCACAGCCAGCCCGCAAGTCGGTCCCAAGGCCTGTTGAAGCTTGGTCAGAGCGCTGCAATTGGCTCAGAGATCTCAGGGGCATGCTACATCCTGCAGTGTTCGCTTTCTCCAAACAAATTGAGTCTGAGGTGGAAACCCAGCTTGACAGCACTTCAAGTAACAATAATTGGCAAAAGGCTGCTCCTACATACACCAAAGAAATACGGCTGATTCTAGACGACAGGGGTCCCATTATCTTGAGAACCTCTCAGTCGGGTACCGAAACTTTGTATCCACAGTTTACTGAGGCAGCATGGGAGTCCGAAATTACAATTTGCCGTGGGCTCCTTACCATGACCTGGAATTAGAGTCCATGTCCAGACTCGGCTGTTGTGAGAGACTCCCACAGGGCTAGGTACTCCAGGGAGCAACTGCGAATGTGTGTCTTCTTGCCTTCCGTCCTTCTTCCTTGTGCAGTAGTGCGACTAAGATGCTGTTCAAGAATCCCTGGAAGCTCCCCAAGCCTCCCCACTGCTGCCCAAACTTCAACAGTATCGGCCGACCTGTCACTTCTGTCCCCTACTCATGACTCACACAAGGAATCTTCCCAAGACTCGGGGTGAGATGAAGGAGATTATCTTCAAAGTCTGAAGCCCTAAGGTGGAACCATCTGAACTATTCTACACAGTTCAGGCCTGCCATGTCTGGCTTCTGCAGCAAGTTCTGCTGGCGCATGGCGAAGCACGCCGTTTCTCTTGACGGTTGTACGGTTCAAAGTATTATGGAGAGGTGGCCTAAACCCGTCGAACCTTTGGTTAAACTAGTGTTGCGCTATTTGCCTGCGACTGACGCGGCCCCAGGAATAGCTGATGCGGACGCGCTATCGCGCACACCATGAAAGCTGACACGGCCAATCCATACTTTAAGCCTTATATAGATTTCCACATGGGGCTTTTGACCGCCGCTCTATTGATGTCTCGCTTCAACTAAGTCAGTCTGCTTGAAAACGCGGACAACCTGAAGGTGCCCCCACTATACTCCACACACAAACTAATTCCTGCATGTTCAGCAGCGCAATGGCTCCGCGCAGACACATTCCAATCTAAAACATTTTTTGGACGAACGCTGATACTTAGTCAAAATGCCTTTGACCTGTGCAAACTTCCCCTTTTGCCAGCACTGAAGAAACAATTACACTGGAGAGACGTTGCAAGGTCTCGGCATGATTGGGCCACCAGTGGTGGAGGAGGCTGTGAGCAATTGGTGCGGGGCATGCGAAAAAGCCTGGCGAAGTCGGTATGGTTGCAAGAACAGACGGACTCTGTCTGCTTCGCATTTACTCGCTTTCTTCGCTTCAGTCAAGGTGCGCTTCAGCCACATGGAAAGAAAGCCCAGCGTAGCCCAGGACAAGGCTAGCCACGGTCCAGGCTCTTGGAACGTGATAAGAACACGTCACAACAACCACGTCCACCGGAGCACTTCCTGGACAAAAGCGGCAGACCCCACAGGCAAGCATCAACGAAAGCCCGAACAGCACAGGGCCTTCTCGTCTCAGATTTTTCCGCTCAATACAGCGCAAAAATGAAGTGAAGTTTGCCAAAGTGTCGATAGCTTCCTGCAGGTCTGGTGAGCGTTGGAGCACACTGTTATCTAACCATCCATCTCTCTCAACCCATTTATATCAGTTATCCCATCTCCAACAAGTGGGTTGCTCCTTCTCTATGGCTTTACATTTATGGAGCTCCTCCCCAAACTGAACTCTGAAACGTCAAAACCAGCAGTGCCAAGGCAAGCAAGCATCTCGATCTAATTCCATGACCTGCTGTAGCCTCAACAAGTCAACGCCCGCAAAGTTCTGTTGATGCGGATTCCCAACCTCTGGTGCGAAGTCAGACGGAAGCTTGTAGTGGCCACTTGAGAAAAAGGTAAGCGCATCTGGGTGAGGTTCCAGCTTCGCACCCAGTCTTGCGCCAAGAATATCCCTACAGGCTTCGCCACCACAGACGAGCACCCAACGTGTACCACTTGCAATCGCTGTTTCTGCCAGGCGCACCTCTTGCGTCGGGCAAGATGCATGGCTCGTGAAGTGCTATTGCTGAAAAATCTTTAGTGCAGAAAACATGATTTCACATGTATGCGGTCGTAACCTGGAGAAAGGAAGAAAAGTCGATGTCAAAACGCGTTCTGACATCACACGACCCGGCACAGAGTCAGAAGCTGCTGGACCTGCAACACCAGCATAACTCTGCTTCGCAAACTGACCGTGAGTCTCTGCTATCCTACGCACACGCAACCGAACCACATCTAAGCTCAAGAAGCGCAAGTGAAAGTTACTTACTCCCAAAGGATGCTCACCGCCCAATTGAAAGCAACTCTCTGGGCTCTAAATTACGTTTCCACTATAAAGCTCTCTGCCCAGGCTTGCAGCCATTTGCAACGAATCGCAGACACATTAAATTACCAATTGTCCACTTGCCCTGCCTGACTTCCGCATCCATGCCGTGGCTCTGCGACACGCAAATAAACAGCGCAGTGATGCAAAGACAGAAATGCCTTGGCATAGAGGGTGGAGGATCTAAAAAAACAAATAAGGATCAAAAA